TCCCGACCGACCGACCGACCGACCGCTGTGCCCCCAGGAGCGGCACCACACGAAGGTGCAGTACCAGCTGAAGTCGGAGCGCATCTCGCTGGCGCAAGTGTTCAGCAAAATGGAGCAGGTGGTGGGCGTGCTGGGCATCGAGGACTACTCCGTCAGCCAGACCACCCTGGACAACGTGAGTGCCCGGGCGGAGGCGCCGGCCGGGCCTACCCCCCCCCCACCCCGCCTCGCCCACCACCTGCCTCTCTGCCCGCCAGGTGTTTGTGAACTTTGCCAAGAAGCAGAGCGACAACTTGGAGCAGCAGGAGACGGAGCCGCCCTCGGCCCTGCAGTCCCCGCTGGGCCGCCTGTTCAGCCTCTTCCGGCCCCGGCCCACGCCGACGGAGCTGCGGGCACTCGTGGCTGACGAGCCCGAGGACCTGGACACCGAGGACGAGGGCCTCATCAGCTTCGAGGAGGAGCGAGTGAGCAGGGCCGAGACGGCTGGGCTGACGGGCCGGCAGGGGCTGTGGAGGCGGGGCTCGCGGCCACGGAACTGCTGCTGGCCAGGGCTCCAGGGGGCAGAGGGCGCCCTGGTGCCCGGCGTGCCAGTGCGTGTGGGGAGAGTGGGCACAGGCAGGGGAGACCCGCTGCAGGCCCCTCAAGACAGGCAGAATGTGGGAGGGGGGGCGCCAGACTGGGCAGAGGCCCTGGGAGGGCTCAGGGCGGACGGGGGCAGAGGGGGAGGCCTTGTCCAGCCCCAGGACGGGCAGCACTGGGCGCAGACGCTGTGCCGAGCCGGCCTGCTTGCCCTCCGCCAGGCCCAGCTCTCCTTCAACACGGACACGCTCTGCTGACCACCAGGAGCCGGCTCAAGGACATGGCGGAGGGGCTGAAGTCGGGGGGCGGCTCAGGCCCCACCCTGTGCTCCCAGTGCCCCGCCCCCAGCCCTGGAGTGGGAGGTCCAGGACCAAGGGCTTTGCGCCCCCTCCAGCCCCCTGCCCTCGGCCGAGGCCGCCCTCCCTTCATTGTGCCAAAGGCTGGCCTGGCCCTGGGTGGCGACCCTCTCACCCTGCTCTGCCTTAAAGCCCAGCTCTGCCTGCCCCCCCCCCGGGGCCTCTGGGGTGACACGGGCTGCCAGGGACACCGGTCCCTCTCCTGGTGGGGCCTGGTTTCCCGGGCCGGCTTCTCTTACACCCCATTGGAAGGGAAGGGGCTGCTGCAGGCCTGGGGCTGGGGGTGGGTGGCGTTAGGTCCCAGCCCCAGCCTCCTATTTATTTTGCTTTAGGCAGGGGCACCCTCACCCCGCTTCCCTGCTGGGGGGCCAGGGAGGGGCTGCCTCGGGGCAGCAGGCTGGGTACCAGGAGCGGCGAAGCCGGCCCCACTGGCCGGGAGACGGTGCAGGTCCCTCCCCCCCCAGCTGCCACTGCTCCCCCCCCAGCTTGGCACCCTGCCCGCCCGCCCGCCCGCCCACCCGGGAGCCGGACCTGTACATATTGCACAGATGTTTGTTTTAAGTAAATAAACAAAAAGTCCACACAAGCCTGCGTGTCTGGGGTTGGGGGTTGGGGTGACGGCAGTGGCCCCCGCTGGGCGGGCGGGTGTGCAACATCCTGGAGCACATGCCCTGCGGGGGCCGGGCAGCAGGGCCGGCGCGGGGGGGGGCGCTCCTCACCCTTCCCAATCTGATGCTACAGGCGGGGACACTGAGGCAGGGGCCGCCCATCACTTCCTTCCCCCCACACCCCGTCAGGCTGGGCTCCCCGCGCTCGGGCCTCTCTGGACAATGGGTTTGCTGGATGGTCTCCGTCTCACCCTGGCTGTAGGGAGGGCTTCCAGGGGGAGGTGATCTCTAAGCTGAGAGCCAAGCTCAGGCAGGACCGCGTGCAAAAGCTGGAGGTGGCACGGAAGCTCCCGGGCCCCGGTTCAGGGTCCCAGAACTTGGCCCCTCACGCTCGGCCATGGTCGGCCCCCTCCTTAGGTGCTCTGAGGGGACTGGGAGGGACACCGACGCCCCAGGAGGCTGGAGGGCCACTGATCCGCTCGCCCCCTTTCGCCCTGGTGGGGGCTGCAGAGCAGCGAATCCCCGCGGACTCCTTCCTGCGTTTATCAGCAGCCATTTTCCTCTCGCAGAGAGCTCCTCCACTTAGAAATAATCGCTGTGGCTTTGTGGGTTTTAAAAAACATGCTCTTGTTTATTACTGTCATTTTTTTAAAAAAAATATTTATTCTTAGAGAGAGGAGAAGGGAGGGAGAAAGAGAGGGAGAGAAACATTCATCGGTTGCCTCACGTGCCCCCCGCTGGGGACTGGCCCGCACCCCAGGCCTGTGCCGTGACCGGGCATCCAACTGGCGTCGTTCGGTGCGCAGGCCGGCGCGCAGTGCGCTGAGCCGCACCGGGCGGGGCCTTTACTGTCGTCTTCACAATTTCCTTATTGTGGTAAAATATTCAAAATACCGTTTCGACCATTTGTACAATTTTGTCGTATCTTTTATGCTTGGAAGGCCCCAGACGTGGCCAGTGGGAGCCCCTCAGCAGCGGCTTCCTGTCCTTGGCGTGTCCCCCTTTGCTAGCACCCCCTCACTGGCGACATTTCCCAGGCCTGCTGTGAACCCCGCCCGCGCCCTCTCGACTCCACCGTTTCTCCGAGGAGCTCTGGCTCCCTTAGGGGCGACCGTGCGTGGTGCCCCCGGTCGGGCTCTGGACGTGCTCACTGCTGTGGGGGCTGCTTTGGCGCCCTCTCCGGGGGCAGAGCTAGGACGCACCTGCTCGTGTTCCCACGAAGGACCCAGGACCACCCGGGTCCCCTCCCTGTCCCCGGACAAGTCCGTGTCTCCCCGCAGAACAGCCGTGGCAACATCGCTGGGGGGACCACAGACAGGGCTCCGCCAGGGGTTCTCCACTCGCAGGGGCGGGGCCAGCAGCCAGGGGCCCCGGGGCCGACGCTTGGGACGGGGCAGGGAGGGGCAAGCCCCTGTGCGGCCCGGTGCGTCACGGGGTGCAATCGAGGTTTTGGCGACTGTGAGTTTCTGGTCTCATTACTCTGGGAGGTGGTCGGGAAACGCCGAGGGTCCGACGGGGAAGACTCGCCGGCGGCGGTGCGCGTCGGGGCTCGCCTGCAGGCGGCCCCCCCGTCCTTCCCGCACGTGCGGGCGCAGACTCAGGGGGGGACACACACTCATGCTCCGAGTTTTCCTGTTTGCTGCGGCCTCTCCCCCACTGGCACCAGGTCCCTGGGGCTGCCGTGACCACTGACCACAAGCTGGGGGCTCACAAAAGTGAACGCTCCTTCCAGCCTGGAGGCTGGGAGCCGAGAGTGGAGCGTCAGCAGCGCTGGTCGCTGGCGGGGTCGGGGGTGGGGGGGTGGTGCAGGGGGGTGTTCTGCTCGGGGTCTGCGGGGGGCGATCTCCGCCACCGCTGTTCCTTCGTTCGTCACCCTGACCTCCGCCCCCAGCTGCACATGGCGTCCACCCTGGCTGCCTGCCTGAGTCCAAATGCCCCCTTTCAGTGAGGACAGGCCTGGCCTCCCTGAACTTAATCATGCGTTTAAAGACCCCCCCCGTCTCCAAACATGGTCCCATCGCAAGGTGCTGGGGCCAGGACGTCAACAAACGACTTTGGGGCACACAGGGCAGCTCCACACCGCTGGCGAGACGCCGCGACTGTCCACACCCCCAGGGCACACCGTGTCCACGTCCCTCATTCACAAGGACACCTCTGGGCCAGTCCTCGAGGCCGCGGACACTGCGCCCCCAGACCGCGCCTCCCCACACCATTGCCGAGAATCCGGCCGGCGCGTGCCAGGCCGTTGCAGCCGCAGCGCTGAGCTGGCTTGTTCCCTGCAGGGAGTGCGGGGAGTGAAGACGTGCAAGGCATCTTCACACCCACAGGGCGCGTGGTGAGCAGGCAGGTGCGGAGGGGCCGCGAGCCTTCCCCGGAGCAGCAGTCTCTGTGCAGGGGGAGGGGGAGCAGAGACGCGTGGGGCCAGCCCCCCATTTTGTGGAGGAGCCCCTGAAATCCCAGCAGGTGGAACAGAGGCGGCTGCAGGGAGGCACAGAGGGAGCCGGGCGCCGAGCTCCGCAGTCGGCCCTGGCCAGCGCCCGCGGCCGGCGGCCTGGGGCCAGGGAAGGGGCCCAGTAGGGACTGCGGCCCTGGGAAGGCGACCGCGCAGGGCTGATCCCTCTCCCCACCACTGGGTGGCGCTGAGCTCCTGTGGGTCCCTCCCGTGGGGGGCCCCCGGGGGCCGCCCCCCACCGGTGGGGCGGGAGAGGCGCAGCGAGCCAACCTTCAGTGAGGGGCAGGTGCACACCTGCGGGCTGGCAGGCTCCCAGGCCTCCCCTGGCCTTCCGGCCGAGAGCGGTGCCGTAACCGGTCAGGAGGTTATGGCTTCAAACCCTGCCCCCTGTTCCTCCTTTTAAAAGACCAGGAGTCTTTCCCTGAGCCCCTTGGGAGGGGCTGGGGCGTGGGGTGGGCTGGGTGGATGCTTGTCCCCCAGGGGCACATCAGGAATGCAGACCCCGCCCAGGGCGGAGCTCAGTCAGTGGGAGAGGACGTCCCTGGCAAGTGGGCTTATCAGCCCTTAATGCCCTGGTCAGCAGAGGCGGAAACTGAGGCCGGGCCGGGCTCTTCGCCGCTCTGACACACTCCCCAGCTTCCTGGGCCTGTGCCCCGCCAGACACCGGGGCGTCCAGCTCAGGGCAGCGGGGCTCCTGGCGGGGCGAGCGTGTCCAGAGCCGCCCCCTCCCAGGCCGATGCCCCTCTCCCCCCGCCGCCCGGCCCCCAGCCGGGCCCCCACCTTGCCGCACCACGGCCGTGGACGCTCAGGTCCCGGCTTGCTCAGCCTGCCTCAGGGGCAGGCCTCCCCGCCCGGCGCCCCCCACGGTCACACCCCCTTGTGCTGGGGCACAGCCCCGCCAGCCTGACCCTGCTCTTGGGTGACTCCCCGGGGCGGGCCCTGGGCCGGGGAGGGAGGGCGGGGGCCCAGGGAGCCTTAAAGAGCCGCCTGCCCCGCCCGCGGGGCCACAGCTCCAGTCATGGCTGAGACCGCGAAGCTCCAGCTGTTTGTCAAGGTGCCGCACGAGCCGGGCGGGGGCGGCCTCGGGGCGGGGGCACTCGTGGGGCTCCCCTTTCTGGGGTGGCTGATGGTTGGGTCTCCGCGTGTCCGTGGTGGGGCTTGGCAGCCCTCGGAGGCTGGGTGACGTGGGGTTAGCCCGGGGGAAGAAGGGGTGGGGGTGGCCTGTCCCAACACCGGCCTGCGCTCCTGGAGGAAAAGCCCCCCCAGCGGGGAGGTGCCGGCCAGGCAGCCAGTGGCGGGGCCCCAGTGGAGCCGGGGGTCAGTGCAGCAGAAAGGCTCTGGGCCCGGCAGCCCACTGGGGCCCCGACCTGGGGAGCCCCTCCTCAACTTCGGGCGCGGGGCGGCTGGTGCCGCAGCCTCGGTGCCCATTCGGCGTGTGAATCACTCGGAAAGCAGCTCGCTTTGCTCACCCCACCCCGAGACCAGCCTGTGGGGCCTGGGGCCTGGGCCCTGGTCTCTGCCCAGGGCCCAGGCTCTTCAGATAAGGGTCGGAGGACCAGGCCCCAGAGCCAGGGCGCCCCCGCCCCCGTGCCCGCCAGTGCCGGCTCTCAGCCTCCCACTTCCGGCAGCTCTGAGGCCCCCCCCACCGTCAGGGACCAAGTCAAGGGCCCTCACCGGCCGCCTGCTGAGGCCGTGCCCATCGGAGCCGGGGCTGGGGCCTGGCACCAGCCTCCTGGCAGCGGGAGTCCAGGTCCCACCCAGCCAGGCGGCAGGGCTCCTGGGTCTGCTCCCTGCCCTGACCCCTGCAACCCCGCCCCCAGGCGAGCGAGGACGGCGAGAGCGTGGGACACTGCCCGTCCTGCCAGAGGCTCTTCATGATCCTGCTCCTCAAGGGCGTGCCCTTCACCCTCACCACCGTGGACACGCGCAGGTGAGCCCCCACCCAAGCGGCCCCTTTCGGGCCTCTGCCGCCCCTCTGGCCACTGCCTCCCCTCCCTCGTGCCCGCAGGTCCCTGGACGTGCTGAAGGACTTCGCCCCCGGCTCGCAGCTGCCGATCCTGCTCTATGACGGCGAGGCCAAGACAGACACGCTGCAGATTGAGGACTTTCTAGAGGAGACCCTGGGGCCCCCCGAGTGAGAGTCTGGGCAGAGCAGGGGGGACAATGGCGGGGCGCCCGGAGGGGCCCCCCAGGACAGGGCCCAGGGAGGGCGCAGTGGGGCTGCAAGGGTCTGACCCACGTTCCCCCGGCTCTCCCCCGCCCCAGGTTCCCCAGCCTGGCGCCCCACTACAGGGAGTCCACCACCGCGGGCAACGACGTCTTTCACAAGTTCTCCTCGTTCATCAAGAACCCAGTGCCCGCGCAGGACGATGGTGACAAGGGTGGAAAGTCGTGGCGAGGGTGGGGGAGTTGTGTTCCAGGTCGGGCCCTCAACGAGCCCCCCACCCCCGCCAGCCCTGTACCAGCTGCTGCTGCGGGCGCTCACCAGGCTGGAGAGCTACCTGCGCGCGCCCCTGGAGCACGAACTGGCCCGGGACCCACAGCTGCGTGAGTCGCGCCGCCGCTTCTTGGACGGTGACCAGCTCACACTGCCCGACTGCAGCCTGCTGCCCAAGCTGCACATCGTGGACGTAAGCACGGCCCCGGGGCGGCGGGGTGCGTGCGGGGGGGCGGGGCACGCCCCGGAGGAAGCCCTGACGCACGGCGCCCCTTGCCCACCCGCAGACGGTGTGCGCGCACTTCCGCCAGGCGCCCATCCCCGAGGAGCTGCGCCGCGTCCGCCGCTACCTGGACAGCGCGCTACAGGAGAAGGAGTTCAAGTACACGTGTCCGCATAGCTCTGAGATCCTGGCGGCCTACCGGCCCGTCGTGCACCCCCGCTAGCACCCCCGCCTCTGCCGCCACCTCTGTGCACTTGTCTACAGCCCCATAAAGCCATCTCAGCTCCAGGGAGCATGTCGCACACCCCGGGGACCAGGGGGCCCAGCTTCTGCCACCCCTAAGCCCCCACCGTGGCCTGCTCAGTTCCAGATGACAGCGGCAGAGCAGCCGGTGGGTGGGGTACAGCCCCTCCCCCCACCCATCAGGGATGACAGGGACTGGCTTGGGCTCCCAAACCAGTCAGGCCAGGGCGCAGCGTTAGGATGGCCGAGGAGGGTGGGGAGCACAGCCCAGCCGGGGCAGCTCAGGGCTCCGAGCCAGTGGGCGGGGTGGCCCACATTCCTTGGCCCCACCCGCGGGGGCAGGCCAGGTCCCTGCCCTCCCGCAGGACCTACTATGTGCATGGTGTTGGGTACTCGAGGCCATGTCCTGCTCTGCGGGGTCCGGAAGGGGTGTGTGCCCCATGGGGTGGGAGGGTTCCAGCCCTGGGAGCCCTGGGCGGGCCGGGCAGAGGCAGCCGGGCGGGTTGGGGAGCCTGGCGGCCCCTCCCCCAGGAATCCAGGGCCTGACACACCTGTTCACCTCGCACCCAGGTCGCGGGGGGTGGGGGACGCCTGGTCTCTCTCCCCGAGCCCCCCCCCACCATGGGAGCCGCAGGCTGGCCATGCCCTCTGCCAAGGAATCCGTTTATTTGCTGGGGAAGGAGCTCAGAGAAGCAGGCTTGTTCCCCCCACGCAGCAGTATGGGCGGGTGCATGACGTGGGGTCTCGGGGGCCGCCCCCCTCTCACAGGCAAGCTTCTGGCGGGGCCACACCTTGTGCTGCACGGTCAGAGGTCATCAAAATCCACACCACTGGCTGGTTTCTTACTGGGAGAGAAGAGGGGGTGACATCATGGGGGAAGAGAGGAATGGGCGGGGTCCGGGGCTGGACCCTGGTCACAGGGGCGGGGTGGCGGGTGGGCACCTTTTGAAGCCAGGGTTGATGAGGGACTCTCCAGGACACCGCCTCCTGACCCCAGGTCCAGGGCAGCCTCTCTGAGAATCTGGATCCACAGGGAAGGCAGGATTGGGGGGCGGGGGGGTGGTGCCTGAATACAGTAGGACCCCGGGGCCACAGCCACCTCTACACGTAGACAGAGCCTCTCTCTGGAGCTTGAGGCTCATCATGGGGAAACTGAGTCAAGGCAGAATGAGCACGGCCCCAAGCCAAGTCAGAGAGGAGAGGGCTACCTGGTAAGAACTCTGGGGGCCCCGCTGGCCGAGCGCTCTTCCTGGGGCTGGCGGCCGTCTCCTCCACAGCTGGGGACAAGAGCCGGGAATGAAGGCCTGGGCAGGGGGACCCCAGGGAGGCTGCGGGTGCCCGCCCCTGGTCCTACATGCCAGCTGCCGCTCCAAGCTGCACACGCGCTCCGCCAGGCCCAGGGTCAGCGCCTGCAGCCTGGAGGCTGCCTCTGGGTCCGGCACTTTGGACAGCTCGAAGCCCAGCGCGGAGGGCCCGCCAGCGAGGGTCAGGGACGCTCCGTCCTCCTGCAGCGTGAACGCCACCGCTTGCTGCTTGAAGGCTGCCCTGGGAAAGGAGGCGCGCTGAGTGCTGGGGCCGGACCCACCAGCCCCTGACCTGCCCTTCCGACTGGCTCAGGGCTCACCTGAAGCGGGGAGTGACGTCCTCTGCCGCACTCAGGCCAAAACGGGCTTTCTACGGGACACGGGGGCTGGTCACCATCTCTCCTTGACCCTGGAACCACTGGCGACCCCCCAAAACCTGCCCGACCCAGAGCCACCCGGGACCCCAAGCCAATCTTAGGACCACAGCTCAGACCCAGGGAAGGGCGCCCAGCCCCCTTCCGGGGAGTCCCCGACAGCCCCCTTCCTCCGCTTGGGTAGTCCGCCCTGCAGGCGTGGGGGACTGGGGCTGCGGGGCCCGCCCGGGGGCCCCGTTACCCACGAGGGCCGCCAGGCCGTCCGGCGTAAAGCAGGTGCTCCAGAGCGCCGCGCCGTCCGTCACACTGAGGGGGAGGGGCTGTCAGGCGGCCCCGCCCGCAGAGCCGCCCGCGCCCCCAGCGCCCCGCGGGACCGTCACTCACTAGAGGCTGAAGCCGCCTCGGCCGCTGGCCCCAGCTTCCTCCTTCTCGCAGTAGCATATAAAGCGCGGGGGCCCGGGGCCCGGCGGTAACGTGCAGAGAGGCGGAGGTAGCGGCGGCGGCGGCGGGACCATGGTTCTGCGAGCGGAGGGCCAGAGACCGGGCCGCCGCGGCTGCGGGCCCAGGGCGCCTGCGCGGGCCGGCGGCTGCCGGAACCGGAGGCGGGGCCTGCACCGGTGGGCGGGGCCTGAGGCGGGCCCGAGCCGAGTGGGGTCTACACGGGGCGGAGCTTAGGGCCCGGGTCTGGCTCGGAAGACCTTAGACCGGCTCCGGACTGACGGAGCGGAGCAGGCGGAGCTTAAAACGCCGGGCGGTTCTATCTGGGAGGTGCTGACTTAGGGGGCGGGGCTAGGGGGCGGAACCTACGTTTCTGGGGCGGGGCTTCGTGTGCAGGGCGGGGCTCCCGTGTTCGGCGGTTAGAGCTCTGGCCAAACAGCGCGGTCCGGGCTCCAGCCCTCGTGCCCGCGGAAAGGTCTTTTCGGGCTGTATTCCCTTGCGCGTCCGCCATCCCCGCTGAGCCCCGGGTTCCCGCCTTCGCGTGCGAATCCCTGCCCCGCGCCCAGCCCTGTGCCGCTTCGCCCCCTTGCTGGTCCCCGCGGCCTCCCTCTGGCCTCCACACCCAAGTGTCTCGCCCTCGCCTTTAGATACAAACGCAAAGCTTCCTAACGCTGAACAAGTCAAAATACGAAAGTGAATAAAGCATGACCACCAGGGCAAAAAGCCTCCTTCCCTCACTCGTCCATTCGTCCCTGTGCCTCTGTGTTCTCGCCTGGAGCACACCGTGACCCATAGGCATGGCCGCCGGCCGCCTTGTGAGATCTACTGGGGTAGGCAACGCACACAGGAAACATGGAACTCCTGGGCAGTGCCAAGCGCCGTCGGAGCTGGGGGAAGAGAAGCTGAGCGCCCAGGATAGGGGGCTCCCCGGCGGAGGGGGCAGCTAGGCTGAAGTCCCACCGTGGGCTTTGCAAGAGGGCCAGGGCGACCTGGTGGTGGCGGTAGGGAGGGTGGCAGGTGAAGTGCGGCTAGGCTAACACGTCCCTAGCCTGCCTTCAGCCCGCCAGCCCCGCCTCCTGTTTTCTCCTGGCCCACACCCTTCAGGCCCCCAGGGGCTCCGCCTCAGGGCCTTTGCGTGCACCTTCGCCTGCCTGGCTGGCTTTCCCCCAACCCACACACTCCCCTTCAGGCCTCTGCTCGGCAGTCACCTTCTCAAGGAGGCCTTGTCTAGTCACCTTATATAAAACATCAAACCCCTGCCAACATCTGACCTGTTTTACTTACTTTTCCCCACACGTGGCACAACGTGAAGTACATTCTGGTTCACTGGTTGTGGCCGCAGCCTTTAAGAGGAACCCCAGCGATCCCTGTCCTGTGCTTACGCCCCTGCAGGTTCCTCCTCCGAGTCTCACTGAGCCACCTGCTCCGAGCCAGCGGCACGTGGCCGAAGTGAAGGACGGCCACTTCCTCCTCCTTCTCGAGTCGCTCCCCGTGACGGGGGCAGCCCTGTGGAGACACCCACGGGCGAGGACCAAGGCCGAAAGCCCGAGCGCCGCGCGGGGCGCAGCCCCTCCCAGCAGAGCCTGGTCAGCGGCTCGACTGCAGCCTCGTGAGACGTCCTGTGCCGGGGGCCCGGGTTGCTGGGCCCAGACTCTTGACCCCAGACACTGGGGGAGAACACGTGCTTGTTGTTTTAAGCTGCCAAGTTTTGGGGTAGTTGTGATGGAGCCGGGGGGGCTAACACACCGCTCACAGGCCCTCCTGGTTGCCCAGTTCTGTCTTATTTGCTGCTGCGTCCTCAGGGCGTACACAGTGCCCGGCACCCGGCGATATTCAGCGCCTGTTGCGAATAAGTGAAGGCAGCGTGGGACGCTGCTGGACCGTCTAAGCCGGGGGGGGCGGGGCGCGCGCCCGATTTGTGTGTGAAGCCCACACTGAGTGCCATGAGAGGAGGGGACCGAGCCTGCCACGTCCCTCGGGGCAGAGCCGACGGAGGCCGGGCCCGGGGCTCAGACGAGGTGCAGAGGGGACAAGCTCTTCCGGAGGCCACTGGGCTGGGCCGGGCCTGGAGAGCACAGGGGGGCCCCTGCTGTGTTCTGTCAACTCTGCGAAGTGGCCAGGTGTCTGACGGGGAGAGTGCTGAGCACACAAGACTCTGGTTTAGAGGGAGGAGATGGTCTGGAGATTGAGCGCCGGCCTGCGAATTGAAGGGTTGCCGGTTCGAATCCCAGTCGGGGCACATGTCTGGGTTGTGGGCCGAGTCCCCAGTAGAGGGCGCATGAGAAGCAGCCACGCATGGATATTTCTCTTTCTCCCTCCCTTCCCCTCTCTAAAAAACAAACAAAATCTTTTTTTAAAAAAAACCAGCATTAGGCCCTGCAGGTCAAAGTGTGGGGCCTCAGTAGGTGGCGGTGGGCTGCACTGTGACCCCGTGACCCCTAAGGGTATTGGGTCCTAACCTTTGGGACCCGTGGGTGTCGGTTTGTGTGGAGGGAGGCTTCTGCAGAAGCGGGTCAGGGACAGACCTTGAGGGAGGAGGTCGTCCTGTGCTCTCTGAACGGGTCCTGAACACCAGCACGAGAGGCAGAGGGGGACCTCACCGAGCAGAAGAGAGGCCGAGTGGCCGTGGGGACAGAGGCCAGGAGGAGCGAGGCAGCTCCCGGCCAAGGACAGCAGCGGCCACCAGAACATGGAAAAGGCGCGGAGGGTCCTCCCCCAGGACACCTGGGGGCGCGCGGCCCTGCTGACACCTCGGTTTCGGCCCAGGGCAGCCGGTTTTAGGCTTCTGGCCCCCAAAACTCTAAGTGAATAAATGTATGTTTTAAGTTTGTAATAATTTGTCACAGCAGCTGCAGGAAGCTAAAACAAGGTCTGAAACAAAAGTTAGTTCCAAAGAACACTGATAAGAACACTGCACAATCTAAATCTTAAAAAATCACACAAAAATCTAGAAAATGTAGCAAAACCTGTCTTCACCACCCCAGGTCCCCCGCAGGGGACAATCCTGTGTGCTGGAGGCTGAGGGCTCAAGCAACGGCAGGGCGAGAGGTAGGCGGGGCCTCAAAGGCAGAGGAGGCCAGGGCCCGAGGAGGCCTGCGGGCAGCCGGGGCACCGGCTTGGGGTGCGGGGGAGAGCAGTGTGGGGGGCGGGGGGGCTGGGGCATGGTGTCCGGGGCGGCGCAGGAAGCAAAGGGCCCAGCGGAGCAGCTGGGGGCCCGGGGGGCAGGCAGGGAAGGCTCAGGAAGGGCTGCGCAGGTGGTCGTTGAGCAGAAGCTTCCGGAGGAGCGGAGAAGGCCAGCAGAGCGGAGAGCTGGGAGGACGTCCCAAACAGGGACAGCCCGGGCCGAGGCCCTGAGGCAGGCTCGGGGCGCATGCTCAAGGGGCCTGAGGGGCTGGAGTGAAGGGGGTGGGCAGAGCAGGGCCCACCAGGGAGGGGCTTGTTGGCCACCTAAGGACGTTGGCCTTTATTCTCAGTGACAGGGGACCCACCGGGGGCAGTTGGGAGCAGAGGACATGTGAGCTGACAGGCCTTGCACACGCATCGGTGGGCTGCTGGGTGGAGCGCGGGCAGAGGGCTGGTCTGCACATCCTCAAGGAACGGCCCCTCCTGGGCCAATGTGGGGGTGCTGCGGGGTTCCCGCAGGGAGCCTCTCTCTGAGGGAAGGGCGTCCAGGAGGCCCTGGAGGGCAACCTGCATCCCCGGCTCCAGATCCTTCCCAGGGGACCAGGAAGGGGACAGTGAGCGGGGAGGCAGGGGACCGGAGCCCAGGGTGTGGGGCGCCAGTGGCAGGCCGTCCTGAGCCTGCTGCCAGGAGCACAGGCCTCCCACCTCTCCACCTCGGACCCCTGCTGTCGCCTCCTGGCACCTTCTGCCCTTCCTTCCCGTGGCTCAGGTGGAAGCTGAATGACAACCGATAGATCAATCAATGGATCGATCAATTAATTGATTTTTCACCTAGAGAGCGAACAGCATCTCTCAGCAGACGCCTCCCTTCGGTGAGCAGCTGGCACCTCATCCAAGCGTCCGAGCGTTGGAGGAAGGTTGGGGCGCTGCGCCCCCAGATCACGGATATGTGGGGGCGAGGGGCTGGTTGTCTGGGAGCCCCCCCATCCCCCGCCCCCAACCAGGGCTTTCATTCTGGGCTGGTGTCAGGCAGGAGCAAAAGCAGAATGAGCCTCACCCGGATGTGAAAATTGTCAACATTTTGATGTTTGTGTCCAGTATTATTTTTTTCTGAACTATTTATGGGCTGTTGTCCTAGAAAAAAGTCAGTCCGTTATTTTAGCAGCAGAAATGGGTTTATTCGGGAACAATAAAGAATTGTAATTCCCGGCAAGAAGGGAGAGGAGCCTTCATTGGCAGAGGAAGGGGGAGCTGGGCGGGCCGCCACCCACGGTGCCCGCGGGAGGGGACTCGGTGGCCCAAACGGAGGCGGCGTCTCCGCGGCGGGGTCGTGACGGCCTCTCATTGGCTGAGCCGTTGCCCGCCCGCGGGAAAACCTCCCTCCCTCCGGGCTGGTGACTTAGAGAAAACAGCTCTTAGAGACGCAGGTGTCCCTCCCGGGCCGGGCGGCCGGCGCGTGGCAGGGGTGAGAGCGCCCCCTGCCGGTCACCCCGCCGCCGCCCCGGGGTGGTTTGCGCTGTTAACTTTCACGAGGTCTCCCGCCATTTTGCTCTGGGGTTCTTCAGGCTGCACCTGAAGGCAGCGACGTTGTCCCCCGTAAGCCCCACGCAGGACAGAGTTGCGTACCCCACCCACGCTGGTCAGGGAGGGCCTGGCTCCGGGCTCCACAGGGAGCCCTGGGCAGTGGTGGGCGGTCAGGGGAGCAGTGGGGGCCTGGAAGGGGCTCCCCGGGCGGAAGGGCCCGGATGTTTTCCTTCCTGCGCGGTTAGGGAGGACCCCAAGGGCTGGGCCCACGGGAGGCCCTCGTGCCCTTGGCACAAGGTTCTGCACAGTGGGTGCCGCACAGGCCTGGGCGTGGGGCGAGAGCAGACCGCAGCCCCAGCGCCCCACATCCGCGGGGGCCCAGGGAGGCCCCTGCAACGCTCTGTCCCCGGGGGGGGCAGAGCCTGAGCGGGGCCTCGCCGGGCAAGGGGTCCTGCCTGGGCCCTGGGACGGCCAGGGAGGGGCTGCCCTTCTCCAGGTGGGCCACTGCTACAGCTGGCCACCAGCCCCTCCGCCCCACCCCTCCGCTCCCCCGCCCGAGGCTCGCAGGCCGGCTGTTCTCCTGCGGGGGCGGCGGCGGTGCCCCCTGGGGAGGCCGTACGGGGAGAGGCGGGCGGGCGGGGGGCCCGGGGCTCCGGGGCTGCACGCCTCGCTGCGGCCAGGCAGCAGGTGCACAGGATGGGCGGCATCCTCCCTCTCCCCAGGGCCCCGCTCTGCGCCTTCCCACCTGCTGCGGTGGTTCCGCCCCGCCCCGCCCCCAAGGCGGAGGACTCCGGGGTGCAGCCTTCTGGCCGGGAGGGGCCTCCTTGGGTCTGCAGGGCCCTGGGCGCTACACGGTCAGGGAGGGGTGTCTGGGCGAGCTCCCGGGGACTCACCCAGGAGAAGGCGCCAGCGTGCTGGTCTGTGGGGAAGAGCGGGGCCTGAGGGGCCCCCCGGGGCCCGCTCCCCGGGGCGGAGCCCCCGCCCTCCCCTGGCCCTGACAGGCCCGGACGGGCCAGCCCCTGTCCTGTGTCTGGGGTCAGCGGGGCGGGCCTTGGGGCCTGGGCTCCCACGGCGGCAGCACCACGTGGGGTGGGGGCGGTGCTCACCTGCCGTGGGCCCACTTGGAGTGCCAGGAGCTGCCGCTTCGGGGCGTCCACAGGAAACAGCCCTGGGCGCGGGCGAGAGGCGGGGCGGGGGGGTGTGGGAGAGGGAGTGGGTGGGGGGGCAGGGAAGGGTAGCCAGGAGGGAGGCACGGGGCAGGGTCTGCCACAGACACAGAGTCCCCAGGAGACACCAACTCCTGCCCTGGGTTGGAACTTGCTGGAATGTGCATGTGGCCCACACTCCAGCCAGAGGGTCCCGGGCCTCGGCCACCAGCCCATTGGCCAGCACAGCCCCGGGGCCCCAAGCCCATCGCCGCCTCGCAGGGGGCCCCGTTGGCTGCCCGCACCTGCCCCTGGCTGCTGCCCCCTCAGCCACGATGCTGAACTGCCCGTCCACGGCACCTGAGGTGAAGGTCACGTCGCTCTTCCAGCACCTGCCCGGCCCCGAGGCCCAGGGAGCCTCAGCCCAGCCCACCGTCCACGGAGGCTGCGGCCCTCTATGCCAGTGACCGCCGCGTGGCCCTGCACCCAGACCCCTCCCAGCGACACCCAGGCTGCTCGCCATTGCCTTGCGGGGAGGAAGCCCGCCGGGGGCAGGTGTTAGGTGCTTGGTCAGGGCACAGCCAGGGGACACAGGTCTCGCCTCCAGACACACACGGGGACACTGTCCCCCGCACCCGGCCTCGGGCGGGGCGTCCACTGCGCTGGGCCCCCTGGCAACACACAGCCACCATGTCTGTCCCCACGGCCCCGCCGCCCGGTGCCAGCAGGGGCCCAGGGCCGTCCAGGTCCTACTATGTCAGGGACAGCTCTGGCTCCTGTGGGCTCACACCTGGCCTCACACCGGCCAGGTCGAAGGCCCAGGTGGAGCTGGTGGGGTCACTTGTGTGTGGTACCTGAGGTCGAGGGCCAGGTCGCCATTGGCCCAGAGGGTCACCGAGACCACGGGCATCTTCATGTTGTCCTTAAAGTCCAGGAAGCCCGGCCATGCGACGCCAGCCCAACTACGTACCAGGCGGCCCAGAACCGTAGGGAGGGCGCAAGGAGAGATGTGGGCGTCCCCCTGACCAGTGTGGGGACAGCTGGGCCCCATCCTGGCCTGCGGGCCCGAGGCGTGCTGCTGGGCACCGCCCGGGGGCCAGCCGAGGGGCCTGCAGCCCCCACCCCCCCCAGTGGGATGAGGCAGGGGCACGGGGCTCCCTCTGGCCCCCATACAAGCGGAGCTGTCAGGGAGGTGCGGTCAGGGCTGGGCTGCCTCAGGCCCTCCGGCCGTCCTGCCCCTGAGATGCCCAGAGCGGCTGGCCTGCCGCCAGGACGGACCACCCAGGCGGGCTCGAGGTGGGCTCGCCTGCAGCGAGCAGGCTGGTCCAGCCCCACTGGCGCTCCCTCCTGGGGGGCGCAGCCCTGGCCGGCCCTCTGGGGCGTCGGCCCCCAGCCTTCAGCTCAGGCACAGCCCAGCCCCTCCTCCAAGCAGCGCCCCGGAAGCCGACTCTCACCCAGAGCCTCTCGCAGCCCTTGCTGCCTCTGCAGGGCCCAGCCGGGCTGGGACCCCGGGGGCAGGCGGCAGCGGGCTCCACACATCGTGAGCGGGGGCCCGGGAGGGGGCCTGAACGCAACCCCCGCGCGGCGGGAGGCGAGGGGGAGAGCATGCTCCTGCCCGGGTCGGACTTGGGGCCCGCGTCCCGCGCATCAGCAGGGCTGTGGCTCTGGAGGCCCAAGCCAGGGGCCAGGGGCCGTGGGCGCGCAGGAAGCCAGACGGTGTGAGTGCGGCCTGTCTCCAGCCCACCTGGCCAGTCTGTCCCAGCGGGGGAAGGGAGACAGAGGCTCCAGCCCGTTCTTCCTGGTCCCTGGGAAACCTTATCTCTGCCCGATCGCACTGTGCCAATCCTGCGCTCAGACCGCCCCAACCCCAGGATCCCCTGGGGCTCGGCCTCACGTGGCTGTGGCCGTGGGGGGGCTTCCCCTTAGCTGTCCCGACTCCCGACCCGGCCCGCCTCCCTGTCCCCACCTTGTCCTCCCAGACGCCCTGCAGAACAGAGACGGGCGGGGAAGCAGACGTCCGCAGGGAGTCGGGGGGTCAGGACCCCAGGGAGCCGGCCGGGCAGGCCGGGGCAGCGATGGGCGACCGACCTGCTGCACAGACAGGCAGGAGCCAGGCTGCTGACTTGCTTCAGGGCTTTATTCTCAGAGGCAGGAGAGAGCAGGAGGGGGCAGGGGCTGTGGCCGGGGGAGCCCGGGCCGGGGACTGGGGGTCTTGGTGGAGAGCGGAGCAGGGCAGCACGGCCGGGTCCCGCGGGCGGGGCCCCCTGGTGGAGAGAGCGGGGCCGCAGGTGGAGGGGCGCCCGGCTGCCCCGGGGTGCGGCCGGCAGGAGGGTGGAGCCCGCCCAGCGCCACGCCCCCCGGCGCTGACGTTTCTCAGCAAGGGCACCGGCCCCCTCGGACCTCCCCACGGGGCACCACCCCAGCCTCCAGCCCCTCCCACCCCGGCAACCCCCCTGGACCGGCCCTTGTCTGCCTGGGACCTCCCTTGCCTGGCGGAGTGGGGCTGCGGGGTGAGGCCAGCCCACGGTCCACTCACCTACGGGTGCCCCTCCATGCACTTGTCTGCCAAGGAAGAAGGGGGGAGGGTGACCGCCTGGGCCAGAGCCACTTCCCCCACGCGCAGCCCCGGGGAGCCCGCTGACCCTCAAAACTGCGACTGTGGCTCTCCTCCCTCCCCCAGCTTCTGCTGCCGCAGACAGAATTGGCCCTGTCCCCACGGCTGTCTGCCGGACCCCCGGGGCCACGGGCACTGGGCCTGGGGGAGCCCGCCCCGGGCCGCCCCACGCAACTGGCCCGTGTGCCCCCAGCGCCCGCGATCCCATGGGTGCCTGCCCCCTGGCCAGGGACCCCCGTATCCGGGGGCTGACCCGGGACCTGGCTTCCCTGCTAGGTTCTTGGTGAATCTGGGGAGGGGGTTTCCTGGAGAAGGAGCCTCTTGCCGGCCGCCCCCCGCGGAGATGCAGGCCAAGGGCATGGGGTGGACAGGCTGCCCACCGCCGTGGAAGCCACGCAGCAGGTGTGCGGGCAGCCTGGCCAGAGGAGCGGGGACCTCGCCTCCGTTGACTCAGGAGACAGGCCTGCCCGTCTCTAATCTGGCCTCAGTCCCCGCCCAGCAGCTCAGTGGCCCTCACCGGTTTGAGGCAGGAAGACAATGGAGTCCTCTGTGAAGCCCTGGGCCTTGGCGAAGGTGGTGAATTTCTCCTTCACTTCGGCCCCAGGCGTCTGGGTCCGGCCTGGGCAGGGAAGAGAAGTGGGGGGTCTCTGCTCTGCGTCCTGCGTCCCCCGCCCGCTGCGGGAGCAGCCCCGCCCCCGCCCCCGAGGGGGAGGGCCAGGGCCGGGAGCCTACTGTAGAGCGTGGCCATGAGGAAGTCCTGGCCCAGGCCCTTGGTCCCCGACGTGTAGAGCAGAGCGTAGTTTTCATAATCCGTGGCTGCCACCCACACGTCGTTCACGCTGCCCGAGTCTGGGAACCCACGAGACGGCCACCGCTGGGAGCCCTGCCTCCGGGCCTCCGGCCTCCGGAGGGGGTGCCCGCCAAGGCGGGGCTGCCTTCCGCGCCCTCCCCGACTCAGCCGGTGGCCAGCCCCCTGCTTCCCGCCTGGACAGCCCGTGACTCTGCCAGGTGGGGGCCAGTGTCCCCACACGAGAAGTCCCAGGCCAACACCACGCAGGCTCAGAGAGTTAGGGGTTCTTGCTGCAGCCCCGACCCTCTCGGTGGCCAGGAAGAGCAAAGACGCCCCGGTGGGTTCGCCATTGCTGGGGGCAGTGAATGGCTCCGGGGGCCCTGCCCGTCCAGCAAGGAGGGGACAACCAAGGCCTGGGGACCTTCCCCCCGGGTCAGGGAGGGCCTGGCAGGACGTGGCCGCAGAGGGGAGCCCTGGTCCCCCACACCTGGGCGTGTGGCAGAGCCGGGCCGGGCTCTGGGCTCGCAGTGGACCCACGCGGAGCGGCCCCACCCTGCTCACCCACCAGCAGGTGCCGCCCAGGGCCGGCCGGGGCCTCCGGGGGGCTGGGGGAGGGCCACTCACAAGGGCTGGTGTAGCTGTAGCAGCCGGGGGTGCCTGCTGACTGCATCAGCAGAGTCCTCGTCTCACACTGGTCTTTCCTGTGGGCAGGTCACCTTCAGGTCAGGACCCAGTCCAAGGGTCCCCAGACCCCGACCACAGGCAGGCGGCTCTCAGCCCCAGAAGCCCGCCCCGCGGTCCCACCTGAGGAAGGTAATGGTGAGGTTGAGTCCGCCGTCTGCAGTCGGCGCCACCACCGACGTGCACATGGACAGAGCCGCCTTCTTCTCTCGGAACCAGCTCGAGTTGGAGGCGAGGCCCGCGGTGAACCAGCGACCCAGGAACTGCGGGAAACGGCCCCCTCCGAGTCGGCCCAGACCCTCTCTGGCCGCCTGCTCGGGAGCCCCTGCCCCCCTCAAACCGCCCCGCGACCAGTCTCGGCCCGGCCCCGTCCCGCCGGAGGCCCGCAGCGCGCCCCCTCCCTGGGGCGGGCGCGGTCCCACCTCCGCCCAGCCCGTCGGTGGAGCGGGCGGCAGAGGGCGCCCCGGGGCCGGTTCTGGAGGGGTTGGGGGCGAGCTCGGCTGACTTCTCCCACCGCTAGGGCGTCGGCCACGCTCGAGGGAAGGGCCACAGGGCGGGGCGGGGGACCAGCACGGCTGCGTCCCCGCGCAGCCCCCGAGCGCGAGCGCGCGCGCGCGCTGCCGGCTGTGTTTGTGCGCGGGGCGGACCCGCGCGCACTCAGTGTTCTGTGGCCGGTCCGTGCGCCATCCCTTGGCACAGCTCCAGCGCGGCATCCTCGCGGGTCGCCCTGCGCACCGACCCCGGGCGCCATCTCCGTCTGCGTGCTTGCTCTCGGGGACACGGCCCAGGGTCCGTCCTGGGATCCAAGTGTGCCCGTTTCCTCTGAGCGTCATGAGCCCCGAGGGGCGACCATTTGGATGGCGCAGGTGCACAGGTGGCCCGCGTGTCTGCACGTACCAGGTGCGCACTCGCGGACACAGGTGCTTGCCTGCGCGGCGGGATACCTACCACCTCCCTCTCAGGCGGGAACTGTCGTCGCCCCAGGGGAGCCCCTTGCCGGTCAGCCTCCTCCAGGGCTCAGCTACCCCTCCCCAGGGAGGCAGCTCTGCGGACGGGCTCCCCTTCCCCTGGCAGCTCTGCCCCGCCTCGGGGACCGGCAGGGGAGCACCTCACCTTGTCCTGTTGGAAGTTGGGCTGCAGGGAGACCTGGGCCTCGGCCCGGGGCTGCAGGACCCCCAGCACCCCCAGCAGGACCAGCCCCGTCCCCAGCGTGTGCAGCGCGGCCATCCTCCCGGAGCCGAGCGGGCGTCCCCGGTCAGCAGTGTGGGCAGAGGGTGGGAGGTGGCAGGACAAGCGGGAGCCGCCGGGGAGACCCCTATTTATGGGCCTGGCCTGGCCCTCTCCCAGAGCCAAGGACAGCCCACTGGAGGCTCGTGACGGCGGGTGGAGGGAGGCCGCGTGGGACGCAGCTGCAGCCTCGCCCCTCACAGGGCTGCTTATGTAAGAGGCGGTGGCCAGGCAGCCGGGGCCCTGACACCGTGCGGGGGGCAGGGGTGGGGGCGACGGTCCCCGGGCCGTCCCGTTTCCAGAGCCAGAGCCGGCCCAGCAGCCCGGATGGGGGCAGGGGCACGGCCTTGGTGCGGCCCTGCCTCTGGGGTGCCGGGCACCCCCCACCTGGGCTCGGGCCCCCCCCCGGAAGCCCGAGGTCTCATCGTTCCCTCCCCAGTCTGGTGACTCGGGGTGGGGATGCCAGGCCCCACTCGTACCGTGTGAGCTCAGTCCTGAGAGGCCGCGCGGGCCCGGGGCACGAGGGGAAAGGTGGGCTAAGGGGCAGAAACGAGATCCGCCCGCCAGTGACGGGGAGCCAGGAGCCAGGCGCACGGGGCACGGCTTCCCCACAGCCGCCGCCGCCGGGACCCTGGCCTGGCCCAGGCACCCTTCTCAGCCGGGCCGCTCTGGCCTTGGGCGTAGCCCCTCCTCTCGAGCGCCACCGCCGCGCTGTCCTGCCCCCGCGTCTGGCCCAGCAGCACCTGGGCCAGCCTGTGCCCGGGGAATCGGGGCGGGGGCTGCTCACGTGCCTCCCCCAGCAGGGGCCCGAGGATTCACTCCCCCTTGCAGAGGGGCTCCTGCGCCCAGAGGTCTCCCTGGGTTGGCACCTGTCTCTGGGGTCCTGGCCCTGTTCAAATCTGGCCGGTGTCACCGGTTTCTCTGCTCCTGCCCGAGGACCCTCAGGTGGGGCAGCCTGGGCCCCGCCGCCGGGCTGCAGACTCGCGGCGGCTGCGGGGGGATGGGCCCAGTCTGCGGGGGTGGTGCAGGGCTCTGCCCCCAGCCTGGCACCTTCCGCCTGGATGCTGGGTTCTTGGCAGCGCCGGCTTCGGGCCTTGGAAAGGCCCCAGGAAATGGTCAGCAGGGAGGCGTGGGGCCGGGGCCGCTCCCTGTGGGGACCAGCGTGGGCATTGCCGCCTGCCTTGCCGGGGCACGGGGCGGGCGCCAGGCCTGCCGAGGGCCTGGTGAGGTCGGGGCACCTGCACCTCAGTCCCGTGGGCTTCCCGGCCCAGGCCCGGACTGTGCTACGGGCCGAAGCAGGCGGCCACGCATGTTCTGGCGGGACTGGGCGCCCTTCCGGGGCTCGGAGCCTGGGGATGCGGGTGAAGGCAGAGCAGAGAGCAGGGGTTCCACGCCGAGGGGCTGGGGCCAGGGTGGCGGGTCTTCCCTGCACACGGTGGCTCTGCGCCCCGGGGTCCCGGAGGGGTGGAGGAGGCCCTGCCCCCACGGGCTTCTCCCGCAGAGCCGCTCTGTGAGCGGGGCAGGCTGTGTGCTCTGCAGGCACGGCGGCTGGGCTGGCTCGGCCCCCACCCGCCATGCAGCCCAGGCTGCGCGGGGGCCGGGGGCGGACGCTCAGATCCCGTGGGCACAGCGCACGCCCTGAGGGGTGGGACTGGGGCTACCCAGCAAGGTGGGGGCTGGGCCGCGGTGGAAGGGCCGGGGTTCTGCCTCCCCCGCCCTGCCCCGGGGCCCCCTCCTCCTGCAGGTCCCCCTGTGTTCTCCCCGGGCAACTCGCCCCCCAGGTCCAGTCAGTGCCATGCCGGGGGTTCCCCTGGCCCACCCCTCCCCCATCTCTGGCACCCCAGCGAGCCCCTAACCCGCCCCTCCTCTGTTCCTTGCTCCCCAAGTCCACCCAGCGGCCAGAGCCAGCAGCTCCTGTGGGCTCCCCCCGCCCCCGAGCCCTCTCTGCCCTCCCTATGCCGACCCAGCTCCACCTGCGCTGGCCTCCCAGCCGCACCCACGGCCCCGCCCCCCGATGGCCAAAGGAGCAGCTCCCTCTGGCCCTCGCGCCCAGCACCCCTGCCACCCTGTCAGACGCTGGCTCCCCAAAGGCTGTATGTAGACACCACCTCCAGGAAGCCCTCCGTGCAGGTCCAGGTCAGGCTCCGAGGGAACCCGGTGCCCCTCCTGCTCCAGGACACTCCGGCCTTGCTGTTTTGTTTTCCAAGGACTGTGTCCCCTGTGGGCGCCAGGAAAACTGGGTCGGGTGAAGAATGAGCATGCGAACGAGCGCTGGCTCAAGGCGCAGTTGGAGCGGGGGTGGGGGCCCCCCCTGCTGCCGGGGAAGGGGCTCCTGCAGTGGGTGGTGCTGCCATGGCTCTGGGCAGCTGCCATCTTTCTTCCTAAACACAGTTCCTGCCTGGCAGAGGCGGGGCCACCCGGCGGTTGGGCCCGAGCCCCCGGGAACCAGAGTTGGGAGCAGGGGCTCCAAGCTGGGCCTGCGCCCAGGCTGCTGGCAGGAGCCAGGGGCCACCAGGCAGGCACGGGGTGGGCCTGGGCCAGTGGCCGGCCTCTCTGAACCTCAGTTTCCTTGTCTGTGCAGAGAGGGAGGAAGCTCTCGCCTCCCAAGGGCTCAGGGGGATGAGGCAGAGTGTGGAGCCGGGCGGGCCTGCCCCAGGGAGCCACTCTGTGGTGGGGGGGCTCCCGCCGGTCCTGTGGGCTGGGTCCTGGACCCCTCCCCGTGCTGGGCTCTGCCACAGACCTGGGAATCAGGCAGCAGGGAGCCCTGAGCGGGGGTGGGGGTCCGTGGGAGGCCCGGCCCAGCCACAGAGGAGCCAGGCCGCGGTTTCGGGGCATGGGAAACGGGTGCCCGGCAGCTGCCCCTGGGAATCCCGTTGGTGGGCACGCGCGGCCCAGCCCCCACCGCCCCGCCCCCGGCCGGCGATGGGCCCCTCGCCAGGCGCCGGGGGTGGGGCTGGAGCAGCAGCTCCGGCTGAGACACTGGCAGGACCCCGGCCCCCACCCCCGCCCCGGGGCTGCACGAGACGGAGGCCGGGGGTGGGGCAGGGCGCCCCCAGAGCCCCTCATCTGTCAGCGGGCACCGCACCCCGCTGCGCTTGGCTCTGTGGGTGGCCGGCCATCCAAGCTGAGCCACCTACGCCCTGCGGGGCCCCTGATCAACCCGGCGAGCTGGGTGGGGGGGTCCTGGACGATGGGGGCGGCACAGCCCACCCTCTGAAAGCCCAGAGGCTGGGTCTCGGCGCCACCGCTCCCGGCCAGCGGGTGGGCAGGGCACCTGTGCCAAGCGCGCAGGCCAGGTGCCGGCCCCCGGGAGCCCCACGCGAGGCGGGTGCAGGGCGAGACCCCCGAGAGGTTGGCCCGGGGGCACCCCCTCGGGGCAGCCCCTCCCCGGCCCTCGCCGTGCTGGCGGCTCCGGGCGCGGCTGGCGCGGGCCCCGCGGGCCCAGCGGGCAGAGGCCCAAGCCGGCCCCGTGAGCTGAGGCTGCAGTTTCCCTGGAGCCTGGTCCGGGAGGTGAGAGTGGCATCCGCCTACAGGGGGCGGGGGGCGGGGGAGCTGGAAGGAGGCTGCTCGCCTGCTGTTCCGGTGCCCGAGCCTGAGCCTGCGGTGCAGGGAGTCGGCGTCGTCCTCGACGGGCCCCCGCCTCTGGCCAGCGGGTTGGCAGTGAGCCCGGGGCCCAGGCCTCGGCTCGGCTTCCGCCTGGGGGTTGGGGGGGAGGTGACGGGCCAGCCCCTGGGCCGTGTCCCAGCGCTGGTTGGCCCTCTGGGCCCATGGCTGTCTCTGTGCCCAGTGGCCCCTCGCTGACCTGGATGGGACACAGAGAGCTCCTGACCCCTCCCCGCCTGCTGCTCGATGACCAGTTCCCCCCAGCCTGCGGGAAGGGGCTTTGGGGGACCCTGAGCAGTGGGCAGGGGCAGCCCTGCTGGACCCCACCGCAACCCCTCCGCCCCACCCCCACCCACTTGGCCCCAGGGCCAGCCGGTGCCCCACCCCAACAGGCTCTGTGGGAGGTGATGGGGAGGCCCCAGAGGGCTGTCGGTGGGGAAGGGATTCTGGAGAAGCTGCTAGAGTGTTCCTCAAAATCCCCGAAGGCCTCGTCCCCTCCCCAACCTCCAGGTGGACAAATGGCTATCGCCAGGTGTCAGCCCGCTGACCGGAAGCGGAGACGGGGAGGCACACAGCCGTACACTGGGCGGGTGCTGGGTCTGCAGCGGGAGGGCCCCGGCCGGGGTGCAGGGTGTGGGGCACAGCCAGCGCATGCCCCCCCCAGGAGGGCAGCCCAGCCTCGGGTGCCCACGCAGCACCCGCCCATCGTCCCGGGCTGACCCGGCCTCCGCTCAGCTTTGCCTCTGCTGAGCCGGCGTGGCTGCCGGGGCCCCCGGAGGGCCCTGGACGGCCGCGGCCGGTGGGATCCCAAGGCCCAGGGTCCGCTCCGGCTTCCACACTAGGCCTCCTGGCCTCCACGTCCGGCCCGACGGGCTGGCCCCCGAGGCGCCCGCAGCACGTCCTGGTCCCGGCAGGGGAAGTGGGCCCACCTCTCAGGCGGGGCCGGGGGTCCTTGGTCCTTGGCCTCAGCAGGCTTGGGGACGGGCGCCCCCGCCTTTAATCCTGAGCCCGGGGTGGCCCTTCAGCAGGGCGGGCACTGGCGGGGCAGGGGGTGCTGGGCCCGTGGGGCCGGCAGGGGGCATCTGGTCACCCGCCTCCACCTGGCACCGCAGGGGCCCCTCCGGGGCCACTGCCTGCTCCCGGCCCCCCAGGCCCAAGGCCACCTCGGCCGGATGCCATCGCAGGGGGCCCTGCTGGGAGGACAGGCCTGGCTCTGTGGCCCTGGGAGCCGGGGCCAGGCCAGGGGGCGCCCAGCCCATGGGGGGCGGGTGCCAGAGGGCCAAGCGAGAACCCTCATCGCCTGAGCCTGGAGCCGGGTGCTCTGGAGCCGCTGTGCACCCCGGGGGCCACCTGGCGGCCGTGCCGGCTCCGCCTGGCACCAGGGCTTTGTTTGTGATGAGGGAGGGGTATGGGGACAGATGTGGCCTGGGGGGACGGGGCCGTGAGGGCGGCGTCAGCCAGGGCCAGGCCAGGCTCCCAAGGGGGCGTCCACCTTGATCAGAAGAGGGGGCCAGCCTGGCCTGGGGGTGAGTGGGGGTGCGGACAGGGTCTGGAGACAGAGCCCACCGGAAAGGGGGGCGCAAGAGAGGCCGGGCTGGGCCTTGGGCTGGCGCTCCCCACCTCGGGGGCCGCAGCACCCCCAAGCTCAGGGCGAGGATGAGGCCGGTCAGCAGGGGCAGGACCCCGCCCCCTGGCGCCTGCCCTGGCTCCAGCCCCTGGTCCTCAGGAAACCCAGTGTCCCCTAATACTAATTTTTCTCAAAAAATATTTTCCTTACTTTTAGATTTTATGTATTTATTTTTAAAGGGAGGAAGAAAGAGAGGGAGAGAAACATCCGTGGGCGGCGACCTCTCGCGCGCCCCCTGCGGGGGATCCGGCCCGCACCCCAGGCCTGTGCCCTGCCTGGGAGTCGAACCTGCGACCCTTTGGTTCGCGGGCCGGTGCTCAACCCACGGAGCCACAGCGGCCGGGGCTCGCCTCTTACTATTATTTTTTAAATTTTATTTTCATTTACAGCCGACGTTCGGTATTGTTCTGGATCGGTTTCAGGTCGCCCAGACGTGTCCAGCCCTGCCCCCCCCCCCCCACGTGGCTGTCACAGTCTCGTCACGGGCCTTTAGGCCCCCGGGACCGCTCTGGGACTGCCCTCGGCGCCTCCTCGCCACGCCCCCTTCCAGCCAGCGCCCCGCCCCGCGCCCCGCCCCCCGCCCCTGTCGGCCGTTGGCCCGTTGGCCCGCAGCCCCCTCTCCAGGGCGTGAGTCTGTTTCAGGGTCGTTTGTGCGTTCAGCTTGTGAGCGGGGTTCTGCCGCGCCTGTCCTTCCCCGACGCACAGCGAGCGCGACGCCCCCAGGCCCTCGCGCGGCCGCGGATGCGGACGTTTCACTCTTTCTGGCCGAGTCACACGGCGTCGTGCGGAGCGTCCCTGGTGTTGGAGCGTCGCGTCAGCTTCGCTCACCTGTCACAGCGAACCGCTCAGTGTGGACACACTGTCAGCGAAACCCCGCGCGTTACCAGGCTGCCTCGGTTTTTGCCAAGTCGCTTTCCGGTCCCAGGACCCCGTCCGGGACCCACGAGGCAGCTCGTTCCCGCCACGGCTCCAGGCTGGGACACGTTCCCGGCCTCTCCTGTTTCCAATGACCTTGACGGGTCGGAGGCCTGATCAGGGACTTTGTAGACGTCTCTCGGTTGGAATTTGGCTGAAAATCCAGTGTCACTGGCGGGACAGAAGTCATTTCTTTTTGACAGAGAAGCCCAGAGGCGGGGCCACGCGGGGCTTCACGGCCCACGGGCACGGCCCCCCGCGTGCGTGTTCGTCCCCGCCAGCACCGAGGACAGAGGGCCTCCAGGAAGAGCCACCTCCAGGAAGTCACTTTGCTGCGTGGCCAGGACCAGCCGCCAAGGAAGTCGGAGTGGCCGTCCCCGCTGCCGGGGGCCGTGCTGCCTGCGCACACTCAGGGTCCACGTCCAGCCGGGACGAGAGGCAGCTTGCACCCCGTCCCCCCGGGCCGAGCTTGCCTGCGTCCGCCCTGCCCGCTGGCAGCGGGTCCTCCGTCTTCGGCGGGATGGGTGTTCCCTCCCGACGGCCGAACGGGCGGTGTGGCAGGGAAGGGCGGCGAGGGCAGAAGGGCCAGCTCCCTTCTCCAGAGGGAAAGGGGGGGGTCTGGTCTCTCAGCCCCCGTCCCGGAGCCTGGAGGGCACTCCCTGTCCACTGTCTGCCGTGGCCAAGGTCCCCAGGTCACCGCAGCCCAGCCGCCCGCAGGCCCAGAGGTCGGGCAGGAGCCACCTCCGCCCCTGGCCCACGAGGGTGCCCCGGCCAGTCCCCGCGCAGGCGGCGGTGTGACCGGCCGCCGCAGAGGGCGCCGGGAAGGGGCGGCAGCGGACCCCTGGGCCCGGGGAGGGCCTGCTTCTGTAGGAGGCAGGTGAGGGGATGGGGCAGGCATGGTGGGAGGGGGCAGTGGGGTCCCGGGGGCGGCAGACCCAGGCCTGCAGGCAGGAGAGGGTCAAGGCTGCCGACAGCAACAGCATCGGGGCGGGAAGGACCCCTGGAGGCGTGGGCCTCGGGGTAGTGGCTCGGACCCAGAGGACCAGGATTGAAAGGCTGCAGAGGGAGATCCTGGAGAGAAACCGGGAGGCCCGGGGTCACAGAGGTCAGGGGTCAAAGGAGGTCACAACAGCCACCACCAAGAAGAGGGGCTGGCAGGAGGCAGGCTCTGCTCGCTGCTGGTGGACAGAGGCCCCTCCTGTCCTATGTGAGAATCCCGGTCACCACCCGCAGCTGTCCCAGGGCAGCAGGGCCGGCTGTGCCTGGACTCGGCCTTACCCCAGGGGATGGGGCAGATGCTCGCTCAGCCCCAGACCAGGCTGGACCGGAAGAGGGGTGGGGGCGAGGGTCCCGGTGGGTTCCTGGCCGGAGGCCGTGGGAAAGGAGGTGTGGGCGCCAGGCCATGAGCCGTGGGTGGCTGTCCTGTCCGGGCCTGGCCGGACACAGGAGAAGGGCTTTGCCAGGCGGCGACGTGGGGGGGCCCACCGCGTGGCTCCGACGTTTGGCAAAGGATCAATCGCAAGGGGCCTCCGGCCCTCCCCGCCCCCACGGCCGCCCTGCCCGCTCCTCCCTGAGGCAGGGCCACGCCGGCTAGTGGGGCACAGGAAGCACCGCTCTCAAGGGACCTGGGATGTAGATGTAGGCGGACGAATGCGGGCACAGAGGCAAGGCCAGCCGTGCCCCCAGGCGGGTCTGCTTCCGGGGACAGTGCCGGCCGCCTTCAGCCAGCGCTCCGCCCGCCCTGGGGACAGCTTGTGCCCAGCCCCGCCGAGGGGACAGAGCCAGGGCCGCGCGGAAGCGCCCCGCTGCTTCGGGGGACACCTGCTGTCCAGGGCCTCCGAGCCCTGGCCATGGACAGGGCGGAAAAACCCAGCTCCCAGTTAATCCGCACAAACCAGAGAAAGAGGTTAACTCCCTTCAAAACAAAACAGCTTTCTTTCTGCCAGAGCCGCTCCCCGCCTCCCCCCCTCCCCCGCGCCCCCGCGCCCCGCGCCCCGCCTGCCAGCCGCTGCGGGAGCTCCTGAGGGGCATCGGGAGGCAGTGCACCGCCCAGCAGAGGCGGGGCCTGCGTGCGTGCGCGTGCGCGACCCCTGGGCGTGCGTAGGTGTGCGTGTGCACCTGGGTTTGAGTGTCCGTGTGTGCCCGTGTTCCCACGTCTGGGTGTGCCTACGTGCGCGTAAGCCTGGGCGTGCACCCGTGGCCCCAGTGGAGGCGACGACCCGCTGGCCCCCACCCTCCTGGGAGACTGTCGCTTCCTCCCCCGGGAAGGGAGGTGGGCGGTCACAGCCTCTTCCTGTCCAGGCCGTAGGCCCCCAGGCTGGTCCCGTGTGGCCAGAGACCCCGGCTCGCAGTCTCTGAGCCCCTCGCCATTCCCGGTCTGCCGGGAGCGCCCCCAGGGCGCCGCCTGGAGCGGGAGCCGTGCACACGCCCCCTGCCCGGTGTAGGCGGCGGGCGGTGGGCGTCCGGCCCCGGGACAGTGCCAGCGCTGTGCTGGCCACCCGGCGCCCTGCGGGGGCGCCGCCTGCTGCCTCGGTCAGGGCCCCTCACCCTCCCAGGGTCCGCCCTCCTCCCGCTTCCGGGCCAGGCAGGGGGCAGGAGAGGCGGCGCCCCGGTGGGGTCCCCTTCCCAGGCCCAGAGCGGAGCCCGCACCCCAGCCACTGCTGCGCGACCCGGGGTCAGGCCGAGCCCCCCGCGGGGACAGGAGTCAGGGCCGCAGCTGCAGGGCCGGCCGGGCACCGCCTGCAAGTGCCCCGGGGGCGTGGGGCCGGCCGCCAGCTCCGGCGGTGTTTGCACAGCTGTCCGCGCCGGCTGGGCTGCGGCCCCTCGCTGGTTGTCAAACACACTCCAGAAGGTTCGTATTTCAGAAACGAAGGCAACGCAGGACTTTCTTTGGAAAAATGAAACCGAAGGCGCCCGTCACCCGGAGGACAACGGTGCCGGTGGATGTGCCACCCAGGAGGGGCCGAGGCGATGGGGGGAGCCGGCTCCGTCCAGAACCCAGGTCCGTGGCAAACCGAGGCAGACAGACGTGTGAACGGAACGCGCGGCGTGGGTCCAGCCGGGCCGGGGGACGACAGCTGCCCAGCACCCGCGCGCGGGGCGGTGCCGGCCCACACAGTGCAGCGGCCCTCGGCCACGAGGGGGACGGCGTCCTGGCTCAGGCCACGGGGACAGGCCCGGAGGCCACGGTGCCGAGGGGAGGGACCGTCCCGGGAGGCGCCACCCACCGAGGTCCCTGCGGGAGGCAGGCCCACAGAGACGGGGCCCACGGCGGGGCCACGGCCGGGGCGGGTGTTCCATGGGGACGGAGTGTCCGCGTGGGCAGACGGAGGGGCCCGGGGAGCGTGGCACGTCCTGAGCTGTGCCCTGAGATACGGTTAAGGTGGTTAAAACAACAAAGTACGTTAACAAGCTGATGCAGAGGAAACAGTGTAAGAAAGAATTTAATTAATCTTAATTAGGAGCGGGGACGGGAGCGGCTGTCAGCCCCACAGGTCCGCTGGCGTCGGGCAGACTGCACCCCCAAGACGCTGCCGCCCCCACACACCCCGCCCCCGGCCACGTGGCCGACGGCCTCCCACCCAGCGCAGGTCTACGAATTTGGGTGCAAGTGACGCCGCGTGACGACTTCCAACGGTGGGTCCCTGGGGGGAGAGTGTCTGCGGCTGCTCCTGGGGCACAGGTCACACGGGAGGAAATGACTCCGGCCGCTGAGGTCACAGAGGGTCGGACTCGGCGCTGCTGCTGAGCGCGAGGGCCGGGCCGTGACAGGGCCTGGTGGGGGCCGCCTCATCCTTCAGCACGTTTTCTGGTGGTGCGACCAGTCTGACGGGGTGGCAGAGTCAGAATGGAGGACAGGGAAGGGCAGGGGCAGGGCCCGGGGCCCAGAGGAGGGGAGGGAGACGCAGCCTCCGAAGGGGAGGAGGGGGAGGAGGTGGGGGAAAGGGGGCTGCAGAGGCTCCGGGGGGAGGGGCCGGGGCAGGAGGCCGGGGGCTGAGGGATGTGCCCCCCCAGGGTGCTGCTCGCCCCCACGCCTGGCCCTCAGGAAGCCCTACGAGCCCCCAACTCAATGCAGACCCAGGTGGCCAGGTGCACGTGGGTGAGCGGTGGGTGAGCAGGTGGGTGTGCTGTCAAGTGCAGATATGCATGTGCTTCTGAGCAGAGCGCACACCTGCGCCATGTGTTTCTCCCTGTGCTCACATGTGTGCAGGGGTGTGCGAGTGCATGCGCACAGGTAAAGGGCCAGAGGCAGGACATGCGGGGGCACGATGGGAAATTCTCCCGGAGTTTGAGGGGGTGGTGGCCCAGGAGAGAGGGACCTGGGCGGGGGCCGATGCCGCGGAGCCAAGAGACCCCCCCGTCTGGGCTCAGGCCGGGCCCCCGAGGCACGGGCCCGAGCGTCGGCAGCGCGCACCTACGGGGCCCCGCGGCCCAGGGCCCGGCGCCCCGCCTCCAGCCCCGCGCAGCCCCGCCGGCGAGCGGCACCTTTCACGCCTGGGAAGACGACGTTGTCCTCTGTCAGGCCCTGCGCTCTGAGCAGGCAGGCGAATCTGTCCAGCGCCTGGGTCTCGACCGCCCACATTCTGCCTGGAGCCCGAGAACACGGCGTGGCGCTTCCTGGCGCGGCGGCCCCGCCCGCCCACGCGCCGCGGCAGGAGGCGGGGGAGGGGGGCTCACACAGCAGGTAGACCCTGAGGAGGCTCCGGGCGCGGGTGCGGGACTGCCTCCGGGAGACCATCAGGGCGAAGGTGGTGTAGTCGGTGCTGTGCACCTGCAGCTCCTCGGCGTCGGCCTCCGGCTCTGAGGGGCGCAGCGCGGGTCAGGGCCCCCGGCGCCCCCCGAGCCGCCGCCCCCTCTCCTGCCCTCTCACCCCGGCTGTTGTCCACTGAGAATTTCCCAGGTTGCGCCGCAGGAATCAGCACGTAAGACCAGGTGATGCAGCTCCGGCCCCTGTAGGCGGGGGTGGGGGGTGGGGGCCACGGGCAGAGGAGGCAGGTTCTGGAATCCGGCCAGGCCTCCTTGGCCCCAAGGTGGGCCCCCCAAGGGGAATTGGGTGGCTGGGCCCAGCCAACTGGAGGCCCCGCTGTCCCCGGGAGGCTGTGTCCGCCCGGTGTCCCCTGAGGCCGCCTGCGCCCGGAGCAGCGACCCGTGGGCGCTGACCTCTTCGCAGCGGCTGCCCAGCCCGCCCACTGACCCTCCCACTCCGGCTGGAACAGGGTGCGCGGCGATACGAACAAGCCTCCCTCTCCGGGGTCTCGGGGGCCGGAGCAGGAGGGGGGCCACCCTGCGCCGGGCCTGCTACGCCTCCCCACGACCCGCGGGCGGAGCGGGGCTGTGGCGGGAACCGCTGGCTGTGAGAAGCGGCACGTGCAGCCCGGCCTGCGGTGGGCGGGGGGCTGCCCGGAGGCCTCATCCCGGGGGGACGTTTGCACTGGGTTCCCTGCCCCGCCGATCAGTCGAGCCTCCGGCCTGAGCCCAGGCGGGCGGGTCAGGCGCCCCGGAGTCTGAGACGGCTCGGGGTGGGGGGGGGGCGTCCGGCACGGCCACGCCGTGCGGGCAGCTCTGAGGGCCGGCGGGCGACCGAGCTCCTTGGAGGCCTGGGGCAGGAGCTGAGTGCAGCCGCTCAGAGGCCAGCCTGTGCCCTGCCCTCAGCCTCTAGGGGACGGTCAGCGCCCACCACACACCTGCCTGTTGAAGCTCCTACTTGATGTTGCGTGGAGCCCTGGCCAGAGGTCGCGGCCACCTTGCCCCGCCGCCCGCCAGCGGGGTGATGGGATAGAGAAGGCCCGCTGCCCCCAAGGGCGGCTGCCCCTCAAGGCTCTGTCCTCCTCCCCGGTCAGCGGACGGGCACTTGACCCCGGCAGGCCAGTGAGTGCGCCCGTCACCCCGGACGCAGCGGCTGGCCCAGGAGGAGCACGTGACTCGAGAAGGCCGGCCACGGCCATTACCGAGCTGGCCGGGATGGCCCCTTTTCTGGAACTGGGGCCCTGAGGAGGACGGCGGCTGAGGCCGCCCTCTCACCCGGTGAGGCAGGCACCGGCCGGGACCCAGGCCTGGGGCGGGCCGCGCGGAGAGGGCTGGGGGGGGCGTGTGCCGAGGCCCGAGCACGCTGCCTGGGCTCCTGGATCCCGCTGAGCCTGAAAGCCGCGCGCCCGTGGGCTGAGTCCGCGGTCCAGCAAGCGCCTCCCCGGTCGGGGCGCGGCCCAGGGCCGGCGGCATCCCCGGCGGGCTGCGCTGTGCTGGCCTGAGGCGGGGGCCTGGGGCGGATGCGGCCCCGGGCCACGGAGCCACTGGCCTCTGGGCGCAGCCCAGGCCGCACTCACCGGGTCATGGCGTAGGACACTTCAAGGCGCTTCTTTTCCTTCTGCTCGAACGTGGCAGTGAAAGGGCCCAGAAGGGCCCTGTGCACCCTGCTGTAGGTGCTGCCCGCCAGGCCCAGCACGAACCAGTGACCCTGGAACTGCAGGGGGCGGGGGTGGGCGGGGCGGCGCGGCCTCCGGAGCTTCGGTGTCTCGGTCTGTGCAGAGGGACTGGGGTGGCCCCACAGGGACAGCCAGGGCCCCGGGAGGGACGGCCGACCCACCCAGGGGCCCGGCCTCGGATGGGCGCCCGGGGTCTCCCGAGTGGGGGTGTCTGCAAGCCGGGCGGGGGCCTGCCTCCCTCCCCGCACCTGGCCAGCGGCCTCCCCTCCCTCCCAACACCCCCCCGACCTGGTCCTCCTGGAAGCTCTGCAAGACGGGGGCGCGGGCCCCCGGGGATGGTCGGGGCTGGCCCTGCAGGGCTTCCGGCAGCGCGAGTGCCACCCACAGCGCACACAGCAGCCCCATCCCCGCCACTCTGCGCGCTGCCGACTCCACTTGCCCCTTTATGGTGCCCCTTCCCCGCAGCGGCCCGCCCTGGGGGGCGGCAGCTCCACCTCCCTGCGGGGGCCTGGCCGGAGGGACAGCGGGTGCAGGGGGCTGGGGGCAAGCTGAGCGGGGCGGGGCCTTCCTCAGACCCTGCCCCCCGCAGAGGGGCAACTGGGTGCGTGCCCGGGCGAGGGGCCAGGGAGCGGGGCACGGCGCCGGCTGGGCTCCCGGTCTTCGCCTTCTGACCCCTGAGAACCCCCTCCCTGCTCTGCAGCCCACGGCCCCCCTTCTGGGCGAGCACCAGCCCATGGTGTTTGCGCAGCGGGCAGGGAGCTGCCCCTCTCGGTGCCCGGCCTCCGGGCTGCCCTGTTCCCACTGCAGGGACGCAGCGCAGTGCCCCGGGCGGCCGGCGCCCACGCTGCTCCACACGCCCCCACCTCAGGGCGCAGGGCCAGGGCGGGCAGCCTGCAGGAGCCCCCAGCCAGGGGAGAGCAGATGGGGGCGCCGCACCCCGGGCCCAGGGAAGCCACAGCCGGCCCTGGACCTGCAGCCTCTCCCTGCCCCGATGCCCCAGAGGAAGGGGCCGGGAGGAAAACGGCCTCCCTGCCGGGGGCCCCAGGCGTGGGGGTGCTGGACTCCAGGACGGCCGGGGACAACGCGTCCCTGATCCGTGAGCTCCCTGTCCCCACCCCCCGGGCCCCCCCGTCCCGGGCCGCCGCCTCCCTTCACACGCCCGTGGCCTTGGGCAGCCTGTCCCCAGCAGGAGCCCCCGCCAGGCAGTGCAGGGCGCCCGGCCCCCCAGGCTGAGGGGCTCCTCCCAGGCCTCCCTCTGCTCACGGAAGGCCTGGGCCCCCACCCACGACCTGGGGCCTCTCCTCTTCCAGGGGGGCTCCCAGTGCCAGCTGGACGGCGGTGGCCACGGCCTCTCCGGGTCCTGCGCGGGCCCCCGCGCGGGCGAGGGCCAGGGGTCTGGAGGGCCGCGCCCGCCGGTCAGCGGTGTGCTCCGGGGACAGGCCCACCCGGGGGGACATTCCGAATGACGACCCCTGGAGACCCAAGGAGCCCACCCCCCCACGGAGGCTGGGGTACAGCTGCCCTGCCCCCTGGTGGCCTGGGGCCCCACCCTACCGGCCCCAGACGCCCCTGTGATCTGGGGACAGGCAGGGGACGCCCTCTCCCCGGAGCTGCCTTATCCACGGGGGCTCAGGAGGGACAGCAGCGAGTCGGGACCCCGCCTTCCCCGCCTTCCTGGCCAGCGCAGCGGCCTGATGAACAACTGGATACAGTTATGTAGAAACGATTCACCGAGAGCTCCGGTTTCACCTCCGGTCTGATCATGTGCTTAGAGCTCAACAACCGTCTTGTGAAGACGCGACGAGTCGCACCAGGAGCTCTCCAGGCCCCGCCCCCACCCTGTCCCAGCTCCTGCCTGGCCCTGCGGTCAGAGGTCAGACCGGCCGGGCCGTGGGCGTCAGGGCAGCCTCAGGCCAGTGGTCACTTGGGAGAGTCTCTGGCGCCACCCCCTGGACACTCCAGGAACACCCTCCTTGCTCCAGAAGCCCTGGGGGGAGGGTCTGCCAAACGCCCCCACCCCAAGCAGAGGCCCTCAGCTTCCCTGTCGGGGGCACGGGGTGCAGGGGGCGCCCTGGGGCGCTGCTGCTCCAGCCTCCGCGCAGGCAGTGCACGCGCCCTGTGTGTCTCTGGGGCCCGTGGGGCTGGGGCAGCTGCGGTTTCCTTTGCCCTTGTCCCTTGGACCCCTAGGAGCTGGGACCCCCGCCACGCCCTCCTCCCACCAGCCCCACCCCTCCGTCCCTCCGGGAGTCCGGTCTGCAGGGCCGGACACAGTCCCCACCCAAGGGGGACAGTCTCCCGGGCTGCTGTTGGCTCTTCCCGGCGGCCACCATCCTGGTCTGGCCCGGCCGGGGGGTGAGGCCGATGGGGGAGCATTTGGGGAAAGGACGAGGACCCTGACCCCACGCCCCAGCGGCCTGGCGGCGGTCCCGCTTCTGTGGCCTACCGTCCATGCGGGCGGCCTTGTCCTCCCCGAAGCCCAGGAGGCTGCTAGAGGGGAGACGGTGGGAGCTGGGGGGTCCAGCCCCCAGTGGCCTCCTCAGCACCACCGCTGGCTGACTGGGGGCCGGCGCCGCACGTGGAGTCACCGTGGCGGGGACGCCCCCGGGGCCAGGGCTGGCCCCAGGCGGGCCCCTCAGGGAGGCTCATTGGGACCCCGCCGAGGGCCCCAGCCAGGGCGGCTCTGGGGTGGGCTCCGGCCGCAGCCTGTCCCCAGCCCAGACGCTGCCGTCTGCCCTCAGACCCTCCCGAGTCCCTGGTGGGGTTTGGGGCGGGCGGGGGAGCGGGCAGCAGGGGGGCTGCGAGGGGTGTGGGCACGCTGGGCTCCAGACGCCCCGGGGCGGGCGAACCCCTGGCGCAGGGCTCACAGCCACGGGCAGCTCGGGCCCAGCCCGGCCGGAGGGCGGCCCACGGGTCGCGATGGGAGGGGCCGGCTCCCGGCGGGAGGCCCCTGGGAGCAGGGCGCCCGACCCGTCCCCATCGAGAAGTGGGGTGGGCGTGTGGGGCCCCAGCGCCCCCCCGAACCACCAGGGCTGCGGAAGTTGCCAGTGCTCTGGCACAGCCGGGGAAGGAAGGCCTTCAGCTGCGTAATAAGATGCAGGGGCGGGGCAGGCAGGGGCGGCAGCTGGGCCCAGACACTCCCCCAGGGGAGCCCACCGGGCCCTGGGCCGCTGTCCCGGGCCCTGGGAACCCCTGGCTAAGAGGGTGGGGGGAGGGACAGCTGGTCCTAGAGCGATGCTAGTGTCCTGGAGTGTTTGGGGGGTCAGTTTTTTGGAGCCTCGGGTCTTCTTTCCCAGCGTCTTCCCCACTGTTGGGGACCCCGGTGAGGACAGGCGTGCTGGCTGGGCCTCACCGTGTGGAAGGGACGCCGTCTGCCCAGGTGGCCCCAGGGAGCTCCCGCCCCGGAGGCGGCCGGCCCAGCGCCTCCACTCTCCTGACAGCGTAGGGCAACCTGGAGGGGCCCTCCCGGCAGCCACTGGGGGCGCGGCACACTCCTCCATCTTCAGTCCCTCCCTCCCCCGCCCTCTTCCCCCCAGGCCTCGGAGGCCCCACGGTCCAGAAGGTTCTTCCCTACAGGCACAGTGTACCCGGCCCGTACATCGCTGGCTAGTGAGCCTGGCGAGCCCTGGCTGGCAGCTCCTGGGGGCCCACCCCGCATCGGGCCCCCCACCCCGTGCGCCCAGGGCCTGTGCTCGCCCGGGCCTGGCAGGGAGGGGGGCTGGCCCTCTCCCCGTAGCCTGGGGCACAGACGCGCCCGCCTCGGCGCCCGCCTTGCCGCCCCCGCGCACCTGTCCACGCACCTCACCACAGAGGCGCCTGCTGCCCACTGCCGGTGTGGGCTCTGCCCCGGAGGTCATCCTGCCCCCGGACCGGTCCATGGTCCCGCCAGGCCCTGCTGGCCACTGGGCTGGCCATGGGGCTGCCCCCCAACAGATGCCAGTCCCCCTGCCCGGGAACCGCTGCCACCTGGCCTCCCTGGGGGGAGTTCTCCACGCAGCCGGGGGGCAGCCCATGAGGCACCGGAGAGGAGCGGGCGCACACAGGCCCCAGCCGGGGCCAGCACAGAAGGTAAGGAGTCCGGCCTCGGAGGGTGGTATTTAATGGGGGCAGTGCCCCAGGGACCTGGGGGTGAGGGGCCGCTTGTGGGGGCAGGGGGATGCCAGCCTCCGTGGGGGTCTTCACGCCTCCTCAGCGACAGGCTGCTGTGGGCCCCGCCTGCCGACTTCTGCAGCACAGAGATGGCACTCAGCCCGCAGGGCGGCCTCGGGCGCAGGGTGCACCGCCCAGCCGCGCCGGCCGCCCGCTCACCGTCCAGGACGTGGAACTGGTCTGCGGCCTCACAGAAACCTGGGGGCCAGGTGGGGGTCAGCGGAGCAGGGCCGAGGCCCTGGGGGCGGGCGGCTGGGCGGGCCCCGGCTCTGCTCACCGTATTTGGGGAAATACAGGACGTGGTCTTGGGTCAGGTTGGCCTGCTGGACCCGCTGCTCAAACATGTCCACCACCGAGTCGTCCACAGGGAGTGAGCGGGCTGTGGGACGCAGGCCGGTCCCAGCCCCCGCCATGGACGGACGGGCGGGCGGGGCACTCGGGGGACAGGGCCTGTGCGCTTGCCACACGCCGCGCCCCGTCGGAGACTGGCCCTCCCGCCCCTCCTGGCCCCACAGCGCGGTCTGTCTGCGTGGGCACCTCCCGCGACCCCATCAGCAGGAGAGGGTCCGGACGCCCCGAGGAGAGAGGGAGGGAGGGCGGGCAGGGAGGGTCTCTGTGTGCACCTGGGCTCGCCCAGCCCCCCGATGGGACCAGGAGAGCAGAGCCTGGGCCCCCCGTGGACCCACCGTACAGCTTCACCGTCAGCCGCCGCGCCCGCTCCAGGTACAGGATGGCGAAGCTGCGGTAGTCCGTCTCCCCCACGGCCACGAGCACCTCCCCACTGGCGCCTCGAGCTGCGCAGAGACAGGCCGGTGGTGTCGGCCCCACGCCAGCCCCACACCCCCTCCGGCGGCCTGGCCTCACCTTGGAGCCGGAAGCGGCCTGGGGCCTCTGTTCTTCTGTAGAGCTGCCGCACCTGCCAGCAGATGCCATCCCTGCGCGGTGGGGGGAGCACAGCAGGTTCAGGGGCCCAGCCGACCCCGTGCAGCGCCGTGGTCTGGGCCGCAGCAGGGTGGAGGAGGCGGGGGGAGGGGGGCTGCGGGCCCCGCTGTGCTCACAGCTTTCGGAAGGTGTTGACAGCCATGAACGTGTCCTGCGGGTCCACGTGCAGCGTGGTGGCCTCAGCCCGGTGGCCCTGCTCCTGCAGGAAGCGACACGAGGCAGCCACGGCTACCAGGAGCCACGTCCCTGCAAACTGGAGGCGGCCGCCGCGTCAGGGCGGGGGTGAGGGGGGAGGTCGTGCAGCCGCCCAGGCTGGACCCCTGCGAAGCCAGGGAGCTGCTGCCTCCCCCCCTCCCCCTGCGCCACCTGCTGAGCGTCGAAGTCGGCCTTGGGCAGGATGGCGCTGATGGGGGACGGGGGCCGGGGGGGCCTCCGAGCCCTCTGACCCAGGACGCCAGCAGCCAAAACTGCCATCGAGAAAAGCACAGTCCTGGGAGGCAGCATGGCGGAGGCAGCGACAGGGACAGGACTGAGGGGAGCCAAGGACAGGGCGGCCACGTGCTGGGTCGGAGTCCACAGTCCAGGCCGCCCAGGAAGTCCAGTCCGGTCTCCCCCAGCCCCAGCTCAGAGCCAGGGGCCCCCCACCGCAGAGCCTCCGCATGAGCTTGGCCTCGTCCTGGACGTCTGACCTCGACCCTACGCGTCCCGGCAGGGCCCTGGCACCGCGCCCTGTGTACAAAGTCCAAGTTGGTTCCTAGCTATTGGTCCAGGAGCCCCCACCGATTTCCACTGCGGCCAGTGCTCAGCCCTTTGCATGTGTGTCTGCCTTAAACTGCCAGCAGCTTAAGGGATAGGAACTGGTCTAATGAGTTCTTTGAGACAGAAACTGGTCTAATTCCCACGGCGAAGAACGCGGCGGCGCTGAAGCCACTTGCTCAGCCCCGAACCCGAGAGCGCCAGAGCCGGGTGGGAACCCACCGCGCGGGAGTGCCGCCCGCAGCCGCCGCTCCTCCGGGCCGCCAGGGGCGCCCTTCTGAGAGAGCCCGAGCGCGCAGGCGCACAAAGCGCCGCCCGTCATAGGGCCCGGGGCGCAGGCGCAGCGACGCAGGCTGCGGGGCGCTCGGCCCTCCGCGGCCATCGATGCTTCGGGGCTCGTGGCGGCGGCCTGGCGGGCTCCATCATAGAGACGCGGCGGCCGGAGCGGCGGCGGGCGGAAGCGGGTCCTTGGGCCGAAGCAGGGCGCCGGGGCGGGGGCAGCGCAGCCGGGCGGAGGCGGCCGCGGTGAGTGCGCGCAGCCCCCGGGAACGACGTCACTCGGCCCCGAGGAGCGTCGTTTCCCGGCCCGGGACCCCGGCTCCTGACCCCCGGCCCCGGGGAGCGTCGTCACCGGTCCCCGAGCCCTGGCCCCTGGTTCCCAGCCCCCCGCCGCACCCTCGGCCAATGAATGAGTCTCGAGGCCCCGCCCACAGCAGCCCCTCGGAAGGTGGGAGGGGGCGCAGGGCGGTCCCCGTCTCCGCCCCGCCCCCCGCTCCTCTGGCCGCGGCCGTATCGACCCCGCAGACCGCCTGGCTTGGCTCCCCTAGGCCACTGGGCAGAGTCCAAGGGCCGGCTGGTACCGCTGGCGGCGCCCGGGGCGGGCGGGCTGTCCCCAAGCCCCCTGGGAAGGAAGTCTGTGTCTCAGGCTGGCAGCCTCGAAGCCTTGGGACGGCGAGGTCAAAGTGACAGGAGGGCGCCGCGAACCCTTCGTTTCTCGGCCTTTGGAGCGGTCGCCCTGGCACCCAGATATCTCCTTGGGATTACTTGAGGGGGAGGTCAGAGGGCCCCACCTGAAGGCCTGCCCCCAAGGCCCCCAATCTTTTGGGGTGAAGGTGGGTCTGGGGGCCCCGGGGGGGCTCGCCCCCGCTACCCCTTAGGCCGGACCAGGCTCGGAGGTGCTGAGCAGGGTCTGCTCATTGCCCAGCTGCTGCCTGTTCCAGGGAACCCAGGGACTTGCTGGGGGCACCGCCGGGGTGTGTGGTCGAGGAGCGCGGCTGCCCCAGGGGGGCCTGGTGAAGCTGTTGGCCCCTCGGCTGGGCAGGCAGCGCCTGGGTCCCCTCGCAGCTCGGCCCAGTTAAGTTCCCACCAGTGCAGGGGGTGGGGCTGGAGGAGCGGCCGGGGTGCCTCTGCTGCCCCCCCCCCCCCCCGGGCCCGCACCTCTTGCAGCCTGGGGGTCAGTGTCCTCCCAGACTGGCTGTCAGCTGCGGGGCCGTGCGTGCATTTCAGGGCCGTCTGGGCAGAATGTCACCATGGATGAGGGGGGCACGCCCCTGCTCCCCGACAGCCTGGTCTACCAGATCTTCCTGAGCTTGGGCCCGGCGGACGTGCTGGCCGCCGGGCTGGTGTGCCGCCAGTGGCAGGCCGTGTCCCGAGACGAGTTCCTGTGGAGGGAGCAGTTCTATCGCTACTACCAGGTGGCCCGCGACGTGCCCCGGCACCCAGGTCAGTGCCGCTGCACAGCCGCGCCGGCCGGGCGGGAGGCGGGGCTGACCCCGGCTGCTGTCCCCAGCTCTGCAGGCTGCGCCCGCCGCCTGGGGCCTCACACCCCAGGGCCATGGCAGCACAAGGCCTGGCGGGGACCACGGGTGGGCAGGGGGCGGCCCCCACGGAGGCCGGAGTGGCGGCCAGTGGGCCCAGGGGCAGGGCTGGCCCCCACACTGGCGGGGGCCCAGCAGTGAGAGCCCCCCGCCACGTGCCTCGCAGCGGCCACATCCTGGTACGAGGAGTTCCGGCGGCTCTACGACACCGTGCCCTGCGTGGAGGTGCAGACGCTCCGGGAGCACACTGACCAGGTGCTGCACCTCAGCTTCTCCCACTCGGGCTACCAGTTTGCTTCCTGCTCCAAGGACTGCACCGTGAAGGTGAGGGCCTCCCGGGAGCCACAGGGGTGGGGAGGGGCCTGGGGCAAGCAGCCCTCCCAGGTGGGAAGAGAGGGTCAGGCCGCCGCTTCCCCACAGCGAGGGCCGGCCATGATCGCGCGGCGTGGGTGGTGGGGGAGGGTCAGGCCTGCCGACAGCCAGGCTGGCGCAGCTCAGTGGACTGAGCGCTGGCCTGCCAGCTGAAGGGTCCCCAGTTTGATTCCTGACCGAAGGTGCATACCTAACCCAGGCCCGGTCCCCAGGAGGGGGCGCACAAGAGGCAGCTGGTTGATGTGTCTCTCCCTCTCTTCACTTACCCTCTGAAAACAAATCTTTAAGAGGAAAAAAAACCAAACTGCCAACAGAGGAGAGGGTCCTGCTCCAGGGCTGGGCCCGCAGCCTTGTGTACCCACGCCCTTGGGGTGGATGGCAGCCAGGGGCAAGGAGCCACGGCTGCGATCGCGGTTTCTGGGCGCCCGCTCACCCCGGGGGCAGGGTCCTGGGGCCCACTGACGCTCCCGGCCCGCTCGCAGATCTGGAACAACGACCTGACCATCTCGCTGCTGCACAGCGCGGACATGCGGCCCTACAACTGGAGCTACACCCAGTTCTCCCAGTTCAACCAGGACGACTCGCTGCTGCTGGCCTCGGGCGTGTTCCTGGGGCCCCACAATGCCTCCTCCGGCGAGATTGCCGTCATCAGCCTGGGTGAGGGGGCCGCGGGGGGGGCGGGGGGGCCGGGAGGCCTCGGCCATGCCCCCTGCCAGGCCCGCCCCTCCCTATCCTCCTGTCGCGCTTCCTGCAGACAACTTCACGCTGCTGTCCCGTGTGCGCAACAAGCCTTACGACGTCTTCGGCTGCTGGCTCACGGAGACCAGCCTGATCTCGGGGAACCTGCACCGCATCGGAGACATTACCTCCTGCTCGGTGCTCTGGCTCAACAACGCCTTCCAGGTGCGCGCAGGCACCCCGCAGCAGGGACCCCCCTCCCTGGCCGGGCCTGTCACCCACCGCCTGCTCTCCCCCCCAGGACATTGAGTCTGAGAACGTCAACGTGGTAAAGAGGCTCTTCAAAATCCAGAACCTCAACGCCAGCACCATCCGCACCGTGATGGTGGCCGACTGCAGTCGCTTCGACAGCCCCGACCTCCTCCTGGACGCCAGCACACCCCCCAGCCGCGTCTTCGACCTGGGAGGGGACGGTGACACCGAGGACGAAGATGAGGCAGCCAGCCCGGCGCCCGTGCGGGCCAAGGACGGCCTGCGGCGCCTCCTGGATGGGCTGCTAGACGCGCGGACACAGCCGCAGCTGGCGGAGCGTGCGCTGGAGACCAAGGTGGCGGAGCTGCTGGCCCAGGGCCGCACCAAGCCCCCGGAGCGCAGCGCAGCCAGTGCCCTGAACAAGCTCCTCATCTTCACCACGGGCTGTCTCACCTACTCGCCGCACCAGATCGGTAACTATGGGCAGGGCCGCCCTCAGTCCCCAGGGCCCTGGGCACAGTTGTTTTGGCTCCATGCAGGGGCCCATCCCGGCCCCATCCCGGCCCCATCCCGAAGGGCAGGGCCTGTGGACGCCTGGGGCGGTGGGTCCCTCACCCGGCCCTTCCGCAGGCATCAAGCACATCCTGCCGCACCAGATGACCACGGCCGGGCCGGTGCTGGGCGAGGGGCGGGGCTCCGACGCCTTCTTCGATGCCCTGGACCACGTGATCGACGTGCGCGGACACATCATCGGCATGGGCCTGTCTCCCGACAACAGGTGTGCGCCAGGGCTGGGGCGGGGGTGTCCGAGGGCGGCGCGCGTGAGCGAGCAGAGTGCCCCTCGCCCAGGTACCTGTATGTGAACAGCCGCGCCTGGCCCAGTGGCTCTGTGGTGGCCGACCCCATGCAGCCGCCGCCCATCGCTGAGGAGATCGACCTGCTGGTGTTCGACCTCAAGACCATGCGGGAGGTGAAGCGGGCCCTGCGTGCGCACCGCGCCTACACGCCCAACGACGAGTGCTTCTTCATCTTCCTGGACGTGAGCAAGGACTTTGTGGCCAGGTAGAGGCGCCGGGCCCGGCAGGGTTCGGGGGGTGAGGGGCAGGGGCCCGCGAGGCGCGAAGGGGCTCATCCCAGGCTGCCCGCAGTGGCGCCGAGGACCGGCACGGCTACATCTGGGACCGCCACTACAACATCTGCCTGGCCAAGCTGCGGCACCAGGACGTGGTCAACTCGGTGGTCTTCAGCCCTCAGGAGCAGGAGCTGCTGCTGACGGCCAGCGACGACGCCACCATCAAAGCCTGGCGCTCGCCCCGCACTGTGCGCATCCACCGGGCCCCGCGCCCACGCAGCTTCTTCTCCTGGTTTGCCAGCCCGAGGCGCTGAGGGCCACGGGCCGACAGGAGTGCCCCGCGTGTCCTCCGGCTGCTGGGACCCATTGAGGACGCAGTAGAGGCTGTGGCTGTTCCCCATGGCTGAGCTGCTGCCCAGACTGCGTGGGGGGCGGAGAAGCTCGCAGCAGTAACGCCTCAGGAAGGGGGTCTGGCGGGGAGTGGGCGGCCTGACCCCCACCACGCTCACACACGCTCGCCACCTCCCACAGCCTTGATGCTTAGCACTGGGGTGCCTGGGTAGCCTCCTGGCTGATGTGGGGTGCACAGGACACTGGGAACCCCATCTTCACTCACCCCTCTCCCCGGGCCTGGGCCCTGGGACGTCAGCACACCTCCCCTGGCTGGCCCTCTGGGCCCCTGGGTGGCGTCCCTGGTCCGACCTCATCTGGGAGCCCCAGGCTCCCCCGTGGCCGGTGGTGTGGGTCTGCTGTAGGCCTGGGTGAGCTGCATGTCACTAGTCACCTGTTCAGGACCCGAATAAACAGTTGGCAATAGCATGCCGCCGTCCAGTCTGTGTGAGCTAGTGCGGACGCGCAGCCCCCAGCAAGACACTGATGCGAGTCCAGCGGCCTTGAAGGCCAAGGGCAGGGCGCCTGAGGCTGCGGGCTGGCCCAGCGCCCGGGGAGGCCGCCCGCGCTGCTGGTCAACGGTGCAGGGAACCATTCACAGGGCGTCTGGTCAGATGAAACTCCCAGACGTCAGGGGTGGGGGCCGGAGGACCTGCCGGTCCGAGCGTGCGCAGGAGGACCGGCTGCCCCTTGCGCCGCGCTCGCTCACTGCAGCCAGGCAGGAGCCAAGGAACGATACCGTCCCTGTTCACAGGTGACGTAACGTTTAGGGATAAAATCCCCCATGATGTATGAAAACCTCCAATAACCTCCTAGAAGCAGAAAGTGCACTTAGGAAGCTTATAGGCTGCAAGGGTAATGCAGAAATGAACCAGGCCTCTCTAAACGCTAGGAACATACGCCTGGAAACCAAAATCTAAAAGCCAAGGCCTTCTGCATTGGCTGGAAAGAGAAACGCTCAGGTACAAGCCTCACAAAACACGCACGGGCGTGGACGCAGAATTCTGCCACGTGGTCCCAGCCCGGGGCCTGCGCAGAGGCCCCTCCCCGCGGGGCTTGGGGTTCCAGGAGACACAGTCAGGGCAACTGTGAACACCTCTGTACCCACCAAGGAGCAAACACCGCTCAGACAACAGTGAAAAGGACGGAGCTGGGGGATGCGGCACTCGCGCGGCCACCTGCCATGACGCAGGACGCAGAGACGGCGGCTTCACCGGAGCAGGGCAGCGAGGCCGGGGGGAGGCTGCCCTCCCGCGGGCCGCGGACACCCACTGCAGGGAGCGGCGCTGGGACAGTGGCCGTGCAAGGGCTCAGGTGTGCCCCTCACACCTGGGACGGCTTGGACCCTGCGGGCCGCCGCTCACAGGGTGGCCTGGGGCACGGCCACCGCAGGAAACTGCAGGGAGCCTCGCGCTGCTGATGTGGGCGGGGTGCCCCAACAGGAGACGGGCAGGACCCGCCTGAGGGCGAGCTGGCCAAGGGCGGCGTCACCGTCTCTCACGTCTCTTGTTACTTCTGTTCCCAAAAGGGCTTTGTTAAGAGGATAAAAAGATAAGCTTGACCAAAACTATTTACAGATCACACATCCAACAAAGAACTTGTATCTAAATAAATGGCTCTCAAAACTCAGCAGTAAGAACCACCCCAATTTAAAAATGGGCAAAAGAGAGTGGACTGAGCGCCGGCCTGCGAACCAGAGGGTCACTGGTTCGATTCCCAGGCAGGGCACACGCCTGGATAGCGGCCCAGGTCCCCAGTTGGGGGTGTGTCAGAGGCAACCACACATTGAAGTTTCTCACTCTCCCCTAAAAATAAAATCTTTAAAAATAAAAATATTTAAAAAAGTAAAAATATCATTCTTAAAACAACTTAAAAAGAAACACTTTAGTCATGCTGTTGAACAGCATTAGACATTTGGGACATGCCACCAAACGAGGACTTGCCACACAAGCGCGTGCGCCCACGGCGCCCACGAGGTCAGGCCGCCACAGGAGCTGCCACCGCGCCACCCGTACCGGCGGGGACACGCAGGGGCCCCCCGCCTTGGCTGCGGGGGCCGAGGGCCAAGGGCAGGGGCGCCACTGCGCAGGCCACACCCTCTCAGCCCTGCAAGGGTGAGCAGGCTCTGTGGCCCCCGTCACAAGGGCCCTCATCCCCTCACGACCTCGTCACCTCCTCAGGGACCCCCTCCCAGCACCTCCGCCTCGCAGGGCGGGGCTACAGGACGAAAATGGGTGTGTGTGTGTGTGTGTGCGCGCGCGCGCGCGCGCACGCGTGCGCTGGGGGACACATTCAGGTCCCAAGGAGCTGCTCTGGAAATGACTTCAGTTTCTTACGACTTTATTTTTAAAATCTATGTTTGAGCTTAGGGGAGAGTAGAGCGGGCGAGACGCACCAACGTGAGAAACATCAACGGGCTGCCTTCCACCTGCACCCCAGGGGGCTGACCCCACAACCCAGGCACACGCCCTGCCGGGAGGAGCCACGCTGGCCAGGGCTCATGATTTGACAGGACACGCACCGTGGGGCCCAGCAGCACCGCGCTTAGGGAAAGGGACACCTGCCTGGACTTCAGTGCCGACGTGCTCAGAACAGCTCGACTCAAAGCCCCCGACGCCTGGAGCCCACGGGCCGGCCACGGGGCGGGCAGAACGGAGGCAGGGCCTGGTGACGCGCGCAGCCGCCCGGCCCCCCGAGGCGCTCCGGGGGCGGCAGAAGCCGCGGCTGCGGGCACCCGGTGATCAGCAGCTTCCACACAACACGCCCACTCACGCATCACGTCTCATGCAGAGTTTTTTGGCAAAACATCAATCCCCCAGGTGACTCAGCCCCCCTACAGCCCAGATGTGGTGCCTTGAGACTTCTGGCTTTTCCTCAAACTAAAGTCACCTTGAAAGGGAAGAGGTTTCAGACCATTCATGAGATTCGGGAGAACACGGCAGGGCAGCTGATGACAGAACTGTGTGAGGTCCCAAGGCGCCCGCTTTGAAGAGGACCAAGGTGTCCTTGTCCTGTGTCCAGTGTTTCTTGTGTCTTCAATAACTCTTTTTCACATTTGTGGGAGGACTCCTTCTGGGCAGACTCACATGAACTTCCCCAACAGCCAGACCCACGGGACGAGGCGGGTCAGTGGTTGCCAGGGGCTGCGGCGTGTCCCAAAACGAGGGTCGCAAAGGCAGCATGGTGCTGCTCAGGAGGCCCTCAGCGGAGGGTGAGCAGGCGCGTCTGGGAAGGGGACATGAGGGCTGGCGCAGGCCCTCCCAAGCACTCGGTTTCCCCAGGGAACCCGGCTTCCCGGCACAAGCCCGTCAGCGAGGGCGGGGGCTGCACTCTGCAGTTCTGGGCGCAGCGTCTTCTGAGGCCCGACCCCGCGCCGGGTAGTGACCTGCACTACAGGGCGGGGCCTTCTGTCCTGCGCTCCCAGCTGCCCTGGAGCGAGGCCCGCGCAGGCCCCCCGCCCCTCCCGCCTCGCGCTGTGGGCACAGACCGGCCTTCGGCCACAGCCTTGTCCCCTGTGTGACCGGCGCCTGAACCTTTCTACTCTGACCTGACTTCTGAAGTCACTCGTCCACCTGGCAAAAACACGCGTATATAAATTAATACACAGGCGCGCGCACCCCAGGCTCAAATGGCAACGTCAAACCCAATGTTAAAAAAAAAAATCAGAAGAAAACAGAAGGGTTTCCGACCCCTGGGAAGGCGGGGTTCTCCAACGATGGCCAGCAGCACCCCTCACAGAGGAGGACGGCCAGCAACCGCGTCTACGTCCACACGCTCCGTGCACGGCCGCCCCCGCACAGCTCCGCGAGCCATCGAGGACGGGAGCCCGGGACCACGGGCGCTTTCTGGCTCACAGGCTGACGGGACCCAGCCCGGCAGATGGACGGGGCAGGTGGGCCGTCCTCCCAGATCAGGGAGGAGCAGACACCTGCTGGCCCCCCAGTCCCCCGAGGGCGGGCGGCCAGGGCCAGAGGGGGCCTGCAGCCAGGTCGTCTGTGGGGGGGACGCAGACCCACCGCACGTGCCCGGCACAGCAGGTTCTGAAACTCAGGGGCGGGGAGACCTACCGCCTGCGGGGGGCTCCGCCTGAGTCCCACCACAATTTAAAGACGCACTGGTGTCGTCTGTGGGGAGACGCGGAGAAGGAAATGCAAACCTAGAGACCGGGCGAGGGCGGCACCAGGGGCTGCGGGGCGCCCGTGACCGGGGACGCGCGTGCCGAGTCCGCCCGCCTCCGCGCTTCCCGCCGTTTACCGTCTCAAGGGAGACGCAAGGCGGCGTCCACGGCGGACCCACGCCACAGCTCCTCTCCGAAGACACGCCCGGGTGCCCGGGCCAGCCGCAGACCGCGGGTCCCGAGCGCAAGGACAGCCGCCCATCCTCACCCACAGACTGAGGCCCCAACCTGAGTCTGCGGAGCTCGCCCTGCGCAGCCCCGCCCCCCGCAGCTGCCGAGGAAGCAGCTGGCGCCCAGGAGCCCTGGGGCTGCGGGCGGGGCCGGGGCCGGGGCCACTGTCAGGCCCCCCAAGGCTGACGATCCCAGGGCCAGGGTGCTGCACGGGGCGGGGGGGGGGGGGCGCCCAGAAGAGGAAACGTGGCTCTGCTCTCAGGCGCCCCCGGGGAAGCCCTGAGGGAGGGGCCCGCGACCGAAGCCTCCCAGAAGACGCAGCAGCTTACAAGGCCGCAGGCGCGAGCTGGGGTGGCAGGAAACGCACAGCACGGCTCAGGGGCCGCAGAGCCAGGAGGGAGCCCCCGGGCCCCTAGCCGGCCAGAGCCGAGTGGACACCACTTGCCACAGAGGTTCAACACTTTAATAGGGACGCTGCGGCGGCCTGACGGCGCAGCCGACGCGTCTCTCAGGGAGGCTGATGGTGCACCCCACACACCGCGGGGGCGGCGGACAGACACGGCGCTCCAAGGGCACGGGCCGCCTCCCACCCACCGGCCTGGCTGGGCCGGAGCAGCAGGCCTCTCAGAGCCACGGCCAGGCCGAGGTGGGCCTGGCCCTCCAGCGCTGAAGGGCAGGACCAGGCACCGGCAGTCCTTGCTGGGAGGCCCGCGCCTCGCGGCCCGCCGGCCCTCTGCTCGCCGCGCCCGGCCGCCCCGGCCGCCCCGGCCGCCCCTGCCGCACAGCGCGCTGCCGGGACCCGCAGCACAGCCCGCAGGGGGCTCGGCAGGCCCGGGGCCCAGCCTCAGGCCGGGGCTGGGTGCCCCCCTGGAGGCGGCTCCCGCCCTCCACGGTGAGGCTCAGGCCCAGCACGGCAGCTCCTCACCCACTGGCCGGGGCTGCCTGGCACCCGGGAGAGGTGACTAGAGCCCCGCCAGGTCCACGATAGCCTTGATGAAGACGGCGTCGTCACGCACGTAGGAGCTCCGGGCCTCCACCCTGGAGACGGGGCAGAAGAGGGGGCATCCGCTCGCAATGTTCATGTCGCTGACAGGCCTCTGGAAAGAGGACGAGGTCACATCGGGTTTGAAGGCGTCGATCACGTGCTCTCGGTTGTCCTGGTCGAGCAGCATCAGGGTCACCTGGGAGGGCAGTGCCGGGAGGACCACGTGAGCCTGCATGCCCCCCGCCAGGCCCCTGGGCTCGCTGGGCCCATGGTGGCATTTCCGTCGGGGCCCCGAGGCCGAGCCCCACACTACAGACCTGCGCCCCGCCCCCCACCCCCGCCCTGCCCCCCTGCGTCTCCCAAGTGAGGCCCCTCGGCCACGCCCACACCCTGCCCCTTTCAGGAGGCGCACCTGCCGGGCTAGGACCTCCTCCATGGAGCCCCCAGCAGCCCTGGGTCTGGGGGAGGAGCGGGCACAGGCCGCAGCCCGGCCACGCCCCTGCCTCTGCCGCCGCCTCCCCAAGGCGGCACTTCAAAGCACGTGGGCTCCAGCGGCCGTGGTGTGGCGCTGATGACCACCGGAGCGCGCGCGCGGCAGGGGCGGTGGGGCCCAGCACACACGAGCTCCCGCGCTGCTGCCCATGCCCCCGCCCCCGCTGGCCCCGAGGCAGCCGCGGAGAGCAGCTCGCGCACCTTTTGGTTGAAGGGCCAGCGCAGGAGGGCGTCGTTGGGCCCCTTCATCACCACGAAGAAGAGGGACAGGTGCGTGCCCCGCCCAGTGCCATCCCCGTTCAGGTACAAACGCAGACACATCTTGTAGCCGTACCTGCTGGTGTAGAAGGCTGCGGGGCGGGGACGGGGACATGAGAAGGGGACATGAGAAGGGGACATGAGGCGGGGGCTGGGCCCACCCAGCCGCCATCGCCCAGGAACAGAGAGCAGCCCCCACTCCCTCTGCACACCGCCCTCTAGGAGACCCACGGGCTGGGGCGGACGGGCGCAGGGACAGCCAGCAGCTCAGCCAGCGCGGACACGGGGGCACCGCCGCCTGGCCTGAGGCCTCCCACGGGTGCGGCCACCCGCCTGGCGGCCCCACTGAAACAGGTGCCACCCCCCCGCGGGGACGTGACGCTGGCTCCCGAGGGGCTGTCAGCACACGGCAGACACACGGCCCCGCCCCGGGAGGCACAGCCGCTCCGGGCACGAGCAGGGCACGGACGCCAGCCCGGGGGCACGGGGCGCCCCAGACGGCACCTGGGGAGAAGATGGCGGGTGTGCGGCCGGCCACGGCCTCTTGGCGCTTCCTGGCGAAGTCCGAGATCTTCCAGACGAAGACCCCGTCGAAGGTGGACGCCTCCATCTCGTGCACCTTCTTCTCCAGGTCGGCCACCGCCAGGTCCTTCAGGCCGAGGCTCCTCTCCAGCTGCTGCACCTGGGGCCCAGAGCCCCGTGAGGGCGCAGCGGTCAGCACCTCGCCCTGCGGACACCGCCTCCCGCCCCGCGGACGCGGCCCCCAGCCCCCGTGAGACCTCCGCCCCCTCCCTGCCCCCGCTGGCCCCTCGGCGAACGTGGCTCAGGCGGGGGCCCCGCGCAGAGGCAGGCCGCAGGTGCCGTGCCGGAGGTCAGGCTGTGCCCGCGGCCCAGGCCCCGGACGCCCCAGCCAGGCGCCAACCTTGTTGCTCAGGGCTTCGATCCGGTCCTGGTCCAGCCGGTGCTGCCGGCCGCAGGCCTCGGCAGTCATGGCCACCCGCTCCACCTCGCGGTTCAGGACGCAGACGATGTTCTCGAAGGTGGCCGTCTTCCTCTCCAGGGCCTCGCACCGGCGCAGCAGCTCCGCCGCCGCAGGGGGCTGCGGGCCCGGGGCCAGAGCTCCGGCCTCCCAGCCGCCCCCCAGGCCCTGGGGTGGGCATGCGGCCTCCACAACGCGCAGCAGCATGGCCAGGTGCTCGCGGAGCCACTGCCCCTCGTGCTCCTGCTGCTTCTCGCCCTCCACCTGCGGGCCAGACAGGGAGGCTTGCGCACGCGCCCGGGGCCTTGGCAGGGCCCACACGCCCGCAGGAGCAGGCGATGATGACCCACGTCAGGGACACTTCCACCGCGTCTGCCTGCCCGCGTTTCCTCTGTCACTGTCGGAAGTCAAGCGCGTTTCAAACCACAGACCTTCCCGCTGACCCGCTGGCTCGTGTTCAAAGTAACAGAGAAAGTGCCCCCTCCCCAAGTTCCCCAGGGGATGGAGGGCGGGGCGGGCCGGGCCAGGCCGCCTCAGGCAGCCTGTCACATGGAGCCGCCTCTGGAGCCAGACTTCTTCTAAACCTCCACCACGAATTGTAAAACGCCTGACCCTCTCAAAAAACTCAAAGCAGGAACAACAAGCGTGCACGTGCGGCGCCTCCACCCCAGGGAGCAGGTGCCATGGTGCTCGGTCAGGAGGCCCCAGGTCCCCAGGGAGCGGCGGGGACCGCTGTGCACACCACGCAGGGGAAGGCCAGCTGGTGCCACCCGGCACCCAGAGGGCAGGCCGGACCGACAAGGCCTCTGCAACGAGCAGCTGTGCTGGGACCGGACTGGGACGCGCCCTCTCCAGCCTCTGAGGGGCCGAGGCCTCTCACAGCCCCTGTGCCAGGGAGCCAGCGCGGAGGCGCCCAGGAAACGAGAGCAGGCAGGCCGAGGGGACGGGGCAGCACCGTTTCCTGTGCACTGTCCTTAGAAACACAAAAGCCAGACTCCTGAGACCAGGGCAGCCGGTGGCCCCGCAGGAGCAGGGCCACTGCCAGAACCGCCGCCCGGGCCCCGGCCACTAAGGAGCACGTGCCAGGCCGGCCCGGTCTCCATGGGGCCAGGCCCCGGACGGGGCACGTGGACAGGGAGCTGCCTGGGAGGAGGGAGCCGCACAGAAAGCAGCGTGTGCCACGCAGAGAGGGCCTGAGTCTGGGAGCAGGAGGTTGGGATGCCAGAGGACGGCCGGGCCAGCGGCGACAGCAGGGACGTGAGGTCCCAGCAGCCAGGGTCCAGGCAACCCCTGGGCTTTCGGCCAGAGCGGCCGCTTTGGACAAGGCGGAGGGCTGGCGCACAGCGGGGTCTGCTACGCCCACTGGGCGGCGGGGAGACGGGAGGCGCTGGGCGCCTGCAGCGGGTGGCGTGGTCAGCGCCAGGGCCGCGAGGACGTGGACCCCAGGGGGAGAAGAGCAGGCAGGGAAGCCGATGGCCACGCTGCAGAGCACAGGCAGCCGGGCAGGTGGCGGTCAACTGGCAGTCAGTGGGGGCTGCTGAAAACCAGGTTCAGGAACAGTACGCGGTGCAGGAGACGGGACTCCCAAGGGGACCGAGACTCACCATCGCAGGGCAGCCGACGTCATGGAACCGGCAGGGCACCAGGCACTTGCCGCACGTCTTCACGTGGTCCTGAAACTGGAAGGGCGTAGCGTCACGAGTGCCGTGCTTCTCAGCCCGGTCAGTGGGTGCGTGGGTGCCTGCCCCACCCCGCCCACCCTGCCCCTCAACGGCCTACTTCCAAAGCCAAAGGTGCACACACTCCCGCACCCACGTAAATGCACAACATGCTCCCTGGGGGCGTGGAAACCCACACAGGCACACGCACGCACACGTGCTCACGGACACACGCTGCGGGGGCACTGCCTGGGGCCAGCTCTTCGACCAATGCCAGACCCCGTCTCCTCCACCACGGCCCAGGGCACAGCAGGTCTGAGCCCACGGGCCCTGGCGCCAGAAGCCTGGTTTCCACGGAGCCGGGGAGGAAGAGGGGCCGGCCTGACGGGGACCACACACCCGCTCCGACCCGCTGTGACGCTGCCGCAGGACGCCGCCGAGACCCACGGAGCCAGAGAGAGGCCGGGGGGCCGGCCGGACAGACACACAGCCCCCAGACCCAGGGAGGACAAGGGCAGAGCGACGTCCCCACCGGCAGAGCGGCCACAGCACAGCCCAAGGGGGCCCCACCCCGGCGCCCGCCAGGGGCCTGTGAACCCCGGCCGCCAGGGGCCGGGGAGCAGCCCCAACCCTGAACCAGAGTCGGCAGCAGCAGGGGGGCCCTGAGCAGCACCCCCGAGCCAGACCACCTGCAAGAGGAGGAGAAGGCACACGGCTTCGACCCCGTCACCCACACGCAGGGTTCCCAGGGGACGGGCGGCCGAAGGCCCAGCCGAGAAACGGACCAGAGGCGCCGCGTCGCACTCTGACGTGAGGAGGACACTGATGACGCACAACCGTGCTCACCGTTTGCTCCCGTTTACGTGGGTGACGCATCACCCGAAGCGGCCCCAGAAGCCGTCCCCGGCCCCACGAGCCCGACAGGCCGTGCCAAGCGGGCTGGGGCCCAGGCTCCCCCAGACAGATGGGGCGCAGGTATCTGGGCCCCAGGCGTCCCCCTGACCCTCGGGCGCCCCCCGTGCCCGGTCCTCCCTTTGGAGCCGCATGACCCTTCATGAACTCGGGTCCTTTTCCTGAAGGAGCAACCGTAAAACTCCAAAGCAGGAGGAAACAAACGCGCCGACGGGCGGGCGGGTCCCGCAGCTCCTCGGCTCAGGGACAGCGACTCAGAGGGAGCCCTTGGTGCAGCGGGACCCAGCTGCCCACCCGCCTCCCAGAGCAGCAGGTGCGGCCGGGGCGCAGTTGGGGCTGGGGCTGCGCCAGGTCTTCAGGGGCCCAGAGTCTCTGCAGCGGGAAGAACTGTAAACACAGGAGTCAGGACCTCAACAGCCTCGTCAGCGCGGACCTGTGGTGAGTTTTCTCCGAAAAGGCCAGGGCTTCTGCTCCCGGTCCCGGAGCCCGCGCCTCGTGGCGGAGGGGCAGGGATGGGGAGGTGGCTGCCCCACATCCCGGAGCCTCAGGACAGTCAGGGGCCATGCTGTGCGCTCTGCCGCCGCCCAGCCGGTTGCTTCCATCAACAAAAACGTAACAGGAAAGCGGCCCAGACGCCCCGGACGCCCCTTCTCCCGTGGCACCAGGGCGTGCCGCAAAGCACGGGCTGCTTGTGGCCCAGGCTCGCGCCGCCCACGCCAGCCACAGAGGCGCGGGACCCAACTCACCTTCTCACGCGGGATCCTCTTCTTGCCACAGCCGTCACACGCCAGAGGGAGCTTGGGGCAGACCTCCTGGTGCGCCTTAAAGAGAAGCGGCCAGGGCGTCACGGCGGGGCGGGCGGGCATGCGGACGCCGGGGCCTGGCCCGGCACCTGGCATCACCGTCCTCGGCTCCGTGGGGCCCGCAGTTCCCAAGACCCCTGCCTCCAAGTTGTCACTAGAGGCAGGTGGGCCCCACAGGCCCCACCGAGTCTCAGAGCCATTGGAACCTCCTCTGGTGGCCACCAGAGCAGCATGACAAGGACAAGCGCTGACAGTGGCTCAGCACGAGCGAGGCCACTCGCAGCCCTGACTGAGACGTGGCCACACTGGCCGGGGCGGGGGCCGGCGGGCTTTCCAGCGACAGAGCAGCTGGAACAGCTCCGAGACGCAGCAGGTGCCTGGCACCCGCCCAACAGGCTGGCCCGGCCCGGCCTCCAGATCGGACTGTTCACAGGAAAGGGGACAGAGGAGCACGTGAGGGACACGCTGGGGCACATTCAGCCAGCACAGACTGGCCAACCTCTTCGACAAATAAACGTGAAGGGAAAATCACCCCCAGGGAACTGCTGAAGGTGAAGAGAGACCTCGCAGATGTACCGGGAAGTGCGGCGAGGCCACCTGGGTCCCGGGGCCAACCCACAACCATGGCAGAAAAATGACAAGGCGTCGCCGTTACGTTTAGACGGGGCAGTGACACAGAGCTCTGCACAGAGAAGGTGCCCGGGAGGACTTCTGGGTGGGAGAGCGTGAAACCTGGCGCTTGGGCCACCCACCCAGGGGCCGGACGCAGCCAGGCAGGGGCGCAGCCGGGCGGGGGTGCCGCAGTCCTGGGAGGGCACCGGGGCCCACCCCGCCCTCCTGCGCGTGCGTTTCATTTCTCATCTTGAGAAACAAAACCGCACCTCGAGGCGGCTGGGCCTGGCCCCCGCCCCCCGCCCCCCCGCCCCCCGCCCGGGCCCGCCCTGACCTTCGCACCGGCCCCGCCGCAGGGGGCCCTGCAGTGCCGGCAGCGTGGGCTCCTCCCGGGGCACTCCTGCTCCGCGTGCCGCTCCCTCTCGCCGAGGCGGACCTGGCCTCGGCACGCCGGGCACTCGGTCAGCAGGAACGGGCAGTGTCCTTCGTGGCAGCTCTGGCGACACAGGGGGCATGGTGTCGGCGCAGTGTCCGCAGGGCGCCCGTGGGGCGCTGTGGAGGCCATGCCGCGCACATCCTGCGGACGGCCACCCGGCCGTGGCCCCGCTGTGGGCTCCGTCTCTGTGGGCCTGCCTCCCACAGGGACCTCGTGTGGGGGCCCCATGGGACGGTCCCCCTGTGAGCACCATGTCAGTCTTGGAGCACACATCCCTGCGTGCCAGGTGGGTGACGTGGAGAGAGGGAACCTGCTGGGGGAGGAGGGCCCTCCACAGGGGGTCCCCACAAGCGGGGGCAGCTCAGGGGTCCCAGGGCCCCAAGAGGCACGAGGAGAGCCCACGCATGCCGCTCCAAGGGCGCGCACCGACACGCTGGCCACATCTCCACCCGGGAGACGCTCGGCACTTGCCGTTCAGGAGCGAGCAGAGGTGACAGGTGCACTCGAGGCCTGTGTGTGGCACCCACGGTGCACGGACCTCAGGTGCAGGGCCTCCTCCTAGACCCCCGCACACCTCCTGGAGTGGACGCCCAAATCCTGACCCTGGGCAGCCTCCCCAGCGACCCCTCGGCAGCCAGACGGGCGAGCGGACACAGGCAGCTGGGCCAGGACAGGGCTAGGCCGGGGGCCCTGACGCTGCAGTGGCTTGAGGGGGCCTCACTCCCTGTGCCCCTCCTCCCCGGGGGCACCCTCACCCTGCCCGCCCTCTGCGGCCTCCTCCCAGCTCCACCCTAGCGTGGCCTTCCTCACCCTGAGGGCGCTGTGGCTCCGGTACAGCCCCACCAGCCCGGAGGGCAGGGCCCAGGTCAAGGCCACTCTGAGCACAAAGCTATCGATCCACCGGAGCCAGAGGGGCCTCAGCGAAGGCCTTGGCGTAGCGCCCGGGCCAGGGCACATGGGCTCCCTGCAGGGTGGGCTCAGCAGACACTCCATGGGGTGCGGGGCAGTCTGACAGGCCCGGGGAGCGTGGGCGCTGCGGCGCAGGTGGGCAAGGGCGCACAGGCCAGCGTGGGTCTCCCCCGCCTCCACCCCGCCCCAGGCCCGTGTCCAGAGCAGTGGCCCCGCACCGCCACCGCCCAGCCCGGAGCAGGCTCCGTCAGCTCCCGGCCCAGGGGGCCCTTCAGAGGGAGGCAGGGGCGTCTGAGGCGGCGGCGTTCGCTCAGCAGAATTCCCACGAGGACTGTGAGTGCAGAGCAGAGACCGAGCCCCCGGCCCTCTGCTGGTCGCGCCCGCGCAGCCCCTCCCTCCAGAGCAGCCGGCCCGACCACGGCACGCCCGGCAGGCGGTCCCCAAACGCCCCCCCCCCCCCCGCCCCGAGCTCTTGGGGAGCGCCAGACGTCACCGCAGAGGCAAAACATTCCAGGGCAAGGCAGGGTTTCCCCGTCTCTCCACGCTGCCATCTGCCTGCGGTGCAACGTGAGCACCTCGCGACGCTAGCCCGACCCAAGTGTCCCGGCCATGCGCCAAGGCGGCTCAGAGCTGACAGCGGGGCTCGGGGGGGCGGGGCGCACCTGAGCCCTGAGGCCCGTGGCGCTCACAGGTGGGGGAGGTCTGATCCATATGTCAAAGGCCACGGCCAGCATGTCCTAGAGCAGCGCCGCCCTCCCACATGACCAAACCAGCTCTCAGGGACTTTCCGGAGCTCGGGGGCAGCCAGGGACTTTCCAGCCTGCGTGCCTGCCGGCCGCAGTGGGAGCCGGGGCTGGCTGCCGTCCCTCCCTCAGCCGGAGACCCAGGAAGCCACCACCTGCACCGCAGGCCTGGAGGCGGCAGAAATCGCAGAGGAATCGGGAGTGGGGGTTAGCCCACCTGTCGCCAGGGGCTCCTGGTCCTCTCAGAGGGCCGCACGGCGCCCCACGCCCCACACGGCCTGCCCTCCCAGGAGAGACCCTGCCCCCACGGTCCCTCTGGGCAGCCGGCAGCAGAGGCTGCAGGTCCAGGCGCAGCCTGGCGGCCCCTGGGCAACAAGACCTCTGTCCCCGGGGGCGGAAGTCTCTCGCTCTCAGGATGGGCCCAGAAAGGTGTGGGGAGCCCAGGGCTGCTCTGCTCCCAGGCTCCCGCGCATCAGCTTGTCCACCCCCCGAGTCTCCTCCCAGGCCCGGCCCAGCAGCTCCTCTGGCAGAGCACAGGGCACAGGGCACAGGGCACGGCCGATGGCCCGAGGCCCCGCCACTCAGCGGCCCAGGGGGCAAGCGCACGTGGCAGGAGCAGGAAAGGGGAAGCCCACCCAGGACGCCAGGATCCGAGGACCCCCATGCAGACCCGATGCCCCCTCCCCGCGGTCCCCGGCCGTGGTGCTCGGTCCCAGGCCACTCTGCACCTGAGGACAGCACCCCCGGCCCCTGGCCGCCACAGCCGGCACCTCCGGCCCGAGGCGGGCTCTCCCAGGGCCCCCGGGCGCCTGCCCAGGTCCGGCTCGTCCCGCTGCGCACAGGGCCCCCGGGCCCCTGCACGCTCCCGCCTGAGTCAGGGTCCCCTTCCTTTTCGTGGCGGGGTAACGCTCCAAGGTCTGAACTCGCCACATCTCGTCTGTCCCTTCACCAGCTGGTGGGCGCTTGGCCCCTGTGAGCCTCACGTAAAGGTAACCACCTGAAACGTCATTGCTAAGGGTGCTCACTGAGAAGAGAGGCGACCACGTAACTGTACGCCCCGACACCGCCCAGCCTCCAGGCCGCAGGGTCCGCACGAGGTGCGGTCACACAGAAGCCCCCGTGTGCTGACGCAGGGACACAGGGCACCCGGCCTGGAGGAGACACGGCCACGGGGAGAACACGCACGCCAGCCCCTGCCTGCCGCAGGCCAGGCCCCTTTCCGTGAGCCCAGGAAGACGGAGCCGCCCTGTGGGGCCAGAAAGCCGGCTTCCGGAACGCGCCGGGCTCGCTGCGGCGGTTCTCGGGCGGCACACGCCCCGCGCCTCACCGCGAGCCCCACGGCAGTGGCTGCTGCCCCGTCCACGGGCCCGAAAACGGAGGCCACGCTACACAGGGTTCGCGGGGCAGGTCTGGGCCCGGCACAGTCAGGTGTCTCAGCAGCGTAAGCGCCGGCTGAGGCCCCACAGATGTCAGGCAGGCAGGCCCAGATGGGGCTGTGCGGGTTCCGGGGCCACCCCCGCCCGCGCGTGGGAAGGGACTTCCTCCCTGGGAGGCTGGGCCACGGGAAGGACCTACCTCGTACTCTTTGAGGGTCCCCTTCCAGGTGCAGCCCTCACTGGGGCAGACGGCCGGCAGGCTCTCCACCTCCCTGCGGGCAGCGTTGTCCGGGAAAGCCTGGGGGGACAGCGGCCTCGTGTGGAGCCTCCTCAGCCCTGACCCCTGCCCCGCGTGGCCCAGCCCCCTGTACACGGCCCGTCCAAACCGGACGCCACTGCGGCTCCGGGTCATCCCCAGTTGCTGAAGTTCCATCAGCCACTGGTGCTGAAAAGAACGCAGAACGTTTTCTGTTCGCGTCAACACTCAGCCGCGAGACCCCACTTACCGAGGTGCTTTCTAGAATCGAAACGCCCTCCTCATAGATGCCCTCGTGCACGCAGGCGGCGCAGTTCTGGGGCCCAGAGCTGTGGGAGGGAGGCGCTGCGTGAGAGCGGCGGCCAGGGACGCACGTCTGCCGGCCCACGTGCTCTCACCGTTCCCAAGTCAGCGACACGCACACGTGAACGTGAGGATCAAGAGGTTAAGAGCAGTGAGGAGGGGGCCCCTCAGAGGGTCGCCCCACTGTGAACAAGGCGCCGCCACTCAGCACCGACACGCCGCCCCCAGCCGCGCCGCACCCCCAGGGCCTGCCAGTCCACGGCGACCCGCCCTCACGGGGCCCCTGCTGCGCTCTCCCAACACTGAGCCTGCGCCGTCAGCACGGGTGCGCCCGGAGCGTGGCCCCACGGCCTCCCCACACCGGCCCGCCCGCCTGTCCCTGCACCTGAGGATGCTGCTCAGGCAGAACGAGCAGTAGCGGTGGCCACACTGCGCCTGGAAGGGCCTGCGCAGGACGTTCTTGCAGGCAGAGCACAGGTACTTGTCCTCCAGCTTGGTCCCCAGGATGGTCTTTGCGAAGCCGAATTGCAGCACGTCCAGGGTGCCGGGAGGGGTCACGCTGGCCGCAGCCATGGAAGCCGCGTCCCCGGGAAACCAGCAAGCCTGAGGAGGGACAGAGCGCATCACGGCGGCCCCAGAGGCGCCCGATGCCCCGGCGCTCCTCCGGGGACAACGCCCTGGCCTGGCGGTCAGGGCTCCGGGCCGGCAGGGTGGCTGCGAACCTGAGAAGGACTTGGGTGCTCTGGGCACCCGGGGAAACAGTTCAGCCCCACCCTCCGTCACCGCAGGGAAAGTAGAGGATGCCCGCGCCGCCCCCCCCCGCCGACTCCAGCAGCCCTCGGCCTCCTTGGGGGTGGTGGCTCCCAGGGCCTGTGCCAGCCGCTGGGGGGGTGGGGGCAGCCCGCCCTCCAGGGCCTCGCCTGCAGCAGCCCTGCCCGCCGCCACCACAGCCCCCCTCACTTCAGGGCCACGGCCCTCCGGCACCCACCAGGCCTTGGCAAGGTCCCCAAGGCGAGGCAACCAGGGCAGGAGACGGCGGGGGTCCCACGGCATTCAGAGATGTGGAGACCTCCCATGGAACTCACAGTCCAACCCCCATGACCTCAAACAGCCCAAGAAAAGGGGCAGGAGCCCAGGAGCCCTTGGACGGAGGCGCTGTCCCCTCCAGGACACTCGAGACCCCGGCACCCACCGGCCTCTGCAGACACCCAAGGGCTCTCCTCCCCATGCCCGGAACAATCACGAGTCTGCCTGCGGTCCAGGCGGGAGCCTGCGACGGTCCAGCCAGCCAGCGCTGCAACGCGGCCCCTCCCGGGAGAGGCAGGGTCTGCACAGAGCAGACGACACTCCGAGGCTGCTCCACCGTCCTAGGCTGGCCTGATGCCACAGGAAACAGCGGCAGGCGGGGCGCCGTCGGGCAGAGCCGCGCTGGGTCCTCGCGGTCAGCCCTGGCCCTGGCCCTGGGGAGGCCTCACACCTGAGGGTACCGCCCTGCTCCCGACAGCTGCCCGGCCTGCGCGGACGCCCCCGGCCCCAGCAGGCGCGGTGCCCAGGGCCACGCCACGCAAGGGCGCACTTGTGGCTCATCCACTCGCTCGCAGGCCCACATGCTGTCTGACCGCGCGACTGCCCTGGGCCCTGGCCAGTCCAGCTGCCCACCCTACGACTGGGCGGCCTCGCCCTCTCCCGCCCACATGGCGCAGACGCAGAGCACGGGACGGCGGCCCCGAGGCAGAAGCCCTCTGGGCGGAGGCTGTGCCCCGCAGCTCCGCCATGCTGAGCACGCTGCCAGGGCGCCGTGCAGGGAGGGCGCGCAGCCACACCGGGGCACCCTCCTCAGAACACGCCGCGTGTGCTGCTCTGCGGCCTTTTTCTGGGCACGCTACCCAATCGATGCCACGAACCGTTCCCAGTTTAAAATGAGGGCTCTAAACGTCAGACAGGGGTGCGAAACACCCGAACACAGCTGGGGCCCAGCTTCTTGGCCGACTGGCCACGCCTTCTAGGGCAGACGGGACCCGTTTGACAGCTCCACCGACTCAGACTCCCGTTAGAGGCAAAAACAGTGTCTCCCTTGACTGAGAGAAACAGGAGAAGGCCCCAACACACAGCCGGGCCTTGTCCTCTGTCCCTCTGCTCCCGCCTGCTTGGCGGTCACAGCTACCTAACACACAGAGGGAGGGGTCCGAGCCCACCTAGCACCAGGGCCCGGCCCCAGGTCAGATGGACAAGGGGTGCTCACGTGCGCTCTGGGCATTCTTAGGTCTTCCACGTTCCATTCCAACCTCACCCAGCGACGTGCTTTAACTTTCAAGAGCTACAGTGAAAACAGCACAGGACTCCAAGGTGTCCTGCTGAAGGTGACCGCTCCTGCAGCCCTCTCACGCCCGCCACCCAAACCCTGGGAGAAACCGTGCGTGTCCCTGGCCCATCCGAACCTCCCCGTGGCCGAAGGCACTCGCAGCCCGGGGCTCCCCGGCTGCCCGCTGCGCAGACGTGTCCAGGGGGGGACCCTGCCCTTGGGCAGCAGCCACAGGGGGTCCAATGTCACAAGTGCTTCGACTCAGCACCAAAACGCCCTGCGCACTCTTTCAAGCTTCCACTCCAGTTCCAAGCCCTGACTCCCTCAAGGAAGCTGGTTAAAAGCGAGAACTATGAACTCTATCCATTTGCGGTGACTCGCCTACGGCCCACCCGTCCCCAAAACGCGCTCCTGACCCGAGTGCGCTAGCCTCCCAGGACAGCCACACCCTCTGTGGAAAGGGCGTTCCCACCAGACACAAAGCAGCGGTCGTGGAGTGAGTTCAGCTCCGCGGCACCGAGGTCAGGCCATGCCGGCCCACGGCGAGGGTGAGGGGCCCGGGGCAGCCGTGGCTCCTGCGGTGCAACAGGCGATGCGCCAGGCGTTTGCTCGGTCTTCTTCCCAGATTCCGACAAAGAGCCCCCCAAACCCCAGGACCTCCGGGAGGGGTGCGGACAGCAGAGCATCTTTTGTTACTCCCAAGCGCCTCTTCCTGTGGACACCAGCCCACCCCCAGCTCCAGGGAGGGGAGATGGAGCTGCGCACTGACTCAGTCGCCAACGGCCGACACGCTGACCGACCGTGCTCCACGGCGGACCCCACAGGACCCCACAGGGCCGGTTCAGAGAGCTCTCGGGCTGAGTGCGCGCCAGGTGCCGGCAGGGCAGCCAGCGGAGGGGCCACAGGAGCCCCCGCCCGCCCCCGCGGGGCTGTCCCTCGTGAGCGAGCGTTTCCCTGCAGAGGCCCTGGAGGCTGCTGCGTGCCTGGCACGCGCGCGTGACTCGGCGAGATCCGGAAGCGACCTTCCCAGGAGCAGGCTGTGTTGTTACAGCGGCCCAACGCTGCCCGGACTACGTCGCGTCCGACTGCGGAGCACACGCCTCGGGGCTGGGGGACCCGTGCTGCCACTCACCCCGCGCCGCACCCCATCACACCCCAGGTGCAGGAGGAACCTCAGACTCCCCGTCCCGCGGACGGCAGCTCCTGCTCAGCACGTGCTGGGGCTCCACGCCCGGTTCACACCTGCATGTGACAAGCCCACCGAAGGGACACTCACGAACCTTAGCCACGCACGGCCACGGGACGCGCCCCCAACAAGGGAACGTGCTCTCAAACCGCAGCTCCGTGCCGAGGCCCCCTTGTCTCGGGCTCAGCATGAGGCCGAAGAGCTGAGCGCGCCCCGCGTACCCGGCGCCCGCGGGCCCTGCGGCCCAGGCCCCGCCCTCCCACGTCGCCAGCACCCCCCTTCTCCTGCTAAAACCCAGAGCTGCCATCAGGGAGGAGCCGGTTCCTTGCGAGACAGCAGTTCTGTCCCAAGTCGCGTGGCCCGGAGGACCACCCTGCTCCCCTCATCCGCCTCTCTGGCGTCCGAGTGTGTGTGTGTCCAGGACCGCCGCACACCCTCGTCCAGTTGCTGGGGCCGAATTCTTGGAGACCAGGCTCGCCCACCCGCCCGCCTCCAGCATGTCCGTGAACCCCGGGGCTCCACCTCCCGTGACCAGACGGAAACGGACCACACGGCTCTGGCCCTGGCCCGTCCACTGGGACCGGGCTCTCCACTGCAGGCTCTCCAGGCCCTACCGGCCACCAGGGGGGCCCTTAACATGCAACTGGGCCTCTTGCTCCTCCCTCGGACCCCCAAGATGTCCCCAACTCCACCCTGCCAGCCAGAGGGCCTCTGCTCTCAGGACAGCCTCCCTGAGGACCCTCACTGCCTGTTTCCTCTAGAAGGTGAGCGCCAGGAGGCAGGGACCTGCGGGATTGGGGGGAGAAGGGTCCCAGGCCTGTGCAGCGGGCACGTGAGCGACTTCCTGCTCTCCAGGCTCCCCGCCCGAAGCTCCCACTGATCGGGCCCAACCAGGGCCCCCACTCCCAGGGCTGTGCCGGCCAGCCGCCCCGGCCTCCCCCCGCCCCCGCCCCCTGCGCCTAACCACAACCAGTCCTCGAGACCACCTGTGCAAATGCCATCCGCACCCCTGCTGGGCCCTGCAGGGGACGCAGCCCCCGCCCTGCTCCACAGCCCAGCACTTCTCAGCGCAGACTCCCAGGCGGCTGCTGCAAGCCCACCCCGCCCTGCCCAGGCTCAGCCCCTCCAGGCAGCGGCGCGCCCTCCCTGTGGACACGCAGTCCGGCTCACAGGGACGGCGGGAGCATCTAGCACAGGTCTGGACTCGAGGGCAGAGAGAAGCTGCGCCCTTCTTGGCAGAGTCGTAGGGCCTGTGGGTAAATTTTTCTGGATTCTCCCCCGGACCTTCCCGCGCCCCCCTGCTCATGCCCTCCCAATCTGGCGTGGGAACCCACCGGCCAGGCCACACCCAGCCAGGACGCAACTGCAGGACGGGGGTGGGGAGGCGGCGCTCCCACTGCCGGGGGCAGGGGAGGGCAACCCAGGCACTGGAAACTCAGGGTGGAAAGGCCTCCTTCTTCCTGGAGAAAGGGCTTCTTTTTCCAGCAACGAGTGGTCGCTGTAAATCTGGGCCCTAGTCCCCACCCACTGCTGAAACAACGCATCCCTTCAGGTCCCCAGAGGAGTGACGGTCAGGTTTATCTCCTCAGTAAGTTTGGAGACTCCTGAAGAGACAGAAGCCGGCTGACAGCCCCGCCCCGGGCGTCACTGCACCAGGCGGGGGGCCCGTGGCCTTCGCTGTCCACTGTTTGCACCGCGGCCCCGTATGGGGCTGGGGAGACGGGCGTCACCGCTCATAGAGTCGGCAGGGCCACATGGCGCAATACAGCCTCAGTGGCAGAGGTCGGGGGCGCGGCGGGACACAGGAAAGGCTGTCCCAGGACAAAGGACCAGCAGGCACAGCGCAAGAGGCCCAGGCCACAGCCAGAGCCTTTGGGAGCCGAGGCCTCGGGGCGCTGAGCAGGGGACAGTGGCTGGGGCCGGGGAGCAGCCGCCCGGGCGTGTGCGGGCGCTGCCGCTTCGGCTGCTGGGAAAAGGCCTCAGCAAAAGCAGTTCTTAGGGTTTTGTTCGGCTGAAATTCAAGCAACAGTAAACTTTGTGGCATGTAAATTATACTGCAGTAAAGCTGTTAAAAAAACACTCAAGCGGCAATTTCAGGCAGGCTGGGACGTCCCCCTAAAAACCAGTAAGCGGGTGGCTAAACATCGCAGCCCCGTGACAGGCGTCCCCTGGGCACCTCCTCGTGCGCTGGGAGTCAGGGTCGGTGTCGCAAGCGCACGGATCGTCTGCTCTCGCCAGCAGCGGTCGGGGGATCTCCACTGTCACCATCGAGGGTGACCCCACCTGGTCCACGTCCCCGGCCCCCCCCCCCGCCCCCGCCGGCGCTCACCTGCCGGACAGGACGAGCGCGCCGTCCCAAGGAGCGCGCCAACGCAGGGGCCCAAAGAGAGAGACCACCCGGCCTCCGCCCCAGCGTCCTGGGCGGAGGGGGCGGGCTGCGGGCTGCCCCGCGCCCCCTGCCCGCCACCCTGTCGCGAACCGGCCGAGAAACGCTTCCGCGAACAGCAGAATGAATGGGAGGCTGGGACCGGCAGCGGGGGCGCGGGGGAGCGGGCGCGGGGGAGCGGGCGCGCGGGCAGGGGCCGGAGACGGGGTCTGGGGGCAGGTGGGTGGGCAGACGGCAGGAGGCCCTGGGGCCCCGGGGCCTGGCTGCGGGGGGCAGCAAAGGGAGAAAAGGCGGCCCGGAGGCCCGAGTGCGGAGCGCCGCCCGAGGTGGGGGAGCCCGTCCACGCCCCAACAGGTCGGAGGGCCCTTCCGCGGGCACGAAGCGAGCCCAGGGAGGCCAGGTGAGCCCACCGCCGAGCCCGGGGAAGGACGGGGTGAGACGCCCGCAGGCCGCAACGGAGACTCGGGGCAGCGACGCCGGGGACGGGGCGGTGCCGTCCGCCCGGGGTGCCTGACCCCGCGCCATGGACCGCGGGACGTGACTTCGCGTTGTGGACCCCCGGCAGGGCGCCCGCGGGCGTTCGCGAACTTTCCGGCGCCGGCCCCGCGCCTACTTTCAGTTTCCGGTTCCCGCGCCTCGAAAAATCCCCTCAGGCCCGCGCGGCAGCGGCAGCGGCCCTGCCCTCCCTGCCCGGCCTCCTAGCGTCGCGCGTCCTCCACCCAGACCGCGACCCCTGATCGCCCACCCCGACGTCGACCCTCGCAGACGGACTCACCAACGGCCGCCGCGCGCCCAGAACTACACGCCAGCCCAGCCGCCGCCGCGGCAGCCGTCGCCGAGGATCCACCCCCGAGCCCTCCTGACGGACTGACACAAGAGCCTACCAGGAACATGCAGGGGGCCGATGCGGGCGCCGATTGGCCAGATTTCCCCCCGGCCCTCCTCCTCCTGCCGTACTTTGACGGACTGACACAAAAGCCTACCAGGAGCACGCAGGGAGCCGCAGCGGGCGCCGATTGGGTGGAGCAGCCGTGACGTGATACTTCATTCATTTCACCTAGGTTTTCCGAGCGGAGCTCGCCGGGCTTCCTCGCGGCTCGGTGGCCGCGGAGCTCCGTGCGCCGTGAGAGGACGGAATTCCTGCAGCAAAACCCTCGCTGTTCCTCCAGGAGAACCTGGCCGGTGTCCACGAAGAGTCAGGCGCAGGCCGAGGGCACCGCGACGTTGCCTTTCCCACCGCAGCTTGAATTAGGTTTATAAGAAGCAGCACGAAAGGACCCCGCCCCCTTACAAGGTAAGAAGGCGACGGGGTCTCGGGGTAGTGCGGCGTTCTAGATCTAGAAGTGGGGATGGTTGCCCGACATTGCGGATGTGCAAGTGACACAAAATTGTATAGTTTAAATGGAGAATGTTAGGTTAAGTGAATTTTTGCACCAACAAAAACAAAAATGCATAGCCTACGTCCTCCAGACACACGGAAATGTGGAACACGCAGATCTGGAAACAAGGCCGCGGTCTGGGCCAGTAAAAAAAAGGGCAGCGCTGGGAAGACAGAGTGCTGACCCGCCTCACCGCCTGTTACGTGTGTGACCTCAGCCCGATCTGTTTCTTGTGCCCAGGAGAGTGGGGACTGGATGGCTGATCTCTCCATTTGGGGAAGCATGGGCTTTTCTAACTCGCAGACAAACAGCACCTCATCTCGTACCAGCGTCTGGAGAGGGGCAAAACGCTCCTCACTTCGCAGAAAAGGAAACAGAGGCTCAGAGAGGTCAAGATTCCTTACGCCGGATCACACAGCACATCCGGCACCTCCACTCCCAGGGATCATCTGAAGCAACTGTGGAGGACGGGACAAACCAAAGAACGGGCAGTCTTAGTTTCGTGACATGAACAGTCCACGTTGTAAGAGAAGCGCTTGCATCACCCTAAGTCCACCTGGTTTGCGGTCGGAATTCCCCCGCCCGAAACACAGCGTCCCTGGGAGACACCGGCCAGGCCGCCCGGCCGCTGCTGCAAGTTCCATGAACTGGAGGCTGCGTTGGCCACGAGCCGCCGCGGGAACCTCCCACCTGCAGCCCCGTGGCTGTGCGAGCTCTCAGGTGTGTGAAAGTCTCTCCTTCCAGCCTCTGCAAACCCAGCGGCAATTCGGCAGGGAATCGTTCTTGTTGCAAAGAAGAGGTTCAGTGGCAGCTCCCACTTCCCTCAGGGTGAAAACCAGGAAATCGTCTGCCTGACTCCTGCAGTGACTCCTGGGAAGGTCGCTGCGCCAGGTCAGGGCTGAGCAGAAGCCTGGCCAGGAGCCGACTCAGCCAGCCCCGGGTCCAGAACCTCTGCGAGCAAGGTCTCGCCTCCTGGGAAGGCAGCCAGCTGCCTGTGGGCTTGCCAAGCCTGAGAACACTGTTGCTTATTATAAACGTTGCTGCTTCTGCAGGGTTTTCATGCGCGCACATTTTTTTTTTTAATTTAACGACAGGCTCGCAAAGCCAGCCGAGCTGACAATGGAGTGGGAGCCTCGGTTGCATGGCCCTGACCAGGAAGGGGCCGTCCCGCCCCTGCCAGTCAGCTGGGAAGGGGGGACACCTCTGTCCTGGCAGGCTGGAAAGGGATGACTCACTCTGGTCGTTGGGCAGCTCAGGGGATTCCCAGTCAGGCTCCTTCCTGCCAAAAAGAAAGCAAAACTCAGCCAGCAGAGGCAGCTATGGCTGGGGAGGAGCCAGGAGGCTCCCAGGGCAGCCCCCGGAGGGGACCTGCGCTGGGGTCTTGGGTAAGGGAGGTCGCAGGCCTGGAGCAGCTGCCCTGAGCTTCAGCCCCTGCCTCCGCCCCCCCCTCCACCCCGGCCAATCGTGGGCCTGGCTGCAGATCAAGGGCAAGGCCAGGGAGCCACCTGCCCCGTCGGCGCCCACTGGGTGTGCAGAGGTGGTGGGCGTGGCTACCACTGCCACCAATCCTGCCTGAAGGCAAGCCGCTCACCTCTCTCGCCTGTGACAGCCCCCTCACCTCCTGCGTTTTCCTCTCTCCCCTCAGCGTCTGCCCTACCAGGCGCAGCCAGTCCCCGCATGGGCCCTCACCTTCCACCCTTCACTCGCTCAGGCGTTTGGGAGGACACACACCAGCTTGCACACGGGGCCAGGAGGCAGGACGGGCGACCCGGGCCCCCGCTCAGGACCTGGACATGGGATGTCCTGCGTGTGCCCCTTGGGCTGTCCCCAGAGCCTCCGGAGGTGTGGCCACCTCAGCAAGCACAACCCGCTTCTCTGGCTAAGAGCTCTCCCCACCTTCTTACTTTTCAGACATTTGAAGGTCAGCCCTGGGCTGCAGCTTCTGAAACAAGCTGGTTTCACGCTCACTCCACCGTCACCCAAGGGACGCACTTCCAGGAGGGCCGGCTGCCGCCGGCTCTGCACCAGAATCCCCCTGCACCGGCGCCAGCCAGGAGGGGCTCCCCCTCCGCCTGCCCTACAAAATGCACAGCCCGGCTGCCCCTCCCCTGGGACAACCCCTGAGGTAAGGAGACCAGGGTGGCCTCACCGCCCCCGACGGCGCCAGGGCTCTGGGACCAGGAGGTCACCCAGAGCTGCAGGGAGGAGGACTGGGGCCCATGTGGGAAGGGCCCGCCCAGGGCCACCTGTGGGCAATGGGAGCCCAGCGGGAGGAAAGCGCGGGGCGCAGAGCTGGGGAAGGAGAGTTTTCGCGACCGTTTGCATTCTTGGTAGAGGGGCAAGGACGTACAGGCAGTGAAGGTTGGGGGCCTGTTCACTGTTCACTGTCTCACACTTTTTAAAACCACTGTCGTCCCGGCTGGTGTGGCTCCGTGGATTGAGTGCCAGCCTGCGAACCACAGGGTCGCGGGTTCCATTCCCAGTCAGGGCCCAGGCCTGGGTTGCGGGCCAGACCCTCAGTGGGGGACACGCGAGAGGCAACCACCCAAGGGTGTTTCTCTCCCTCAATTTCTCCATCCCTTCCCCTCTCTAAAAAGAAATAAAGTCTTTAAAAAACAATAAAAAACCACTGTCAATTTTACCTAGTCAAACCACATTTGTGTTTGAGGAACAGAAAGTCACTTTGGAAGCTCTGGAAGATAAAAAAAGTACCAAGAAGAAAGCAAAGATCACCCCGAATTCCCTCCCCCGAGACAGGCTTCGCCAGGACTCCCTACCCAGTTTAACGCCCGCCTCCCTTCCAGCAACCTCGGAACCAATGCCATCCCGCACCCGGAGCCCGAGGCCAGGCCCCAGCCCCGCGCGCTCCAGCACTGGAGCGGCCAGGCTGTCCTGGGCAGCCCGCCTCTGCTGCCTGGGGCCTGGCCACCACACAGCCAGGCCTCACCAGGATCGTCAGCTCCCCTTCCCCCGGGTGCCTGGCAGTCCGGCGTCCTCTGCAGGCCTGAGCGTCCGGGGATAACGACAGGCTGGCTCCGGGTGGTCCCAGGGGGAATGGGTTCCCCCCACTCATCCCAGGCAACTAGAATCGGTTTGTATGCCTGTGTCCTCCCCTAGATGTGGGTCCCTGGAGGGCCGCGGCCCCTGCAGCCTCCTTGGAAGCTCATTCTGGGTTCGTTCTCATTGGGTGGAGAAGGAGCAAGTGGAGAGCAGCGGCTGGACAGGGCTCAGGCCCCGGGGCTCGCTGTGCAGCGGGACCCAACGCCTTCCCCGCGCAGCGGCCTGTCCGCGCGCGCCACCTTCCGACCGAGGCCGCAACTGCAGGCGACGCCGGGGCAGGCACCGCGCACCACTCGCTTCCTGTGGGCACCTCGCTCCGTCCTCCGGGCTGCGGACCTGGGCCAGGCGGTCTCACTTGCTGAGCCCCAGTGTGGGCTGAGCCGACTGTTTCCCGGTCGCCTGGCGCCCTCTGAGGGTGCCCCCCGCACCCGCTGCAGCAGGCGCTCCCAGGCCCGCCCTGCTGCCCTCCCTGGCCCTCTTCAGCCCAGCTGGGATCCCTGGCGCTGAGACCCTGGTCCTGCCTCTTGCCTACCGTCCTTGCTTGCTTCCTTGGACCAGGACCAGCGCTCCAAAGAGGCCGATGGCCCTCACCGCCACCGCGCCATTTGCTCACTCCCATCCTCACGTGAGGCCAAGGGCTGGACACCTGTGGGATCCTTCTAAACACTCCTGCTCTACAGGATGGAGGCAGTTCAGGGGTGCATGCAGGTGAGCTGGGGCAGCATGGATAGGCGGCGGGAGGCATGGACGCCTGCTCCGTCTGTGCCCTGGTGGTAGCAGGCGCCTGGGAATGGGAGTAGGAGAAGTCTTTGTGGCATCAGGCCTGGACTCCTGACCAAAAACCAGGAGGGATGGTGGCTACGCTGCAGACACCTAGGACTGGATGCCCCGTTTCCAGGCCTGACCTAATCAGAGCACACCCAACACCCTGGAGCTGATGCAACCTCTCTGCTGGGATGCCAGCCTTGCTCTGGAGAGAGCCTGCCGTAGGATCTACTCGTCCAAGTGTTGGTGAAATTTGCTGAGTTGACCGGTTAGCTGCCATCGGCTCTCTTCAGGCCGACCCTTCCTTCGTACATTCTCCTTGGGGCACACTGGAGTGACCACAGGCATTTTTGGGACCCCACTGCAAAAATTAGGAAGGAAATCTCAGATAGAATTTGGAGTGGGAGGATCTGTAGGGCAAGTCCCTCCATCCTACCACTCAGCAGCCAATCACCCCAAACGGAAGAGACATGTGCATCTCCAACAGATTTTTAAGTTACTCCCCACCTAGGAGGACGATTTTCTCCTAACCTGGCAGTAGCTCAGCCAATGAGATACTGTCACAACCCAGCCAATGAAAAGCCATTCCGTTTGGACCTCCGAGTTTCCTTCAGTGGGCTCAGTTTATAACAACCCCTCCCAACTTTCCCGTTTCCTCTCTAAACGGAAGTTCGACTCCTTTAAGCAAGTCTCCAGACTTGCCTATGGTTTTGCCATAAACTGCATGTCCTGAATTGTGATTCTTTACTGTTTCTCAATACAAGGTCTGTCCAGAAAAAGTCCAGCCACTGTTAATATAACGAGAACAGCCTGTGTGACATCGATGTGACCTGGCAGCCAAGGCGGGTGGACTGTAAAGCGCATGCATGAGCAACAATGACTTCATTGTAGCAGTCAGTGAGGTGTTGAGTGAGCATGAGTACTGTGTGGCTGTCACACTCAAAAGAGTAGAGCGATGAACCTGCATCAGATTTTGTGTTAACCTTGAACATTCCTCCACGGAAACTCCTTCCATGACTCAGAAGCTGCAGCTGTAGGCACCTGGTGATTGGCAGGCTCGTTACGACAACACGCCTGCTCGTGCATCATGCCTCACGCAGTTTTTTGGCAAAACAAATACCCAGGTGACTCAGCCCCACTACAGCCCAGATTGGGCGCCCTGTGACTTCTGGCTTTTCCCCAAACTAAAATCACCTTTGAAAGGGAAGAGATCTCAGACCATCAATGAGATTCAGGAAAATAAAACAGGGCAGCTGATGGCAATTCCAACAAAGGCTTTTGCAGGTGTTTTGAACGGTGGAAGAGGCGCTCGGAGAACTGTGCGAGGGCCCAACGTGCCTATTTTGAAGGGGACTGAGGCACCATTGTCCTTTGTACGTTTCTTGTGCCGTGTGTCTTTTTCAATAAATGTCTCTTTTTCATAGTACATGGCTGGATACTTTCTAGACAGACCTCATAAACCCATTTTTGTTGGCAAAATGTTTCATTTCTTAGGCCAACACCACTAAGGGGAACTTGAGTTGACAGGCATTGAGTGGGAGCTTATGGGATACTTTTACGCAGTTCACAGTTGTGCTGGCCTGTCCTGGGGTAGGTATGTCTTCCACAGCTGCCAACCACCCACCCACACAAGTGTCCAGCACTCGCCATACTCGGGAGTGAAGTAGAAATAAGGTTTGTAGTGTGAACTAGAAATGAGCCTGTGCAAAACTCTTCTAATCATGCGATGTGCAAAATTGCAGAGGGCTCAGTTCTGCCCAACTCCTAGACAGAATGAAAGTTGTCTCCCCTGAAGAAGGTATTCCATGATGCAGCATAAACAACTGAATCCACCACCTACTTTTTTCCTTTCGGGTGGGAACTGCATTTATCAAGATTCCTGTATTTGTGCAGCAAACGCCTACCTGTAGGAATGCTACAGTGAACACTTCCATGCGAAGTCCTGAGTACCACCCAAACTAATGTCAACACTATCAGATACCAATTTGATCAAGCTCGCTAGCAAAAGTCTGAATCCTCAGTCTCTTCTTTCCATGAAACAGTTCTGCAAAGTCATGATGTGGCATGTAAAGAGGACACCCAAAAACGTAAGCAAAAGCGCCAGATATGCAGTCATCAATCCATACAGATTATTTTTCTAAATTTTGCGATGTTTGTGACGTTTGCTTTTTAAATTTATAATTTAAGCCCCTCTTATACAAAATTATAGTAAAAATTACTGTAAACTATTACACTATTGTAAAATAACGCCTATATATTACACAGAAGTTATGTATTTTTCTAATTTTGGTGTTACAATTTTCCTTCATCTGAGAGTCGTTCCCCAAATTGTGCCCAACGTCTCTGCATCACGTGACCACAACTCCCGCAAAACAGAGCTCCAAAATGCACGCACGGGGACAAAATAAAGGGACGAAGCAGAGACGAAGTTCAATTACAGAGAAACAGGCACATGCACTTCCCTTGACCCCAGTTCGCGAGCGGATATGCCCCGCACCCGCGCCCCTCCTCTGCTCGAGCGCGCTCTCCGCACAGGCCCTCCCCGGCGCTCAGGACCGCAAGCCCGCGTGCCGCCGCTCCACTCTTCCGTGCCTCTCCACCTCCCCCACGCCCCCTTCACGCCCCTTCCCCGGCTCTTCCGCGCTCCACCTGCGCCCTTACGTCGTTCCCTCCGCGCCCCCTCCGGCCCCATCCCCGCCCCTCCGCGCCCCCTGGCGCACACTCCGGGCCCTAACGGCGCCCCAAGCGCGCCCCCTCCGGCCTCCTCCCCGCCCCTACTTGCCCCTTCCGCGCCCTGACGTCGCCACCCCTACGTCACGCACCGCCCCCGCGTTCCCCTCAGAAGAGCCGGGCGAGCATTGGCCCCGAGCCGAGGGAAGTGCCCGCCCCTCCGGGCCGCAGGCCAATGGGAGGCGGGGGCGGGACCCTGGCTAGCACCGGAAGCGGCGGAGCGACGAGGCGACGTCGCGTCTCTGGATCTCCAGCAGCTGCCGCGGAGCCGTCGGACCGACCGCGGGACCCGCCCGCCCCGCCATGGCCGAGAGCGACTGGGATACGGTGACGGTTCTGCGCAAGAAAGGCCCCACGGCCGCGCAGGCCAAGTCCAAGCAGGTGCGGGCGCCGCTCCGGTCTCCTGACCCAGGATCGGCCGGGAGGATCGGGCGGGACCGGCGCGGGACCTGCGCGGGGCCGACGAGGAGCCGGGGGTCGCTGTCGGGAAACCGGCGAGGGAAGGGGCGGGGATCGGGGCAGGAGAGATGGCCGATCAGGGACAGTTCGGGGCGGACGTGGCGGGTCTGAGGTGAGGATAGGGGCAGAAGGTAGAACCGAGGACGGTCGGGTGATAGCGGGTGGGTGGGGGATGGGACAGGATCAAGGGGCTAGGACACGGCAGGGCGGGTGGGGACCGGAACGCCGAGGACGGGGCGGGGGGGGGGGGGCGTGGACGCGGGCCTGGCCTGGATCAGAGGTTTCCGGACCAATGATCCAGACCTGGGGTTGGCGCCGGGCAAGGTCCGGAGGCCTGAGAGCTCTGGGCGCGGACAGGGACAGCAAGGGTGAGGCAGATGGAGGACGGGACAGGGTTGTGAGGGTGGACCTTGGGCCGGCACGGGGGTCCTGCGGCACGGATAGGGGGCACGGGTGGGATGGGACCGGGCAAGGTTGAGCCCCCCAGAGAGCGTCCGGTCCGAGGCCGCCGAGGCACACTGCAGTCTGTAGGGGCTTTCTGCGCCGGGGCTGAGCCAGCCTCCCCGTCCTGCACGTGGAGATGACCCCCGAAGGGCGCCTGGGCGCAGGTTCTCAGCCTCGCCAACCTGTCCAGGGTCACCTGCGAGTCTGATGTGGGGGGAGGGGTGGTTCAGTCACCACCCCGGCTCTTGTACGCTCTCAGGAGCCTTAGGCACGCAGCGCTGGGTCTGGGCCAGGACTGGCTGCGGCCCGGTGACCAGCCCTCATGGGCCTGTCCTGGGCTTGCTGCGCAGTCAAGAGCAAGTCCGCTGTTTTTTTTCCCCAAAGGAAACTTAACAGCCGTGAGCTAGGAGCCACGTGAAAAAGTCTAGAAAGCGTCTTTGAACACATCATACTTATGAGTGTCCCACAGTCACTTCCCTGAAGAGTTAGAAGCACCAAGAAGCGAACGTGTTATCCTTTGTTGACGACAGATAATGGGTGTCACTCGTGGTGGTGCTCGGAGCGGGGTGCAGGCTCCCAGCGCTGCGCCCTCTGTGTCACTGGGGCCGGGAGCCCCCGGGGAAGGCCAGAGCGGGTCCGCGATGCGTGTGCCGGAGGTCGGCCTGTGTCGGGTGCAGGCTCCGGGAAGGAGGCCGGGAGCGGGTCTTTCTCAGCAGCAGGGGCGTGAACGGTTCCCGTCTCCCTTAGCAGCAGCTCATGGGGAGTTGGCTGAAGATGGGCTTGAGTTTAAACCCAGCCCTGGTGTCAGTCCTTGCAAGTGCCGGTGTCGCGGCCACACCTGGGAGTCTGCTGCCTCGGAAGGCACCAGGCAGCCCACGCCAGGACTGCCAAAGCTCGTTTTCCCCAAGAAACGTTTCCTCATTTTTAGGCCATCTTAGCGGCCCAGAGACGAGGAGAAGATGTGGAGACGTCCAAGAAATGTAGGTGCCTGGGCTTCCGGTCGCGGCGGGAGTGCGGTGGCGGGCGGCCCCACCGGCGCATGCTGTGGCCGGGTGTCAGGGCAGCTGCTGGCAGCGCCTGGCATCTCGCCAGAGCCGCTGTGGTCGGCACGGGTCGGGCGGCTCGTTCTGCCTGCTCCCACCGCTGGGAGGGAGTTCTGGGCTCTCTGCTCTGAGGCCAGTGACGCTCTCGCAGCTTGGGTGGCCTGGCTTTCCGGGTCACCTGGGCGCAGGGGGCCTTGCCTGTCATGCCTGGTTCCCATCCGGAAGTGGCTCTCCTTGGCATTGGGAGCAAACCCTGTCTGTCCTGCCCCCCCCCGCCCCCGCCCGGTCCAGGGGCTGCCGGCCAGAACAAACAGCATTCGATCACCAAGAACACGGCCAAACTGGACCGGGAGACGGAGGAGCTGCACCACGACCGGGTGACCCTGGAGGTGGGCAAGGTCATCCAGCAGGGCCGGCAGAGCAAGGGGCTGACGCAGAAGGACCTGGCGACTGTGAGTGTGGCGGGCGCACCTGGGCTGCGGGCTAGTGGGCAGGGCGGCGTTCAGGAGGGTCTGCGTTGCCGGCTTGGGCTGCCCGGTGGCTGGGAGGCGTCGGTCGCCCTCACCCTTGCCCCGAGGACCCCTAAGGCCTCGGGGGAAGCCACGGGAGGCCAGGCGTGCCCTCCTCTCACGTGTGACCCCCGAGTGTCCAAGAGCCGCTCCGCGGAGGCCCTCGGCCCGGCTGTCACGGAAGGCGGTGCCCCGGGCCCGTGTGTGCGCGCCCCCCCGCCCCCGTGTTGCAGCGTCTCCCTGCTGAAATGACGGTGTGGGATGCGTCTCTTTAGAAAATCAACGAAAAGCCGCAGGTCATCGCGGACTACGAGAGTGGGAGAGCCATTCCTAATAATCAGGTTCTGGGCAAGATAGAGCGAGCCATTGGTGAGTGTCCTAGCCTTCGCCGGGGGACCGGGTGCGAGGGCCGCCCCTCCTGGGCCGGGCAGAGAGGCTGGGCTCTGAGAAAAACCCCAGGCGCGCGCTGTGTGGCTCCGTTCCCCTTTCACGTTCCCTCCACCGCCCCTCCCCGGGTCAGGCGTCCTCCGAGGCTATTGCTGTTCCCACTCGCCCCTCTGTGGTGCCAGCCGGAGCCCCAGGCCCAAAGTCCCGGGAGTGCTGGTCCTGGGGAGGGAAGGGACAGTGGCTCTGGGTCCTGCGGCCGGCAGTTGTGGAGCACCCAGTTGGGAGCGGGCCACTCGTCCCTGGACCCGGCCCCTCTCTCCTCTTTCCTGTGGGGTGAGGGAACTGGTGCTCAGGGCACCCAGGGGGCCCCCGCTGCCGCCTCGGGGACCCCTGGCTGGGGAGGCCGCAGTGCTGCTCTGCCCTGCGAAGCTCCAGGCTCTGAGCTACAGGGGTCAGTGGGTCCGACGACTCTTCCAGGCCTCAAGCTCCGGGGGAAGGACGTCGGGAAGCCCATCGAGAAGGGGCCCCGGGCGAAGTGAGCACAAAGCCTCGAAACCCACGCCCCGGCTGGTCTTGTCTGGTTGGCTCCCCTTGACCCCCAGCGCCAGCACGGGTCTCTTCGCGTGGCCGAGCGGGACTCGGGGTGTCAGTCCTGCCCGGGGACCCCCTCCACCCGAACCTGCTGTCAAACAAAACCTTGCAACATGTTTGCTTCTCCTGATTGTTTTTCCTCCCTACCCCCCATCCTCAAATTGAGGTGCAAAATGCCACTGTTCTCTCCCGAGGTGTCAGCCTGGCTGTGGGTGTGGCTCCGGGGGGCGCTGAGTGGGAGCCCGTCGTGGGTGCAGGGTGCTGGGGAGGCCCAGTCGGGTCCAGGAGGGGAAGAGGCCACCTCCAGTCTGGCTGATAGAGACGCTAATAAAGGTTCGCTGCCCTCCCTGCGGGTGTGCGTCATCCTGTCTGTCGTCCGGCCCTCTGGGCGCAGCCTTAGCGCCCTCCCCCCTTGGCCCACTGTAGGGGGAGGGGGTGGTGCCTGAGGAGCTGCGAGTGCCGCCACCCACCAGGACAGTTAGTGGGCGTCCGCTGGCCTCTTGGCGTGGCACCCCGTGCCCCGCCCTCCCCCGGCCTGCGGCCCGTGGCCACGCCCGCCCCCGCAGAGTCTGGTGGGCCCGAGCAGCGCGGTGGAGCTGGCAGGACGGGGGCACCTGGCCATCACCCCCTTCCCAGCCCGGACGGGGCAGTGTCCACACCCACCATGGGAGAGCAGGGCCCAACACCCTCCCTAGGTCAGAAAGACCTGGCTCCATGTCCCTAGATGAGGATGGCGCGTGGGCTCAGCAGGGACCTGGACACACCATTAGGGACGTCACTGCCCTCAGCCCCTCAGAGTGTGGGGGACGAGTGGCCTCCGCTCGGAGACGCACAGCTGTGGCGGCTGCTCGCACACAGGCGCCCCGGCCGCGGGGCGGCGGGCACGGCCCCCCCCAAGCAGGATGCACAGACGGGCCAGGGGCAGAGGCCGCCCGGGGGGGCCGGGGTTTATTGGCGGGGTGAGGGCTGCCGGGCGTGCGGGTGGCCGTCGGCAGGGCGCAGCTGCGGGGCTGAGCCCATCGTCCCCAGGAGGGGCAGGCGTCCCTCCTGGGCCGAGGCGGACCGGAGCAGGGGAGCTGGCATGAGGAGCCAGGGTCTTCTCTGGGTCTACGGGTTGTTGGTGACCAAGGCTGGCAGGGCGACTTGGTCCTAGGGGAGCAGTGGAGTCTGGTGGCTGCGGGGCAGGTCACGGGCCCCTGCCCCACTGTTCCCCGTACTCCAGGGAGAGGCCAAGCACAGGGCACAGTGCCGCCCCCTGCCCCCCGCCCGCCCGCCCCCACCTGTGGCCCTACCGCACTGAAGAGAACGTTGTCAAAGCCTGGGGCCGGGCCGGGGCCCAGGGCCGCTGTCCTGCCCCGGAAGGGGCAGCGCCCCCTCCTCTGCAGCCAGTGCCACCCCGCAAGTCCAAGCAGAGCCAGGAGCATGGCGAAGAGGGTGCCGCCCACCGCGGCCGCCACCTCCACGGCTGCAGCCACGTCCCCTGTGGGCCGGGGGGGCAGTGAGTCCCGGGACGTCCGCCCCCCCGTCAGCCCCGCTGCCGAGGCCAAGGGCGATGCCGGGGGACGCTGGGGTCCACTGCTCGGAACGGGGCGCGGCCAGCACAGGCTCCAGGCCAGGGCCGGGGACCTGGCAGCCAGGTGTCATGGCCTCAGGCTGGTCCCCACTGAGTGGTGAAGTGACTGCAGTCAACAGGGCTCCAGGAAGGGGCTGGCCTGTGTCTGGCCTGACAGGCACCTCCCAGGGCCCAGCCACACCCTGGGAGCAGAGCACGCAGCTGGGCCGGCGGGCCAAGGGCGGGGATGGCGAAGGGTTGGCCTCGGTGGCTCTCCTGGCCTCTCAGGCGGCCACGTGGGCCGCGAGCCGCAGAGCCACGGAGGCCCAGACCCAGAGCAGGCGGCCAGCGTGGGCAGGGCATACCCTGGCTGGGTGCAGGCGGCTGGCAACGCTGCCCGGCCAGATACTCCACGTCGTCCAGGGCGACGGGCCCCAGGGCTGGCTGGCCGCTCAGAGTGGCTTCAAACACGATCTGACCGAGACCGCAGAAAGGCTGTGTCACTGGAGGCAGAAGGGCCCACCGGAGCCCCCGGAGGCCCCCGGGCTCCAAGCAGCCGGCCTCACCTGGAACTCCTCAGCACTGGCCACCTCCACCCGGGCTTCTAGCCACTGCTGCCGCAGGCGCCCGCCCGTGCCCCACAGGGCCAGCTGGCCTCGGGCGCTGTGCTGGAGCACCCTCAGCTCGCCCTCGTCTGAGAGCAGAGCCGGGCAGGTCAGGCCCCCGGAGGGCCCGGGGGTGGGGCTGCCCCCAGGCCCCTGCCGCCTGCTCCCTGCCGCCCGCCCCCCGGCCCCTGCCGCCCGGGCGCCGCCAGCTGGGCCACTCACAGAAGTGCTGGGGAAAGCCCATGTAGTACCAGAAGCGGAGGCAGGAGGCCTCGGTGGCGGGCAGGGGCTGGCTGCGCAGCCAGGCTGCCCGGCCCCCTGGGCCCAGCACACCGGTTTCAAAGAGAGCAAAGTGGCCTGGAAACGCGAGAAGAGGGGGCCCACTGGCTGGGTGGGGCTGGGCCCCGGACCCGAGGCCCTGACCCTGATGGATAGCTGGGCAGGCAGCGTGCCCTTCCCCGGCTCTGACCTACCCACATCGGTGCCCAGGGTGTGGTCCACGGGGGGCTGCAGGTATCGGGAGGGTGTGTTTCCGCTGCTCCAGTCCCAGCGGTACCCGCCCAGGCTGGGCCGCGGCAGCTGGCTCCAGCCACACAGTCCGGTCTCAAAGTCACAGGAAGCTGCAGGGGACCAGGGCCGTCAGCGGCGCTGCCCCTGCCGGGGACAGCGCTGGCACAGAGCTGCTACCACCCGGGAGTCACAGCAGGTCCCGGGGCCGGGCTGCAGGGCTCCCACCTGGCCGAGGGCAGGGCCCATCCTGCAGGAGCAGGTCATCCAGCGCGACGTAGGAGCGCTCCACGCCGGCGGCCACGGCCTCAAACACCACCTGGGCAGTCACAGGGCAAGGCAGCCTCACGCCTGGCCGGGTCTGGACAGCCCGAGGGAGCGAGAAAGGGCCCGCGCCCCGGGCACTCACCCTCCAGGCCCGCTGGGCCTGCACATCCACGCTGCCCAGGCGCCAGGCAAGCCCTCCGTGCTCGCTGAGGCTGAGCACCTGTCGCCTCTCGGCCTCCTCCACGTGGACCTGCAGGGTACCTGCCCCACCAAACGGCCAGCGCAGGTCAGCAGCGGTGCGGGAGCCATGCCCTCTCAGGGCCGCGCCACAGTAGCCCCCAGGCAGCCCTGGCACGGGGCTGGCGTGGACGCGCAGCCCCTCCTCCCGACAGCCCTCACCTGGGTTGCGGAGGCTCAGGTGGTACCAAAAGGTCAGGCAGGCGGATTGGGTCAGGGGCCTGTGCTCCTCTGAGGTCAGGGAGGCCACGTGGCCGCGGGGCAAGACCTGTGGGCTCGTGTCCACTATCATGTAGTGCCCTGGGTGAGGGCGCCAGCCTCAGCCTGCGGCCCTGCCCCACGCTGACCCCACGTCTCTCGCGCCGGCCCCGCCCCCGCCTGACACGTCCTCCCGGTCTGGCCCCGCCCCCGGCCCCGCCCCCGCCCTCGGCCCGCCCCGGCCGGCACCCTGAGCTGTCTCCGTGGTGTGGTCGGTGGCCGGGCCAGAGGCGGCAAGGCCCGTGGCGTTGGTCTGGCGAGTCCAGAGGCCCCCCATGGAGAAGCCGCAGGCCGAGTCCTCGAAGGAGCAGCGCTCAGGGGCCCAGCAGGGCCCAGGCCGCACAGCCACGTCGTCCAGCGCCATGGTGCCGTGGAACCCGTCCCGGAGGCCCTCGAACAGCAGCTGTGGGCACAGGGTGTCAGTGCGGGGCCGTGCCCCGCGCCCCCCGCCCGGGAGCCGGACCTCACTTGGTACTTAGCACCAGAGTCCGCCCGGTGGTGGAGCGTAGCCCAGGCCTGGTGCCAACGGTTGCCTTGCGTGCCCGACTGGGACCACAGCTGCGCGTCTGCCTCCCCATCCCGTCTCACGACCAGGCGCAGCGTCCCTGCAGGGAGAGTGGGGTTCGGAGGGGAGCAGACCGCCCTCCTGACACCTTCCCACCCTCTCCGCAGCCCCCGAGGGGCGCAGGCGCGCGTGGCCACGTCGCGTCTCCAAGCCCTGCCCCGCGCTGGGCCACTCACCAATCTGGGGCCCGTGGAGGTGGTACCAGAAAGAGAGACACTCCCGAGGGGCTGCCGGTGTCTGGGGCCGGGTGAGGACGTGGGCCCCAGGGCCTCGCGCCAGGGGGTTCGTGGGGTCCAGGAGCAGGAAGTAGCCTGTGGGGTGGGGGGGGGGCACCCTGAGTCTGGACGCCGCCCCCACTCCCAGGCACTGCCTCCCAGCCTGGGGCTCCCGCCCTACCTTTGCCTGTGGTGTGGTCGTACGCGGGGCCACGGCTCTGCAGCCGGCGCCAGTGGGCGTCTGCGAGGTGGCCTGTGTGCCAGCCGCACATGTCCCGCTCGAAGTTACAGGAGACCTCTGGGGGCGGGGCAGCGGGGGGTCAGCACGCCCCGCACCCCACCCCACGCCCCTGTGGCTTCCTGAGAGGGCGGGGAGACCCTCTCTCCACAAAGGGCCTGCGGAGGTCCCTTGGGGGGATCTGGAGGGAGGCCCCAAGGTGGGGCCTGCGCCCGGGGATGGGGGAGACCTGCGTCTTCCTTGGTGACCACTGTGGGGCTGCAGTCCTTCAAGAGCACGTTGTCCACCCCAGCGCCCTGCTGGCCAGGGCTGTCCAAGTCCACCAGGCCGACCAGCTCCAGCTTCATGGGGGACGCGCGGGAGGGACTGTCAAGTCAGGGTTGGCTCCGGGAGCCCCGCCCCGGCCACCACCCCCCACCTCCGCCCCAGGCTGCCCTCCTCACCCGGAAAGGCCGGCGGCGTTGCCCCAGGAGGACCGAGACCGACTCCCAGCCGCCGCCGCTGCCGCTCGGGGCCTCCCACACCAGCTCCCGGGTGCCGCCTTCCACCACGAGCAGGGCCAGGAGGCCTGGGCAAGGGTCCCCAAGGGTTAGCTCAGCCCGCCTCCGGGCGCACCTGGGAGCCCTGCGGCCCGGGGCGGGCTGGGCGCCGGGAGGGACGGGGCAACAGTACCTTGGGCGTTACTCCGAAAGTAGTAAACCATGTGGAGCGCGCAGTGCGGGCCCGAGGGGCCCAGCGGGGGCGTGAGGGCCCGGGCCTCCGGGGTGAGCTGCCCCCAGGCCCTCTGCAGGGACAGGAAGTGCCCTGGGGAAGGGCAGGCCGCTTAGAGCGGACTCCTTCCGGGGACCCCCAGCTCAGAGACCCCCCTCGTGGGAGCGGCAGAGCAAGGGACCCCTCTGGGGGTGCAACTCGCAGTCGGCAGGCTGCCGGCTGCCCGAGCGGGAGGCTGGGGCCTCACCAGCGGCAGCCCGGCCGGCATCCGCGCCGGGGCCCCCGTGCTCCTGGGCCCGGACACGACCCCACTGCAGCCGCCCCACGCTGGCGTCCTCCCAGCCCCCGGCCGCCGGGTGCTCGAAGTCCGCGGTGCCTGCAACAGCAGGGGGCGCTGAGCGGCAGGGGCCGGCCCCCCAGCGGGGGAGGGGCGCAGCCCCGCCCCTGCCGCGGCGCCTCACCGCAGCCCCGCTCGTCCTGGCCCTCGGCACACTGCTGCTGGAAGTCGCACAGCTGCTCCGGGGGGACACACAGGTCGCCGCAGGAGAGGTGGCCCGGCTCACAGGAACTCTGGGGCGGCAGGCCAGGCGGCTGGGCGCCGGGGGCTGGGCACGAACGGGACACCTCTGTGGGGGCAGAGCAGACGGGAGTCAGGGGCGGGGGCGGCGCTTGCCCGGGGAGGAGGGGGCTCAGCAGGCTCACCCAGGGCTGGTTTGCAGCCGTCAGACAGGATGAGGTCGTCCAGGCCCACGACGCCCCCGGGACCCGTCTGCCCGGCCAGGAGGATCTGAGGACACAGGGAGCTCGGGCGGCGCCTGGCACCCATGCGCTGTCCCCGGGGCCTGCTCCTTCGAGCCTTCTCCCCGCCGCCTGTACTTCCTGTGTGCTGGACAGCGCGCCTGCCACCACCCCCGCGGCCCCTCAGGAGGGGCCATCTGCAAGCCACCCTCCTCTGGGCTCTCCAGAGCCCGCAGGCCAACAAGCGCCCCGCGGAGCCCGCCTGAGGTGCTGCCCACCCGCCCCTAGGGCAGCCCTGGCGGCCTCACCCGGAAGGGGTGCTCGCTCTGGATGTCCACCCGGTCTCGAACCCAGGCGGCCCCCAGCTCCCCGTGGCGCCTGCGCAGCAGGACGGGGACCCTGGGGGTGCCGGGGCCCTGAGCCTGCAGGTGCAGCTGGAGGAGGCTGGCCTCGGACCCGTGCAGGTAGTGATAGAAGGTGAGCTGGGGAGGGACCGAGGAGGGTCAGGAGCGGCGCCGGGGACCCAGCCGCCGCCGCCGGGCAGCCCGGCGGCCCCAGCCCGCCTCACCGAGCAGCCGTGGGGGCCCAAGGCCTGGAGCTCGGGGCTGTAGAGGACGGCAGGGGCGCCCGGCCCCGCGACGGAGACCAGGAAGTAGCCTGGGGAGAGAGCGGGCATGGGCGAGGGGTGGGCGCGGGGGCGCAGCGACCACCGGGGCCAGGGCTGCGCCGCGGGTCCCCAGGGGGCCTCACCCCGGGCGCTGTTCCGGCTGTGGTCTCGGCGCGGCCAGGAGGGGCGCAGGGGGACGCGGGCGCTGTGGTTGCGGGTCCAGCCCTCCGAGCAGTTCCACAGGCCCAGGCCCCCCTCAAAGTCGGCAGATACGTGGTGGCCTAGGGTGGAAGGGGGCTCAGGCCGCCGGGCAGGGCCTCCCCGGGACGCCGCGGGCCCTCGGGCCCTGTGTCTGGACGGGCCGCCCGCCCCCGGAGGGACCGAGCCCAGGGCAGCGCCCCCCGCGCCCCCGCCCGCGGAGTGAGAGCCCGCTCACCGCACGCGGCCGCGCCCTCGTCCGAGCCGTCCCCGCAGTGGTCCTCCCCGTCGCAGAGCTGGCGGGGCTCCACACAGGCCCCGTTCCCGCAGCGGTGGGCCCCCTGGGGGCAGCGAGCCTGGGGGGCTGCGTCGCGGAGGGCCCCCAGTCACCCCGGCGGCCCGGGCAGGGGCTCGGGGCCTTTGCGCTGGGCGGGAGCCCCCCCGCCCCCCGCCGTGGGCCCACGGGGCGGGGTCTCACCGGGCAGCCCGCAGCCCCGGAAGGCCACGTCGTCCAAGGCGACCGCGCCCCTGTGGGTGGCGTTCCGGGTGGCAGAGAAGGTCACCTGAGGCGAACAGGGTCCTTAGGACCTAAGTCAGGGCTCAGACCCAACCCTCGGCCCCCCCCACCATCCAGAGCGGCCTCCAGGTCACCTGGAAGTCACCCCGGACACGGCCGGGGGCCACCACCAGCTCCTGCCAGCCTGGGCCCCAGGGCCCTGAGCTCTGCCACAGGGCCAGCGTCTCCGTGCCGTGGGTCAGCTCCAGCCGCAGCTCAGCCGCATCTGCAGTGGGGGCACGGGCCTGCTGGCGGCACCCTGCCCCGAACCCTGCCCCGCCCAGTCTGCTGCAGCCGGCCTCCTCGGCCCGCTCGCCCCCCGTCCCGGGGCACGCCGCCCCAGCAGGGGTCGCGGGGTCCTGGGCACCCACCTCCGGCGGCTGCGTGGTACCAGAGCCTCAGCTCACAGGTAGAGGCCGCCTCGTGGAGGACGGGGGAGCGCAGGGCAGCGACCGACGCCTCTTTCCCATGGTGGGTGCCGACGGCCATGTACCAGCCTGGACAGGCAGAGAGGTCAGAGGATGGGGCCAGAGCCGGAGCCCCAGGAGGGAGGGGCTGGCGTGGGGACCAACGAAGGGAGGGGGCGGCCAAGCCTCACCCAGGTCGGTGCCCAGAGTGTGGTCGGAGCGCGGTCCGGCGCTCTCCAGCGCGGCCCCCGCCCGGCCCCGGCGCCAGCCATAGCGCGAGGTGCTGATGTCCTGCCAGCCACAGGGGTCCTGCTCGAAGTCGCAGGTGAAGGGGGCCCCTGGGGCGGGAGAGGCCCCCCCGTGGCCTGGGAGAGCGGGCCGTCAGGGGAGCGCCCCCGGCTGGCCCCGCCCCCGCCCCCCGCCCGCCCCCGCCCGGCGCCTGCTCACCGCACTGGGTCTCGTCAGAGCAGGCCCTGCAGTCACACACGAAGTCGCACAAAGTGTGGCTGGGGGTCCCGCAGTGGTCGGGGGCCCGGGTCCAGGCTGCGGACCCTGCTGCCAGCAGAAGACCGCCAGGTGGTCGGCGGCAGGGTGACTCCCCCCGCCCCGATAGGCCTGGGAGCCCCAGAAGCCCTCAGACCCCGGGAGCCCAGGCTGCCGGTGCCCCACTCAGGGGCGTAGAGCCGGAGGTCAGGAGGGGGGCCTGGGTCTGGGGCTGGGGCGCCCGGTCAAGGCCGAGCAGAGCACGTCTGGCCTGAGAGGCTGGCTGCCGGTCAGGGTGGAGGACGCGGGCGTGCCTTGGGCCACGGCCCCCCGGGGGAAACCGCCTCTGGGGAGGGAGGCAGGAGCCCAGCAGGGAGACGCGTCAGTGGGTATGAACAAGGGGGTGTGTCAGTGGGTGACCCAGAGCCCTCAGGCGCCATCCAGCCCTGGAGCATGGACCCGCCTCCAGGGCCCGCGCGCTTCAGGGCTTGGGAGAGCAGAAGTTCTGTCCCTCCCCCAGCAGGCAGCCCCCAGGACCCCGAAGGCTCACTCTGGGCCCCCCAGAGCAGGCCGCCCGGGGCTCTGTGCCCAAGTCCCCAGCCAGCTCTGCTCCCGGAGCCAGAGCCGACGACTCACCCAGGAGCAGGGCCAGGGCAGGCAGCAGGTGGCCGGGCAGAGCCATGGTCGGGCTGCAGCGGCAAGGCCGGGGCTGCGCGTACGCTGGGCGGCCCGGTGGGGACTTTGCCCGGTTCCCAGTCCCCGGCGCACAGCCTCGCTCTGCTTTAACTGGAGAGGGGGCCTCACCCCTCCTGTGCTGTGGCCCCTCGGCAGGCCCCACCCTGGCTGCTGAGGGTGCACATCCGGTTGTAAAAGGGTCCAGCAGAGGGGCCCCTGGCCCAGACCAGCTCCCATCTGCCCAGCACCCCCAGCCCTGGCCGTCCTGCCCACGGCCTCCTGGCCTTGCCTGCTGGAGGCCTCGCTGGACGCAGCTCCAGGCAGCACTGGCTGCGGCTGCTTCTCCTGGGGCTCTGTCCCCGCCAGGGCTGTGAGGCCGGCCCGGCCCGGGCTGCCAGCAGGAGCCTGGCACGTGCAAACCCGTGGAGGGGGCTCGCAGCCAGGGACCTTGACCACCTCCGCCTGCCACTCAGCCTGCGGTCCCTGTTCGCTTACAGTCAGCAATCACTTATTCATGGGCAACTGTGCTGAGCAGCATGGCTGGGCCCCTAGGGGCCCCGGTTCTCCCGACACAGACCACAGACAGACCCCCGGTGCAGGGCTGAGAGGCAGGCTCTGCCGGCCGCTGACGTGTGACCTGGGAGCCCAGCTCACCCGAGCATTTCCTTGTTGGCAAAATGTCGTGGTAGCGGCACTTGCGTGGAGGCTCCCGGGAGCTCCCCGATGGCGCGCACAATGGGATGGCGGCCCGAGCAAGGTACGCCCACGCCCCATGAGCCACAGGGACAGCGGTGCCTCTGTGCCTGCCTCTGCCCCCGCGCCTGGTGACCCCCCCAGCCCTGCACGGGGGAGGGGAGGGGCTTCGGAGAGGGGGCTCCCGGCTCCGCGTCGGAAGGAAGCTCTGCCCGGTCACTCGGGCTGTGGCGCCTGGTCATGGAAACCAGGAGTCACAGGCCACTTTCGTGTGTGACATCAGCTGGCAGAGCGCACAGGCGCAGTGAACTCAGCCACCAGGACGGTGGCCACTGGCACCCTCCCTGCACCGCACCCCGGGGTGGGCACCGCCGCCCCAGGCACCGGTGAACCAGCCGCTAACTCCTTGCGCAAGGGCGAGGAGGGCCTCCTCTCAGACGTCCTTGGGGAGAGCAGCCACCATGAGGAGAGGCAATTAGGCCATAAACGGGGATGGCTGCAGGCAGTGGGGGGCCCTTATCAGACCCCAAGGGGCTGAATGTGCACTGCCACTCCCTGGGGCCCCTGGGGCCGGATGAGGGGAGTCCCAAGAGGACCCAGTGCTACCCACCGCTCTTCTCGGGGGTCTGCAGGGGTGGCCCAGGTGCAGAGAAGCCAAGACACACAGCACCCAGGGACCAGCTGGGGTGACGGCACTTTAATTCCAGGGGGTGAGGTGAACCCGGGCACTGGGTGGGCTGCTGGCCCCCCCACAGCCAGGGCAGGGTGGCACGGTGCCAGGGGTGCGGCCCTGCCCCTCGGGCGGGGCTTCAAGGGCAGAGTTCCGAGGGGCGGCTGGAGTCAGCAGGCCTCGGGGGCCCTCAGTAGCCGTCATCAGTCCAGGTGACCTCGTAGTCAGGGTACTGGGCTTTGATCTTCTCGGTGGAGACAGAGTGCTGGGCGCGCCCAAAGCCCTGAAGAGAAACCGTGTCTCTTAACAGCCCGTGCGTGGGTTCAGGGTGGCCAGTTAGCAGGGATGCTCGGGACCTAGGCGGGGGCTGGGGTCCCAGGGCAGAGCCAAGTGCCAGCATCCGCCAACCACCCCAGGGAGCCCCCCTGCAGAAAGGCGGCCGCCAAGGTGAACAGACCTCGACCCAAGGCCTGGGCTGTTCTGCGGTGCCAAGAGAACGCCCCGTGGTCCGCTGGGAGCTTGGTGAAGAAAAGAGGGGCCTCTGTGTTTCACCCCAAAACTGATGCCTCAAAGCGCTGGGGGACAGTGACACCCCCCTGAAGACTCCTGGGGCGGAAACGGCCACAGGCCGCTGTCGTTGAGGGGCAGGCAGTGGCCTCCCTCCCACCCTGTGCACACGGGAAGCGGGCAGGCTGTGGGCCCCAGGCCGGGAGTGAGTTCCGCAGTTGCGACGGCAATGCGAGCAGCTCTGCGGCTCGGAGGGCCGGCCGGGACTGCGGCCTCACCATGGAGTAGCCGTACACGTGGATCTTCTTGTCCTGGCTCTGGTGGGAGATGCGCCCGCCTCCCAGGCACTCGCAGTCATAGCCCTTCTTCTGCATCTCGCCAGATACCTTGTCGTAGATGTCCGCTGGGATGGGGAGAGCGCGGCACTCAGCTCTGGCTGCCCTCGGGCCGAGGGGTCTGAAGCCCCAGCGCTGGGCAGCTGATCGATTCCCCGAGAAAGGAATCCCCTCCACGATGGGGAGGGAAAAAGGGGGTGCGCCTGAGCAGGGGCGCGGGCCTAAGAGAGAAGGGGTGGGCCAAGGCAGCCCCTTGGCCCCTAGGACCCCAGACCCCGTGAGCGAGCCCCGCCCACAACGCTCCAGCCCCGCCCACAGACGCAGCGGCCCGCCCTTGGTCCTCAGCCCCGCCCCGCCCTCACCGTGGTACTCGGCCCACTTGTAACCGCGTACGATGTCCTTGCTCTCCCCGGCCGGGGCCTCGGAGGGCGCTGCCGCGCGGACTCGAATCAGCACGTACTTGAAGACACCGTCGGGGTCGATATCCACATCGGGGATCTGGGCGAGGTCCGCTGCCGCCATGTTCCCTGGAGCCCGCCCGCCCCCGCAGCCCTCTGTCCTTTCCCCCGCCAGCCGGGGCTGCGTCGACAGTGCGGGAGGCGGGCTCTGGGAGGCCACGGCCAATCCCGCGGGGGCATGCAGCCCTGGCCCTCACCCTTAACCAATCGTGCCGCCAAGCCGCCGCACCGACTGGCCAATCGCAACCCAGCTCCTTGCAGCCCTCGAACCACGCGGCTCCCACTTAAAGGAGAACGTAGATCTACGAGTGGGTGGTGGTTAAAACCAGACTCGTTTGACGGGAGCTAGGCGACCCGTGAGACCGGAGGGACGCGCGCCGGCTCTGACCGCCTCCCTCACCGTGGCTAAAGGCCTTCCTGCCCCACCGTGTTCGAAGGCCGCCCGCCCCCCCGCATAATGAGGCAGCAATGGTTACATTCGAGTTGTTTTACTTCGAAAAGCGCTCGCCCTCTGGAAACAATCCGCTCCGGAGTCCTTCCAGACCGTACGGCCCGAATGCGGGGCCGCAGGCGGGGTCCAGGGAGGCAGATGGAGCGGCGGCCCGATTTGGGAAGGGGCGAAGGCGACTAGGACAAGCGGGGCGCGTGGCCGGTGCAAACGCGCGAGGCCGAGGCGGGCGCGCAGGCGTGGGGAAATCGGGAGTCACGGGGGGCACGGTCGGGGCAGAGAGCCCGGAACGGAGGCGTGCACAATTTAATTCAATCGATACCCCCTCTCGACCTCTACGGGAGCTCCAGAAGAGCCCTACCCGGCCTCACCCCCTCTCCCGGCCATTCGTTCTCCACGGAGCTCGGGCCTGGGCCAGGATGAGTTCCTGGGGAGGTCGGGGGCCAAGGGCCACTCAACTCTGCGCTCCCGCGGCCCGGAGCCGGCAGCTAACTTCACCTTTCCAGCGGGTAACACAAGGCACAGCCAGAGCGAGCGCACAGGGGTGGGGGATGTTTGTGCAACGACGTCCCGCCCCTCGGCCTGCCCTGACCAACTATCTGGCGCCTTCACTTGCTCCACCCACGCTCTCCCCTCCCAGTTCCCACCTAGGAAACCCGTCCTCTGGTCTCCCCAAGCCAGCGCGTAGGAGCCCCTCCTGCAGCCCTCCCACTCCTCGGCCCTCGGTTCCGGCTCCCCCACCCCCCGCCGTGAGGTTAGAGCCTGTGCTGCTGTTTGTAAACCTGGCCCTGGCATCCGCCTTGGGCCATCCTGTCGGGTGTGGGCAGGCAGCCCGCCTCATGCCCAGCCAGGTCTCGGCTCTGGGCCGGCGCCTGGCCTGCGTCCCACGCTGTCCTCTGCTTCCCCTGCCCTGGCCCTCCTCTCCTCTGGCTGAGTGTCTTGTGCCTTGGCCGAAGATTTCGAGAGCCCCACCACTGCCGCTCGCCCCAGCCCCTCCTGCAGGGCCCAGGCCAGGACAACCTGTGGTGAGGGGAGGCTGGCGGGGATCCGCGAAAAACGTGCGAGCTCGGGGGCCGGCTGTACCCTCTCCATCCGGGGCCGGGGCCAGTGGAAAGGCACCACACACCACCAGGGCAGGGCGTGCTCGGGACACGGACACACCGAGGCCGACCAGGGTGTCCTCCAGACAGGAAAGGCCTCTGAACCGGACGCAATCCAGTCCACAGGAGGCGGGTGGGGGCGTCTTAAGTGGGTCGGGACTAGGCTTTGGTCAACTCGGGCTCCTGGACCAGGGCGAACCAGGCTTGGGGAGGTTCCAAGGAGTCCCTGCGGAGGACAGGGGACGAACGGACGGGCCGGATCTGCAATAGTGACTGACCCCTCCGCGCAGGGCCGGGCGGTCCTCAGGCCCACCCCGCCTCCCAGCGGGGAGCACCAAGTGGCCAAGGACCGGCGTCTGGAGAGGCCCGAGGGAGAGCTGGGGAAGGGGTAGCGGGGCTGGGCTTGTCGGGGCGGGGAGGGGGGCGTCGCAGCACGGACGCAGCGGGGCGGGGCCTGGGCGGAGCTCGAGTCGAGGAGGGCGGGTCTAGGCGGATTCGAGGCGGGGCTTAAAAGAAGCGGGGCAGGGTCTACATGGAGGGAGCAGGTCCTGAGTGGGCTGGGCGGGGCTCAGGGTGGCCCTGGTGGGCGGGGCCTGAGTGACTTCGGCGGGGCTAGAGGGCGGCCCTGGGTGGCCTGGGCGGGCCCTAGGTGGGTTGGGTGGGGCCCCGGCGAGCCCCCCGCGTCTCACATGATGTCATCGAGCAGGTTGGCGCTGGCCACCCAGTCCAGCGCGCGAGGTTCGGAGGCGGCCATGATCATGCACATGAAGGGGCGGCCTGTGCGCCGGTCCGTGGGGTAGATGGTGGTGGGCGTGAAGCGCCGGTTGGCCTCGACGAACTCACAGAGCTGCTCGTAGACGTGCGGGAACTCGTGGCGCAGGAAGACACCGCGCAGTCGCAGCTCGCGCTGGATGTGGATGAAGGCCACTTCGCGCGCGCGCCGGCCTGCCTCGCCGTCCTGGTCCAGGCCCGCCGTGCCCGGTGGCGGCGTAAGGATCAGCGTCTCCATGTCAGGCTCGCGACCCCGCGCCGGGGGCGGCCGCGCCGGGCTGCCGGCCGCCAGCGCCACCTTGGCGAACTTGCGCACCGTGGGCCCAGGGCTGCGCGGCGCGGGCCGCGCCGGGGCGCCGGGGGGTGTGGCGCCAGGGCCTACGGCCACCGACACGCTGAGCAGGAAGCACTCGGCCGGCTCGTAGAGGCGCCCTGCAGCCGCCAATTCACGCGCATAGCTGCCCAGGGGTGCCGCGTGCGTGGCCAGCTCGCGCAGGGACAAGTAGGTAGGTGACAGCAGCAGTCCCTCGAGGCCGAAACGCAAGAAGTTTTCCGCGGAGCCAGGACTCGGGAAGCCCAGGAAGAGCACGCCGCGGCCGCGCGACAAGAAGCCTACGCGTGCGATGCGCGAGAAGGCGCGGTGCACCGGCCCGCTGTCGCGGCAGAACTGCAGCACGTGGCGGCACACGCTGCCCACGCGGCCGTACACGCAGCGCGCCTTGTGCGCGTCCCAGTCCTCGCGGCGGCACAGGCGCGAGCAGTAGTAGGTGTAGCAGCTGTGGCAGGACTTGAAGTAGAGGCAGGCGTTGAACATGGTCTCAGTGCGCCGGCAGCGCGCGTTGGAGCAAGTCATCAGGTCGTCTTCGTCCGCGCTGGGGTCCGGGGACGCGTCGGCCGCCTGCCCCGGGGCCGTAGGCTCCTCGGCGCTGCCGGCCGACGCTGGTGGAGAGCGCGGCACCAGCGCGGGGGCCTCGGGGCCTGCGGACCGCGAGTCCAGAAGGCGGCGAAGCTGGCGGCCCAGGCTGTCGGCCACAGGCTCGGGTCCTTGACCGGCGGCGGGCCGCGAGTCGATCACCAGATCGGTGATGAGCTCGTCCAGCTGCTCGAGGCTGCGCTGGCGGCCAGGGGAGGGGCCGTCGGCGGCGGCGGCGGCTGCGGGCGGCCGCGGGCGGCCCCGGGGCAGCTCCCAGCCTCTGGCGGCCGGGCCTTCGGAGGCGCGCAGGTCGTTGTCGGTGATGGTGATCTCCGGCGTGACGTACCAGTTGCGGCCCGGGCCCTCGCCCGCTCGGCCCTTCTCAGACAGCGACGTCTCGGACAGGGACAGAGCTGCGTAGCGCCTGGGCGAGGTGGACAGGTTCACCACCACCGGCGCGCGCCGGCCTTCCGGGTACGTGCCCGGCGGCTCCCGTGCCTCTCGTCCCAGCAGGTTCTCGTAGCTGCGGCCACGGCCCAGGGGGTCCTCACGGCGGGGCGCAGGGGCCAGGATGTTGTCCCAGGAGCGCGAGTAGTGGCGACTGTCGGTGGCCAGCCGGGGCGGGCTGGTGCCGGTGCCGCCGTGCCATGAAGCGAGCAAGGGGCCGGGGTCTGGAGGAGGCGCCACCTGCAAAGTCCCGTACGGCCTCAGGCCCCAGTCGCCCCAGGCCAGGCTGCCCCGGGGGTGCGGGTAAGTCCTTGCCAGGGCGTCTCGGTCTCGGTACCGCCCGAAGTCCTCTGTGTAAAAGGGTCGGATGGAGGGGTGGGCCTGGGGCTCCTCGGGGGGATAGTGGGGTCCCCAGGGCGGGCCGTAGGCTCGGGGGCCCTCTCCATAGTAGGCACGGGAGGGCGGTTGGTGGACCGGAAAGGTGCGCACGTCCCCTGCATAGTAGCCGCCCGCACGCCTTGGACTGGGCCCCCGGGACTCCTCGGGCTGGAAGGACCTGGGGAAATAGCTGTCGAAGGCAGGGCCGGGGCTGGCTGTGAAGCCGCCCGGGGGGCCCTCGGCCTCCTCCGTGTAGAAGAATTGAGTGGGGCCTGGCGGGGTGGTGAAAGGCAGGCTACGCCGGTCCACGTAGTCTCGGGGCCCCGGCAGAGGCCCGTCGCAGTAAAGCGCCCGGGTATCCGTGCAGTACGAGTCACTGGGGGTAGGGGTGCGCGACAGCGCCACAGGGCGAGGCCCGGGCACCGTGAGGCCGTGGAGTTGCGGGGTGGCGCGGACCCAGGGCGTGGCCTCCAGGGGCCTGCAGGACCGCGAGCCCCGGGCCGCGTGCTGCAGCACCGCGTCATCGGGCTTGATGTCCAGGCGGCAGCGGACGTGGGGGGCAGGCCCGGCAGGCGGCTCCGGGGGCGCGCAGCGGCCGGCGGCAGGGCACAGCGGAGCGATGCGGCCGGGTCCGCCGCGCTGTGGCTGCAGCTTGATGGGGTGCAGCTCGTTGGCGAGCGCGCGCAGCGCGGGGTATGCGGGCTCCCGGCGTGGTGACCCCTCCGCCCGCGCCGCCCGTTGGACCTCCCGGCCTCGGCGCGGCAGCACTGGAGGTGAGGCGGGCGCCAGGTCCGGGGGCGCGCGGGGAGCGCTCTTGGAGCGGGCGCGGCGCCGGGGTTCGCTGTCGCGGGGCCGGGCGCGCGGCGCCGGGGGCTCCGGGGGCGGCGGCTCAGGGAGGGTCTCCATGGGCGCCCCGTCCAGCGCCTCCAGGAAGTCGAAGCTGCGGCAGTGGCGCTTGTTGAAAGGCACGGGCGCAGCAGGCCGGGCCATGGAGCGCTCACATGGCGGGCGCCTGGACGCGGGCCCCGGGGTCGCCACCTTGATGTCCTGATACACGGTCGACACCAGCAAGTCTGGCGGGTCCGTGCGGGTCATCTTAAAAGAGGTCCCCAGGCTAGCGGCTGCAGCTCACTGGGCCTTGTGGGGCTTGCACCCTGGAGGGAGACAGGGGTCAGAGTGGCCTCTCTGAAGCCCAGGCCCGACTCCCCCGTGCGCTGGCCCCACTTACCTGGGGCGCAGTGGGCGGAGCAGCCCTGGCGTCGGGCCTTGGCTGCCGCGGCGGGCACTTGCTCCATGCTGGCGGCGGAGGCCCCTGCAGGAGGAACCCAGCTGTCCAGCCGCTCAGGCCCCCTGCCCCTTCCTTGCCGCCCACCTTTTCTGGGAGGAGGCTGGGGTGGGTGGGCTAGAAAGGCCGGGCGGGGTGAAACAGGCGTGGTCAGACTCCCTTTCCCAGCACAGGCCCCGGTAGGAAAAGAAGGGGTGTGGGCCAGGGCTGCCCCCTGGTGCCCGTGGCTGGAATGACCGTGAGCTCATTTGAGCCTGAAGCACAGGCTTCCTTATGGCTGCCGGCCCCACAGCCCACTGGCGACAGAAGCGCCCTCTGGGCACCCGGCACAGAGCGCGCCCTCCAGGGGCGCTGGCTGGAGCCGTGTCTGCGGTCACTGAGTCTCGCACCGCACCTGCTGGCGGGGCTGGGCGTGGAGCCCTCCCCCTCCCCCGGTGCGGCGCCCGCCCGGGTGGCAGCCGGGGGCCCCATCGGTCCAGGCACGGCACTTAGGCTGAGAAAGTGGCCCGTTCCACCCTTGACACTTGGTGTGGCCCCAGCTGGAATAATGTCCTCGAAGAGCACAGTGGGCCCCCAACCCCCTTCTCTTTGCAGAAGGCTCTGACCCCAGCTTTCCGGTGGGGGGGGCGGAAGCCCACCAGGCTTGTTGGGGCCTCAGGACCACGCTGGCAGAGTGGCCCCCAGCGCCGCTGCATGTGTGCGGCCAGCGCCCCCTGGGGCTGCCAGGCCACGTGGGGGTGTGGGAGCAGGGCCCAGGCTCCCCTCTTCCCCGCGGGAGGGCGCCTGGCCAGGAGGCTGGCTGCCTGTGGCGGAGGCGGGGCGGCGGGTGGGTTGGGCTCCACCCCCTTCCTCAGGAGAGGGCCCCCCACAGCATCTCAGGAAGGCTCCATGGAAACCGGAGGTTCTGCGCCCCCGCGGTGCCGCCGGGCCGGGGTCCGCGCTTCTGGCCTCGGCCCACGTTCAGACTTGGGCCACCGGCCCCTCTGCGTGCCAAGGCTGCGCAGGCTGGGGAGGGGCTCAGAGGGAGCCGAGGGGACCCCAGCCCCCCTCCGCCCGAGGAGTGCGCCCCGGGTGAGCTGGGGGAGAGGGGATGCTGGGCCTCCTCCTGTCGGTCCCCGGGGCCGCAGACCCTGTGTCCCAGGAGCGCAAGGGGCCCCTGCCAGTGGGGCGGCCCTTCTGGGTCGGGGTCGCCAGGGCCCAGTGCCGGCCCCCGTCCATGCCTGCTGTGCGCCCCAGATCTGTCCCCGGTGGGTAGGACTCCCCCCGCCCCCCTTCCAACCATCCTTAGCCTAAAAGCCAGGCCGGAATTGGGGGCCGCATGACAGGGTGAGGCTCCGCCCCAGGGAGGTGACAGCCTGGCCTTGCTGCTGCTACGGTGAGGACGACACCCACCCCATGGGGACAGGGGGGTCGCCCGTGTGGGTCCGATGCCCGATGAGCTTTGGGGGAGGCCCTCCCCTCGGCACAGCCAGGCCCCCAGTCCCCGGCCCCGAGGGCCCTTGCAGGATGGCCGGGGGCGGGACCCCATCCTTGCGGGCGCCCCACCCGAGGTAGCGCGCGGGGCAGCAGCTTCCGACCCCTTACCTGGTCACTGCTCCCCCGCCGAGCCTGATGGGCTGCGCAGGCCCAAGCCCGCCCACCGTCCCCCGCTCCCCCGCGTCCCCGCTGCATCCGCGCCGCGTCCCCGGCACCGGCAGAAGCTTCGAGGCAGCGGAGCGGAGGCCGTCCGGCTTCTCAGTGCTGCCCCAGGTGGCAGCCGGCGGAGCTGCACTTAAAGGGGCCGCGCCTCGGGCCTGGGACCCGCGCGGTGCGCGGGTTCTGCACCGGCGCGGTGCTGGGAGCTGCAGGACGAGCCGCCCCGCACCCAGGAGGGGCAGGCCCGAGGTCCAGCCAGGGGGCCTCCCAGTGCTGCCGGCTCCCGCCTGGCAGCGGATGGCCTGGCAGGCATGGGAGTGAGCAGGGCCCTGGCCAGGACGGTGGCATCTTCTGGAATTCACGCCCAGGACTGGGCCCAGGCAGGAGCAGATGGGCCCCGCACCCCCCCGCCCCCCGCCCTGTGCTGCAGGACCGAGGCGCCAGATCTCCACAGGTACCTGGGCCATATGGTCCCCAATCCGTACTGGGGTCTGAAGCCTTTCGCAAGATGCCCAGCCCCCCGACGCGAGGACCAGCTGCCGGCCCCTGCCCCCACCACCACCTCCAGTGTCAGGCGGGCCGGGCCAGGCTGCAGGGGGCACCCCGGGCCACGCCGCACCCCCGGCCCCCTCTCCCACCCCGGCCAGCAAGCGCCAAGCCAGGGAACATTCTGGCTGGGCAGAGGACAGGAGCAGGACACCCTCTGCCCCAGAGGGCGGGACCCGTGCTGGGTGGGGACAGGGCCCTGGGCAAGCCCACACCGTGCTGGCCTCCTCCCTGGGTGAGAACAGGGACGCCCAGCCCCGTGGGCTGAGGGTAGCCCCTGCCTGTCCGCTGGGTGCCTGCCCAGCAGCTGCTGGCCCACCGCCCCCTCAACCCCCGGTTCCAAAGCTCGACTGGGAGAGGGAGGCAACACCCAGATACCACCCTCCCACTGGGTGCTCAGCCCGCCACCCAGAGGGGCAACTTCGGCCTCAGAGCCGCCCCATCCCCATGGCAACTGTGGGGGAGGGGGCAGGGCAGGCGCTGCAGGTGGCTGGGACAGGCCAGGGACCCGTGGAGGCCAGCAGAGCACTGACACACACCTGTCCTCGAGAGCCGGGCACCCTGTCCCCGCCCCCAGGTGCAGCTGCCCAGCCCTGGCCCTGGCGGCCTGGGGCAGACAGGCACAACAGTGGCCACGTTGGCCGGGTCTGGACGACACGTGGCTCCCGCAGGAAGGCCTCCTGCCCCAGGGGCAGCTGGCCCCACGGGAGCCCAAGGCTTTGGTTTCGACTGAAGGCAATGGGGCCGGCCCGCCTGGCCGCCCTGGGAGCCCCACAGGAGGAAGCGGCACACAGACACGCAGTAAAACAAGAGCTTTATGGTTGGGGGTCAGTGTGGATGGAGAAAAAGGGAACGAGGGAGGACACCCTGGCCCAGCTGGAGGCGCCCACAACGGGCACGACACGGGTGCAGCGCCCAGCTCCGCGGAAGCCGGGCCGCATGCGGGGCCGGACAAGCAGGGGCCAGGCGGCGACCAGGGTGCTCCCGCCTCTGTAAACAGACAGCCTCACCGGCACAGGCCTTAGTCCCTCCCTGAGAAGCCGTGGGGCGGCCGCTGCCCCCTGCCTGCGGGCCCGGGGGCCGAGTGGGCAAACCCTAAGGGGCGGGCCTAGAGCTCCTCATAGTCCCCGCCCCCACGAAGGCGGCCTCCCGGAGCCCCACCGCCCAGGAAGGCCTCCAGCTCGTCCACTGCCGTCCTCTCGCGCCGCCGCCGGCGCCGGTCCTCCCGGCGCTCCTCCTTGTCCTTGTCCTTCTTGTGTTTGCTCTTCCTCCTCGCAGCCTTGTCCTCCTCCTGCGGGCGCAGCCGGCATCAGCAGGGTGGGCAGACTGGAGGCCCCCCCACCGCCCAGCCCCTGCATGAGATACCTCTCTGCCTTTCTTCTTCTTCTTCTCCTTGGACGGAGGCTTATCTGCACAGAGGACACACTGCATGAGCCCGGCCACCGGGCCCTGGAGCGCTCTTGGCAGCAGGCGCACCCCCGAGGCCAAGCCCGGGAAGGCCCTTGACTCTCCCTTCCCGGAACCAGCTGACACTGCTGGCTGGGGCAGAGCTGGGCACTCAAGGTCCAGGGTGAAGGGCAGGGACAGGGAGCCCCGGAGAGTCATCGGGCCTGAAGGCTGTGCCCGCGCTTCTGCAGGGGGCTGGACCTGGGGTGCGTGCAGCTCCCCGCCAGCCCACAGCGGCACCCCCCGATGCCTCTTGGGAGGGCACGGGGCCGGCCCCCAACCCTGAGCGCCAGGTCGCTGGAGCACAGCTGGACCCCAACCAAGGCCGAGGGGCACCCAGGGAAACTAACGGCCAGCTGGCTGGGCCCTGCGGGGCGGCCTTGCTGTTCTGAGGACCCCCAGGGTGTGGAAGGACAGCACCGCGCCCCCAGCAGCGCTGAATGGTTGTGACCCCACCCGAGGCCCCCAGCTACCTTCACCACTGCTCGCCTTGCGGCCTGTCTCCTCCAGCCCCAAGCCAAAGAGATCCGTGTCGTCCTTCTGCCTGAAGGAGGGGATGCGGGACTTGGGGGGCGGGGGCGGCGGGGCGGGGCCGGTGTCCTCGTCGGTCACGTCGGAGGCATCCTCTCGCACCGGGAACTCGTCCTAGGGGAGCAGGCCACGGAGCCGGCCTGGTCAGCCCTGCGGCCAGGCTCTGCCACTTCCCGGGCAGGTGCCGAGCCCCCACCAGGGGCCACCGCCGACCCAGGGTCAGGGGACGGCGAGGCCCCTGCACTGGCGCCGTGGGGGGCGGGCAGGCCTGGGCTGGGGGGACGGCCCCTGGAGCGCTCAGCCTCCCCGCCCGTCCACCCTGGACACGCCGCGGGCGGCTCACCGCTCGCTGGGGCACTTCCAAGTCGCTCTCAAAGTCGGGGTCGTCCATGACGAAGGACAACATCTGGGCAGCAATGGGCCCCTCGGGGTCGCTCTCTGACGATGCTGCTGGCTCGTCGTCCTTCCCGTCCTCGGGCCTGAGCGGGGCGCCCTCTGCGGGGGGCCTGGGGGGCTCGGCGGCCCGGGGGGCTGTGCCCCTGGGTGGCTTCGAGGCCTTTGCAGAGGGCCTTCAGGACAAGGCGGCGGTCAGGGGCCTGTGCCCGCCCCGCCCCTGGAGCCCCGCCCCCCGCGACCCCACCTACTGTTTGGTCTCTGGCTCAGAGCACTTCTGGGGGGCCAGGGCCGCCACCTCACTGGAGACAGTGGTGTTCTCCCTGGGGTCAGGGACAGGGCCCACGGGCAGTGGGGACCTGCTGAGTGGCCTGTCTTCAACGTCCACGTCATCCTGGAAGCCTGCCACCAGTGGGTTCCCTCCTGGGGCCTCTGCATCACTGCAGCGGAGACAGGGGCCAGGGGTTGTAAGCGGGGCCAGCCCCAGCCCCCAGGACCCCCGCAGCACCCGCACCGGACACCGACTGCGGGCCGCTGCCCTCGGGGAAGGCGGTGAGGGGGGCCCAGCTCGGGGCTGTCGGGGGTATGAGACGGGTCTCGGGGACGGGGGGCTGCAGGGCGGCCTGTGGTCTCCGCGCGGCGTGGGGCCCGACGCTGGGGCCAGGCACTCGGGCCGGAGGGCACCACTGGCTCCATTCCCTCCTTGGCATTCCCACGGAGGCACGGGAACGGGGGACGCGCAAGCGGGCCCCGCCTGGGGCTCAGCACCAGTAGGGGGTGTGTGGCCTGCATGCCGGGGCGGGGGGTTGGGGGGGCCGCTGCTGCCTGCAGCTCAGAGGGGGCGTGGCACCGCCTGACCTGTCACTGTCCGGGGGGACCTCAGCCCCGACTCTCTTCTCCTTTGGGGGGGCCACGTCATCCAGGAAGCCGTGGTCCAGGCCGCCTGCAGGAACCAGCTCCTCCATGTCCTGTGCCTGCGCCGGGGCCTCTGCAGCGGGGACTGGGTCTGTGCCCACAGGGACAGGACACAAGCCGGGGGTTGGGTGTGGCTGGGCCATCAAGCCACCACTTAGGAAGAAGGGGGACCCCATGCAGGTCTGGGGGAGCTCACAGGGCCAGGCAGATGGCGCCACCACTCGGGCCGCCCACGCCTCCCGAGGGGCCGCCCCAGGGCCTACCTGGCGGGGGAGGGACCACCTCAGGGGCCGGCGAGGTCCCGAACAGCCGGGAGATGATGCTGCGACGCGGGGCCGGGGCGGGGGCTGCAGGCTGTGTGGGGGGCAGCGGCGCCTCCGTGGGGGACAGCGGGGAGGGGCAGGCCGAGGGGGCGGCCTGCGGCGTGCTGGGGCCGCCGCTCCCCGTGGACCGGGGGCCCGAGGACGGGCTCTGCCCGTCGGCCACCGGCGAGGACCCATGGCCGCGGCTGCGCGCCTCCATCATCTCCAGGAAGCTGGGGGGGCACAGGGTGGGAGTGAGAAGGCAGCCGTCTTCCCTCTCTCTCATTTGTGATGGCAGCAGTGTCCCTGCCCTCAGCTCAGCAGCCACGCACCCCCTTGTGTCAAGCGGAGCGTCCCTGGGGAGAGGGCCGGGGAGGAGGGGCCGGGCTGACCTGCCTGCCACCCTGTGTGTAGACGGCAGGACCGGCCTCCGGGAGGAGGGCCCCCGCAGCGGCGGTGGGACTGCACCCGCCCGAGGCCGGTCCCCGCTGGCAGGCCGAGCCCCCGGGGGCTGGGCGCAGGTGCCTGGCACACTGCCCTCCCCCAGACTGGGCCCGACACGGCCGGAGTGGATTCTGGGCTGCGGCCCGTCCTCGGCCGCCCGGCCTCCTGCGGCGGCGGCGCTGCCCCGCTCTGCCCTCCCCTTCTGCTGTTGCGACTGGAGGGGTCCGGTCCCACCGCAGGAGCCCTCCCAAGAGCCAGGGGCTCTCCAGGAGCCGGCTCTGCGGCCGCCGCCCGGGAAACAGCTCCCACCCGGGACTGTGGCTGCAGCCAGACAATGTCAGGGGGCGGGTCCCGCGGGGGCCTTGGGCGGAAGGCGCCCCGTCAACGGTCCCGGCACCACACGCCCGATGGCCAACAGGTGAGGCTGGCCGGGGCAGAAGCGGGGACCCCACCTGTGTGCCCGTGTCCCCACAGCCAGGTGGCTGTCTGGGGCGGCCGCGGGGCAGCCAGCTCTGAGGAACCGAGGGTCCCCAGTCAGGCCCCACCGCTGGGAGCCACTGTGGGTCTTGTCAGGACGGTTACAGGGGTCCAGCCCCACAGGCTGGGGGGCGGGGCCTCCCACCCACAGGAGCACCTGGGGAGCCAGGCGGTGCCCCCCAAGGCCGGGTGGATTCCATTTCAAACTTAATCCACTTGTTCCAGACAAGTGCTTGCCTTCCCCTAGGTATTTCGCGGTTGCCATTACTAACGGAAACCCGGTGCCGACGCAGCGACCCCGGGAGCCCCACGAGCCCCGCAGGCCGAGGGGACAGGCGCCGCCGCGGCCCCGCCTGGACACCGCCCCCTGCTGCGCCCCGCGCAGCGGACGCACAGGCCGTAGTTCTGGTCCTCGGTCTCCTGCTGCACCGACAGCTCCTCCAGGGTGGCGTCCATGTCCAGCTGGTTCGTCTCCAGCTGCCGCAGCAGCGTCTCCCTCTGCAGGAGGGAGCGGCTGCCTGAGCACGCGCGGGGCGGGGGGGCCGCGGCGCCCACCCCTCGGCCGGAGGCGGTGCCCACATACCCGGCAGCCGCAGGTGGTTCCAGGGAGGCCTGGGTCTCCAGCCAGCCCAGCAGAGGGGCGGGGACACGGCAGGCCACCCTGGGGCCCCCAGCGTCCGTGGGGTGGCGGCGGCGCCCGAAGCTCACCCCAAACTGCACGCCTGGGGCCGGGGGGTGGGCCCGAGCACCGCGGGAGCGAGGCGCCTGCCGCGCAGGAAGGGCCGGCTCACCTGCAGCTGCAGGAACGGGATGTTGAAGAACTTGTGAAGGTACTTCAGGCCGAAGCTGTTCTTCATGGAGGACTCGGCGTAGCGGAAGTAGGAGGAGCCCGGCGGTCTGCTTGCGGAGGCCACAGCGTGAGGCGTGGGCGCAGCTGTGGGCTGAGCGGCCCTGCTGCCCTCCCTGCATCTGAGCTGTCTTCGGCAGGCGACCACCCCGAGCAGCCCCGGGGGACCCAGACCTAGGCCTCGGCAGCGCCACGCACCCTTCCAGCCACTCAAGGGCCCTACTGTCCCTGCCTCCCGCGGGGTCCGCCCCCGCCGCACGGCTCCCAGGCTGCGCCCCCGGCCAGGGCCCCCGCGAAAGCACCCACCTGTCCAGGCTGTCGATGAGGCCACGCACGTCGTCAGGCAGGATGACGCGGTGCTCACCCATGTCGCGGTAGTTGCCCAGCACGCACACCGGCACGTGCGTCGGCACCTTGGGGAGCTCCCGCAGGATGTAGGTGAAGGTCCTTCGGCGGCGCACGTGAGGAGAGACCCGCCTGAGTTTCAGCCCGAGTGCCCTGGACCCGCGAGCCCCCGCGCAGCGCCTGCTGCCCCGCCTTCCGGGGGCTTCAGGCCACCTCCGGTCCCCAGGCCGCCTCCGGTGCTGTCTGTCGCTGGCGCTCACGCACCCCCTTGCCACGCTACGCCTTCACCACCTTTCTGCAGGCCACAGGGCTCATAGGGCTCTCCGAGGTGGCCCTTCACTGACTCGGGGCTTTGCGCTTGGGTCACATGGGGGGCTCACGTGGTCCCCTGGCACAGGGCCCTCAGCACCTGCGCCCACGCTCACGGCTCCACCGCCCAGCTCCCCACGCGTCTCCGGTGCATTGCCGGCCGTGCCCGGCAGGCCCTGGGGCCTGCGTCACTGCGGGGCACCCGGGGTCGAGGGAGGTGGCCCGCCGTGACGGGCACACAGCATGCACGCAAGAGCCGAGCACGGCAGGAAACGTGCGTGCACAATGCGCAGGAGTCTGGCCGGGTGCCACCCACCGCAGCCGAGCCAGCCCCGACGCCGGGGTCTGCCAACACGTCGGGGTCCCCGTGCGGTAATAACAGTAACCGCCAGGGAGTAGCGTGAAGGCCGGGTGCACCCGCAGGCTGCCAGCCCCTCCCACATTGGCGTCTCAAGGACTCAGATTTTTGGTGGCGCCTCAAATCAGCTGGAGGCAGCCCTGGCCTGGCAAGGAGCTCTGTGCGCTGACTCGGGACACCTGCTTTCCTCTGGGAGTAGGTGGTCCCAGTGCCGCATCCCACGAGTCCCCATGGACACGTCACAGGTGCCATCCCACGTGCTTCCACGCAGAGGCCCCAGGAGCTGGCGCCCAGCACCCCGCCTCGCCCCGCGCTCCCCGCCGGCTGATCCTGCTCGGGCGCCTCTCGCTGAGACGGATCTGCTATACGTCATCCTAGCACAGACCAAAGAATGTGGGGTGTTCCTGGGGGTGCCCGACACAAAGCGCCGCTTCATTCCACCAGATTTTAGAGTTTTCAGGAGAGGCCGTGGGGCTGTGTAAGGCCCGCTGCACGCCCATCCCGAGCCCGCCCGCCTTCCCACGCAGGCGCCCACACGTGCAGAGGCCCAGAGAGGCCTGGGCCGGGTTCCACGAGGCTGAACGGCCAGCGTGCACGGCCCACGGCCCCGGCGGGGATGCCAGTGGCTGTCCCCTGGCCCCGGGCTGAGGGCCCCTTACCACTGCTTGGTGATGTCGAACATCATGACCACCCCGTTGCAGTTCTTGTACACGTCCAGGAACTCCGCGTCCAGGGCCATCTCGGGCTCCGCCTGCGGGGGCGGGCGCCGCGCGTGAGAGGCAGCGCCGCGGGCGGCTCCCGCGGTGGGAACCCGCAGCCCTCGGACAAGCCCGACCGGGAGCCTGACTAGGACTCCTACAGTCCGCACAGCCCGCCGCGGCCTGGGGGTGCGCCCGGGCCCTTAAGACCTGAGGCCCCTGCAACAGGAAGGCGCGCTTTGGCCAGTTCGCCTACGTCCCTCCCGGGCCCCCGAACTGGGCGCAGGGCCAACGGAGCCCCTGGCACGGCGCCGGCCCCGGGAGCCGCCGCGCGGAGGCAGCGGGTCTGGAAAGCAGGGGCCGGCGCTCCGCCCCACCGCGGGCCCCCGGGCAGGACGCCGCTCACCTCCTGGGGGTCGTTCTCCATCTTCAAGCCGTCGCCACGCTTTTTGCATTTTCCTTATTAAAAGACACGGAAATGACCAGGTGGGCGCTCGCGGCGGGGCCCCTCCCTCACACCCCGCACCCCGCACCCGCCAGTCCCACCACCAGGGGGCGCCGCGTGGACCGGAGGCCCCACGCTAGCGCTGGAGCGCCCCGTCTGGAGCGCCCCGTCGGGCACAACGTGGTGGGGCCCGGGTGAGGCTCCCCGGCCCAACCCGGTCCCGCCCGGAGAAAAGCCCCGACAGGAGGCCAGCAGCGGGGCCGGCCCTGAAGGTGGGGGGCCCCGGGGCGCTCCCCATGCCCATGCCCCCTCCAGGCTTAGCTTCGCGCGTGAGCCCTGCCTGGCAGGGGTGACAGGCCCCAGCCCCGAGAGGGCGCGGCCCCCAGCTCGCGGAGGCTCAGGGGCCGCTGCTGCGGGGACCGGCCGGACCCGGGGCCGAGCGCTGGGGACCCCGAGTGACACAGAGCACCCGCCCCCATGGCCAAGGCGCTTCTAATGGAGGAGCGGGGACTGCTCTCGCCCGGGGAATCCGGGGTCCCCCAGGCTCGAAGCAGCCGGCCGGGCGAAACAAACCAACCCCTCAGAACAAACCGGGGTTCGTTTATTAAAAAACCAACACCCGTCTCCTTCACAGCCTCTCCCTGAGCCCCTCGTCGCCTTCCAACCCCATCCAGCCGGTGCCAAGGGGCGGGGGAGAGCAGGCTGCTCCCCTTAGCGCCCCCGCGGGCACTGCCCGGGGCCAGCGGGCGAGCCGCTGCCTGAGCGGCGCAGACCTCGGTCCCCAGCAGGCCCCGCGGTGCCCACGTCCCGTCCTGCCCGCTGCAGGCAGAGCTGACACGAAGGCAGGCGGGGGCCGCGACAGACAAGGACGTCCAGGGGCCGGGCACAGACGGGCCGAGGCGGCTCTGCTCGCGAGAAGGCGCGCGAAGCGTGAAGGGGGAGGACCCGCAGCAACGGCCGACTCACCTTTGTCAACCACATCCCAGACCTCGACTTTCACGATGTCGTCAGTGGCTAAAACGAGAAAGCGCGATTAGCACCCAAGCAACCCACTGGTGCCACAAAGACGGGCCATTAGCGCCGTTGGGACCCCCCGCCCCACCGGCCCTGCACCCCTTCCCCGGCCGCAGGAAGGCTCTCTGCCCTTCACCCCACGGACTCCAAGGGGACCCCGGTGCCCCTGCCCCGCCGGCCTCCCCTGGCCAGGAAGGGGGTGCTGGGGGGTGGGCAGGTGGAGCTTGGGGTGCTGCCCGAAGGCCCCAGGCAGCCCTGGCCGGTGAGCAGGGGCTGCGCAGAGGCCCTGCCGTCGTCCCAGGACGCGGCCCGGCCGTCGCTGAGGGGACGCAGGACCCCTACAAAGGCCCCGTGTGCCCTGCTGCAGACTTCTCAGTGGAAAGCCACGCTGAACCTGTTTCGTGAACCCGGACAGCCGGGCGGCAGCTCTGCGTCCTGAGGGGCAGCCGCGGCCCCCGGACCTGTTCTGCCCGTCAGCTCCTTTCAGGGACGGGGCCTTCAAGCCCTGAAGCAAAGACCTGTGGCGCAGGGGGACTGAGGACCCCTCCTGCCGCGGCAGCGAGGGCCAGGCTCCCTGGCACGCGGCCCCGGGCCTTCCCAAGGTCTCCAGGCTCAAGAGGGAGGCCTGGGACCCCCTGCCCCATGAGCCCCTGCCGCCTTGTCCACTTCTGTGGGAGGGGATTCCAGGGTCCCCAAAAGTGACTTCCCTGAGAGAGCCACTCTGAGGTCACAGGCCTAGGTGCGCAGGGCTCCCACGCCGCCGCCACACCGGGGCAGGCGCCCCCGGGACCCCGCCAAGGCAGGGCCACGGGACGAAGCCCGCCCGCCAGCGCTCACTTTTGTAGCTCCAGTGGATGCTGGTGACCTGGATCTCCTGGGTGGGGATGTACTCCTCCACGAACTTCTGGCCCTGCAGCCGGTGCCACAGCGCTGTCTTGCCGGTGTTCCTGTCCCCGCGGATCACGATCTTCACTGGCGGGGGGGGAGAAAGGGCAGATCAGGCAGAGAAACCACACCACAGCCAACCCCCCGCCCCAAGTCTATGCGCGCCTGCACTGTCTTCGGCACACCCCTGCCTGCGCGGCGGGCGGGCCGGGGTGTCCGGAGGGGGGCGGGGCCCCACGAGAGCCCACGGGCCCCGCCCCACCCATCCTCACTGGAGGAGCGGGAGGCGCTTCCTGCTGGGCAGACACGGGGCGCCCACTCGGACCTCGGGCTCCCAGGGGAGCGTCTCTCCGGAGCGGGACTGCGGAGAGGCCCACAGGCTCCTAGACCCCAACGCTTCGCTCCTGACCTACTTTGCCGCAGCTGTGTTTCTGGCGCGCGACTCGGCAGAGCGCCAGGCTTTTGACGGCCCCACGTGGGGGCTACAGCAGAAAGCCTGTGTTTTATGCTGCTCAACAAGTGTTTCCAGAGGGGCCTGCAGGCAGAACACGGCAAGGCCGGGAGAGCGCGCCCGGCCACGTGCCAGCAGGACAAGCCGGGGCAGGGGTGTGCGAGCGGGGCTGCGGCTGCCCGGAGAGATGCGCGGCCCAGCGCCAGGCGCCGCGGTCTGGTTTGCTGCAGGGAGACGTCGAGGAGGGCAGTGGGGCGCCCTGCAGAGCGGGCGCGGCGGGCGAGGCCCAGGGCGTGGCCAGAGCGGGGCTGACCGGTGCCGCCTCCACCCCGCTGGGCAGGGCCTTGGTTTTTAAGGTCATATTTATTTTTTAGAGAGAGGGGAAGGGGGGCAGAAAGAGGAGGTGAGAAACATCCACATGGGAGAGAAATACCGATCAGCTGCCCGTCACACGCGCCCCAGTCAGGGGCCGAGCCCACAATCCAGGCCGGAGCCCTGACCCAGGATCAAACCAGCGACCTTTCACTCTGCAGGACAACATCAGGGCTGTGCAGTCTTTATTCTTCTATTTGCTGATGTATTCCTATTTTTTGAGTGGTAACTCTTCAATTTTTAGCGTTCACATTTGCTGTGATAAACTCCGAAGTTAATAAACGTCTTTCTCTTCCCCTTAAATAACACAAAGGCTTTCAAATGCCTCACTTCTGACCAGCCGTGCCCTGGACGACGCGCTGGCTTCTGGGACTCTGGTTTCTCGGCCCACGTCCCCGTGCTGATGGTCACTGCCAGCAGCAGAACCGCCGCACGCGGAGACGTGGCCCGCACACGCCCGGCCGGCACGTTCCCGCCCCGCGGCCCCCCTCCAGGGCGCCCCTCCAGCGGTCGCTCCAGCGAGCACCTGCGCACCGCAGGCCGTCCGTCTCGGGCTGAACCCGCCTCATCACGGTCGCCTCAAACCACAGCTCGCGCGGAGGGGAGCGCCAGGCGGGCAGGACTGTCCCCGAGGCGGCCGTGTCCCCGGAGGCCGCGCTGTCCCCGAGGCGGCCGTGTCCCCGGAGGCCGCGCTGTCCCCGAGCCCGTCTTCTCGCTCTGGTTGCTTCCTCGGTCTTTCTTTTTGATTCCAAAAGTTTCCAGTGCTGTTTCCAGCTGCAGACGATATGAAATTCTGGACTCAGACGGCCTGCAGTTTCATGAGGTTCATGAATTACGGAGAAATCCTGTCTTTTTTCCAAATACAGCCTCTCCTTCATCCTATCTTCCCGCCTGACGCGCGCCGGACCTGCTCCGGCTCGGCGCCGCGCATCTGTCCCCAGCGGACTTCCCGTGTCGACTTCTTCATTCGGTGACCAACCACGTTTCCCTTCCCACGGGCTCTCTGCCAAACGGGACTTGCCGGTTCACAATCTTGACATGATCTTGGAACTTCCTTCTTCTTATCCTCACCAATTAAAAAGCATTTGTTTTCTATTTTCTTTCAGCTTCTGAGAATGGAAAGTTTTACTTTCTCCCAAAGTCAAATCATTTTAAACTTTGATATTGACTCATTTTAAAGGTTAATTAAAAGAAGCCCTAGAATGTCAGAAATAAGTAAAACGATCTGGTTTCATTTGTTAAACAAAAGTAATCCCGACTTAACAAAGTTGAATCAATCTCAGAACCTGAGACGTTGGCTCACACACGCTGAGCCAAGTGATGTGCCTGGAAAAACCTTTGAGATTCACCTCAAAGTGGGAAGAGCAGCCTTTTCTCTGCGGAGCTTGCGGCGAACCAGCTGGCTTCCAGGAAGGCAGACAGACAGACAGACAGACAGACAGGGCTTCTGTCCACAGCGAGGACCTGGCGCAGAGGGCGGCCCGCACGGCGGCCCGCGACTCTCCCCCGACCCCCCGATTCGCTATTGGCTCACTCACATCTCCACACATTTCCTAACAATAAAAACCTTTTTCTTTCTCTCACACACACACACACACACACACACACACCCACCCCCAAAACCCCCAACCACTTGGCTTCTCTGAGAGGCAAACGTGCAGTCACCTCTGCAGGAGACCTGGGTTTACTGCTCGTGACGCCCTTCGCTGTGCAGCCGTCCCCTCACAAGGACGGTGACAGCGAACTCCCAGCGGGTCCCTGGCTGCTCAGAGTCCTTCGCAGCTCTGTTTCCCAAGTGCCCGCCAGCTCGCCGCCCGCACCGCTCTCCCGGCCTTGCTGCGCCGCAGCCGGGCCCCGTGACCCGCGCAGCCCAGGACACACCTGCTGTGCCTCCCCCGCACCCTCTCACCCCACCCGGCCGGCTCCGTCCTCCACCTGAAGCCCCAACCCCCTCGACGCTCCCTGGTTCCGCAGCCCCCAACCTTTCAGACAGGCCCCAGGGCGCTGCCTGCCTCCCGGCGCCCCGTCCTCCGCCCCCGGCGCCCTAGAGCACAGGCGCCACAGGCAGGGACGGCGTCTGGGTTTTCACCACGGACACAGTCCATGTGCGCTGGCAGGCGAGTGCTGGAGAAGCAACAGCCACAGAGGAAGCGTGACAGGTCACGGGCAGCAAGGCTCGGCAACGTGCCGGGCGACCCCACTGGGCAGGTAGGTCGGCGACCCCACTGGGCAGGTCGAATTGCTCCTCAAAAGCAGCCGTTCACTCCCCGAAGGGAAAGCCGCCCGGCCCTGAATCGACCTTCCCAGACGGTCCCAGTGAGGAAGAGCTCAAGTCCGTTTCCAACTCCCGGCCCCGCGGCCCGGCGGCCGGGCTCGGGCTGTCGTCCGGGGGCAGCTCTGTGGTACGGCGCGCGGCCCGAGCGCGGCGGTCCTGCCGCCGGCACACGCAGGCCACGCTGCCCCGCAGACGCGGCTGACGGCCTGTGTCCGGCTGCCACAGGCGGCGCGGGCCCATTCGGGTCACGCTCTTCCTTCCACTCGACATGCGAACGCCTTGCAAACGACAAACAGGGCCCCATGCGTCGTTTGGGTTTTGGTTCTGACCTGGTTCTAGCGGGGGGCTCTGTGCGTGTGTGACACAAGTCACTTCTCATTATCGAGCAACTGAAAACAAAACGACCGATCTGACCCAGGGGGACAACATTCTATGAGGACGTGTACTTGGAAATCGACTCTCACCTACAAAAATCCTGAACCTGTAATTATCACATTGCTGGTTTGCTCCTCTAATACATCTTGGAAAATAAAAATTTGAGACATTCTAGTCAACTAAGACAGGACATCAGGAAGTTTTTAAATCGCTTATTACTCCACCGTAGGGACAACGTCCCTCTGGCTGTAATTCAGGTCCAAACCCCAACCTTTCTCCTTCCATCTGGTTCTAGGGGAGCCGCACCTGGCCCCCACCGCCTGAGGGCGGCGTGTCTACTCCCGACCCCACCCCCCCCACACTAAGGGGCGGGGCTGTCAGGAAGGCCTTTCCAGAAGGTGAACTGTTTCCAGTTTCTAGGTCAAATTTCCAAAGGGCTGGAAATGTGTTTAAAATAATACTGTAAGTAATAAAGTTAAATAGGGAACGCAAGCTTTTAAAGATTTGTGAAATATGCACTTTGACTTGTTTTCTTCCTGTCGGAGAAATACATGCACACACAACCTGAGTGGAACACCCCAACAATGGCCTCGCTTTGAAAGCTGCCCTGAAGTCTTTCCGATCAGTTTCTTAATACCGTACGTGGTCACCAAAACATGGCATCACAGACTAGAAGGCTCCCCTTCAAGGAGCAAAGAGGGAGAAGGCCCAAATCTTGGAGCACCTTTGAAAATACTCGAGAGGGAACGACCTAAAAGCAGAGGACACAGAAAGCCTTTAAAAACTGTTAGGAAAAAAAAACCCACCAGACGGAAAGACTTAAAAGAGGTCAGGAAGACAGCATCGAGGAGCTCTGCCGTTTACATAATTTATACCAGGGCTGGAAACGCCGCCGGCTGTCAACGGCTCTGGTGCAGCGGCAAGTGAGCTCCGGGCTTCTCTAACTAGATCCCTGACAAACGCATCTTTAAAAGGGGGGCGGGGCGGGGGCAAGAATGTGTGGCGTCGGAGACATTCCGTCTTCAAAGGTCCTCGAGCTCGTCCTACCGGAGCCAGCGGGACTTCGTCGCCCCTGCGCAGGTGACCCCAGCTCACGGACGGAGAGCCCGTCACCCCTTTCAAAGGGTCACAGACCTCAGAGCTCTTCCCGTGTTATGTAAGAATCCCTCTCGGAGGTGGTCACCCGGACCCGTCGCGGCGCGGCAGAGCGCATCGCGGACGCGGACCGCCCGGGCCAGTTTCACTGCGCGAGCCAAACACAGGTTTCCTACTGGGCCGGCGCTCCTCGGGAAGGACCCACGGCCACAGGGCAGCGCCCGCCCACCCTCCGGACCAAAGGGAATGCGCTAGGGCACCCGCGACGTACAGGCACATCCTAAAACATATGAATAGGATCTGCCACGATCGCCCCGCAAACGGCGAGTTGCCCGAGGCGCGACAGGCCGCCCAGGGCTCCCCGGGTCGGTTTCTGCCGAGTCCCAGGGACCCCGGCCCGGGCCTGCGGACCCTACTTCCCACGCCCCCGCGCCCACTCACTGTTGTACTGCACTCCCTTGGCGAAGCGCCTCTGCAGAGCCTGGTTCATGGACTGCAGGCCGGCGGGAATGTTCTTCTCGCGGCCGGGAGCCTGTTCCGACCCCACCAGCTTCTTAAGCGCGGAAAACATCTTCCCGCTTCCGTGTCCGAGCTCGGCGTGGCCAGTGAGCTCAGCGGCGGCAGCGGCGGCGGCGGCGGCGGCGGCGGCGGCGCGACGCGGATCGCACCATGCCCCGCGTCCCGGCGGCCGGGCACCTGCTTCAAAGGCCTCTCGGGAGCTCAGCCGCGGCGACTCTGCTCCGGGCCCCTCGGCCCCCGGCGCGGCCGCCCTCCGCCCGCCAGCGCTGCCATGTTGGCTACTGCTCAGCGGGACGCGCGGCTACGGGGCGCCTCGAGGGCCACGGGAGTGCGGCAGTGCGCGTGCGCGGGGGTAGAGCGCGCGGCTACGGGGCGCTGCGAGGGCCCTAGGGGTTCGGCGGCGCGCACGCGCGGGGCGGGGTGGGCGGGGCCGGGTGGACAGAGGCGGTCCCAGGGGTTTCAGTTTAAACCGGGACTCCGGCCGCCAGTCCGCTGAGACCCCTTTTCTTACCCTCTCCCCTGGACTGGAGGACTGCGCATCCACATCGTACACCACACTTCCCGCAGTCTTCCCAACGTGGTCCCCACGTACGCGCCCCCGACCCAGATTCACTTACTGAGCCTCCCTCCACCTCCCCGCCCCGCCCCGAGTCCCCAGCAGTTGTGGAAAACTGTTTATTTGTATAACAAAGCGGTGGCCTGGGGGCAGGGGGAGGGGGCAGGGTCCCGCTCCTGGTCACTTCTTCTTCTTGGGCACCTTGAGCTTCCCCTCGATCACGCGCTGGGCCTGCCTCTTGATCTCGGCCCGCGAGGGGACGTAGCTGTGGTCCACATCCGCGAAGTGGAAGGTGTCTGGGGAGGGACAGGCGGGAGTCGGGCCTTAGGTCATGGTCTTGTCTGCCGCCCTCATCCATCGCAGGGCCAGGTACTGGCGACATTATTTTCTGTATCCCTGTTAGTCTGGCATTTGGGGTCTTGCACACTCGGGGAGAGACTGCGCCCCAGGGCTTGCAAGCTGACCAATGCACAGCCCCTCACTTCCTCATCAAAATGTCACAGCGAGCCAACATTTCCCTGCCCAAGTCACCCCCTGTCAGGGCCAGGGACCAGACAAGTGGGCACGGCCCCGTGTCCCCGGCCCGTTGGAGGTGCTCATCTTAAACTGTTGACCCTCCTTTTCCCGCAGAAACCCGGTAAGGGCTGTCCCGGTCTGATGGAGCAAGCCACAGGCCCGGCCTCTGCCCCTGCACAGCTCAGCCCAGCCGCCAGCCCCACATCCGACCCCGGGGCGCAACCTGGCCCCCCAGCCCTCGCGGAGCCTGTACCGATCATGTCCTCCTCCAGGTCCTCAAAGGTGATCCTGGTGTTCTGTTTCTCCTTCAGAGTCGAGGACTCCAAGGCATCCCTCACCTTCATGTTGATCTGCAGGGCACAGGGGGCTGTCAGCTCTGAGGGCGCTTGTACGAGCAGGCCCCGGGGCCACAAGGCTACCTCCTCGGTCGGGGACAACGCCTGCACCCTGTCGGCCAGGTACAGGAGCTTCTTCTCGCAGTAGGCCAGCTTGCTGTGCACGTCCAGGCTGTCCAAGGGCACCACTTCTCTCTGCGGGCCAGGAGGAGGGGCTCGGCTCGGCCCGGCCCCTCCCAGGCTCCCTGTCGGGGCAGCTGCTCCCCACTCTGCTGCCTTCCCCCCATACCTGGGCGCGGGACAGGGCGATGCCGGCGAGCCGGAAGCACAGGTTGTCGATGCCCATCTGGACGGTCAGCAGCAGCTTCTGGCCCTTGGTCATGTTCCTCTGGGCCAGCTGCAGCCGCTCCTCCTCCTCCTTCAGTATATCCTTCATTTTCTTCTGGGCAGACTCAAAGCTGTTGAGGATGATGGGATGGGCACAGACCCGGTGGCCGTGGTGGGTGCTACGCTAATAGGGGCTCGGGGGCTGCGACATGGCCCCAGGCTCATCTGCAGAGCCTGCGCTGGACCGGCAGCCCGGCGTGTGGCTCCGGGTGGAGGAGGGCGGGCACCTGGGTACCTGCTGGAGCTGGGCATCTGGTGGAACTTGAGCAGCGCCTCCTCCATCTCCAGCTGCCTCATCAGGGCTCCCAGCTGAGTCCGCCTCGCCTCACAGTCCCCCATCTGCACCTCTAGGTTGTCCTCCGTGGTCCTCTGAGCCAGGAACTGGCCTGTGATGTCCTGGTGGTGCCAGCGGGAGAGGCTAGTGTGGGCTGGCCGGGCGGAACCCACAGGGCTGCTCCTTCCGGGTCCTGCCCGGTGGTCGGCAATGACGCCCAGGGCAGCCAAGCACTGAGTGCTTGGGGGGCCATCGGCTGAAGCACTTCGTGGGCATCACCGCATGGAACCCTCACAGCAAGCAGAGGGCAGAGACCGGAGACCACCACTAAGAGGCTGCACGGCTCCGAGGCGCTTGTAAGGGGACGACAAGCTCATGCCGGGGCCGTGGGCCGTAGGAGCTGAAGGCTTACTAATAATAAACCCAGACTGGATTAAAATGAAGCGGGGGGCGGGGGGAAGGTGGAGAGGCAGCCACCCGCTGTAATGCTGACAGTTTGGGACAGGGAGGGGCTGGAGGTGGAGGCCACGCCCTGGGGCTTGGATCCTCAGATGGTGTGGCTCCGCATGTCCCCTGGAACGCACTGGCGTGTGCCAGCTGTGTCCCGAGAGAGCCCTCTACTCTGAGCTGAGGAGGCCACAGCACTGTGTATTCATTCATACAAAAGGTGCCTGCAGCCCTCGCCAGTGTGGCTCAGTGGACTGAGCACCAGCCTGTGAACCAGAGGGTCACCAGTTCGATTCCCACTCAGGGCCCAGGTGTGGGTTGCAGGCCAGGTCCCCAGTAGAGGGCGAGCGAGAGGCAACCACACATGGACGTTTCTCTCCCTCTTCCCCTCTCTAAAAAAAAAGTAAATAAATCAAAAATCTTAAGACGAGACGCCTGCAGAGCCTGGCCCTGCTCAGCGGGGTGGGGGGCACCTGCCCTTCCCCCAGGGCCCGGGAGCGCCAGGAAGCAGTACCCAGAGGTGGGAGCACCGCACGGTGCTCTTGACTTTCTCCACCAAAGCGGTGATATTCGACTGGTACTCGATGTTGGCCATGGAGGTCCCTCTTCTCTTCACTGAGCAGGGCAGAGGGAGGACGGGCAGCGTGCAGGGGTGGGTGCCCCCACAGCTGCCCCTCATCAGGGAAGGCCACCCAAGAGCTGGGTCCCCATCGCCCACTGGCACCTTCACCTGCTTCCTCCCTAACAGCCCTTGCGGGGGAGGGGCCAGGGCCGCCCATCCAGATGGGCAGAGGGGAAGCAGCGTGGCTCAGTGAGCCTTCGGGGAGCTTCTCGGGGCAGCTCAGGGCCCAGGGAAGAGACCAAGGGCGCAGCCACACCGGGCCAGGAACCCAAAGCCGGAGCCCTGAAGCTGGTGGCCAAGGCCCTCAGCCTCCGCAGGTAGATCCAGGGAGAAGCAGGGCCACACCCCTCACTGGGGCCACTGCAGGTCACACCTGGCCTCACAGTGACCTGACTGGGCGGCTCGAGCCAGGGCTGGCCTCTTGGGACCTTAGGTGGGGACATGCAGGGAGCTGAGCACTTACCTTTCAGGGTTTCCATTCCCATGAGGTTGGAGGGAAAGTCCAAATCCCTCTGGCCCTGGTTGGGGGGGCCGGGTTAGCAGCAGCCAGTGCTGGGGAGCACCCTCCCCACCCCTTCCTCGAGCTGCTGGGGCCGCGGGCGCTCACCCAGCGGTACTTCTCACTGGTATCCTTGGTGTGGATCTTCTCGATCAGCTTCCTCTGCTGGTTCAGCCTATTCTCCCGTGCCCGGCGCTCCTCGATGAAGGTGGCCTCCCCCTGCCTCATGTTCATCTGGGGGCACAGGGAGGTGGCGGGGGTCTGTCTCAATGAGGCCTCCCATGCGCTAAACCCAGCAGCCGCTTTCAGACCCCATCTTCCTAGATTTGGAACGGCTTTCGAGGCCGTAGGCAGGGCCTTCCCCCTAAGACACGGTCCGGCGGCTTTCACCTTCCTTCTGGGGTCCCGTGTCCCCTCCGCCCGGCCTCTGGGTGGCGGTGCCTTCCCTCCTGCGCCCCAGGCACTTCCTTGCGGCCACGGCTTGGCTCGGGCGCTCTCCCGGCCTCCGGCCGCTCCGCTCGGAGGGAGCTCGCTGCAGCGGATCCCCGAGTCTGAAAGCGGCTCATCACCCTCCCCCAAACCTGGTCTCCCCCTGTCCTGCTGCCGGGGCTAGCGCCACGGTCCGTCCACACCCGCTGACGCCTCCTGGAGGCTGCTCTGTCGCTCACCATTCACAGCCAACTCAGCGCCACCCCATCAGCGACTTCTTAAAGGCTTCTCAGCCGCCCCCCCCTCAACACTCCGCCACTGGTCTGGCCCCAGCTTCCGCAGCCGGAGCGCACCTGCTCCAACACACCCATCTGACCGCATCTGCCCCAGTTCCTCCTGGGCTCCAGGGGCGGTGGGGGGCCGACGCCCCAGCCCCAGCTGCCCGCAGCAGCCGGCCGCCACTGCGCTCAGGCCCGGCGCGCCCCCGGCCTAGACGGCCCTGGCTCCAGAGTCCCCTTGACCCGGCTGCCCTGGGAGGGCAGCGCCCCTGGGTCTCCCTCTGCTGTACTGGCTGGAGGCTGTGTGACCAGAAAGGGCGAGCAGCTCCTCCTGACACGGCCCCTTCACGCGGGCGGCCTCGGGGGCCTTGGCACAGACTGGGTCCCTCGTCTGTCCACCCTGTGGTTCCCTGCCTAGGGGGCTCCCTCTGTCCAGCCCCGCAGCATGCGCAGAGCAGGCTGCTGGGGGCCGCTCGGCTCCGGCGATTGCAGGAGCTGTGCGCAGGGGACATCCCACGGGGCCCTCGGCCAGGCAGGTCCAGCAGAGAGCCCCGCGGGGCCCCTGCTGGCGCCCGGAGCTCACCTTGACCTCGTCTGTGATCGCCATGGCGTCCTGGGACATGACGGTCATGTCCGACAGTTCGGAGCAGTAGTCGGCCACGAGGTTCTGCAGCTTGTCCAGCGCCATGGGGTACCCTGCCAGCTCCTGAGCCGAAGGGACAGGGCAGGTGGGCGTGGAGCCCGATGGCCCAGGGCTGCGGGCCCACTGCGTGCCGCCCCTTGTCCACAGCAGCTTCCCTGGCCCCACGCGGTGCTCCTGTGGGCCCTGCAGAGTGGACCGAGCCCGCCACCCACCCCTCGCTCCAGACCGTGAGCGCCCAGGGACAGTGGCCTGTGGCCCCAGCCCCCTGCGGGGCACAGGGCAGGTGAAGGGAAGTGTTTTGGGAGGGGCACACAGCATCTCCCTGGCGGACTCTCCCACGTCTGGGGCCAGGAGCCCAGCGACACTTCCAGAAGGTTGCGATGGGGCGTCCTGCCCTGTGAGAGGGGACGCTGAACCCAGGGAGACCCGCCGCTCGGGAGTGGCTGCTTTGTGACGTGAAGTAGGGGGCTCGAGGTGGGCTGGGGTCAGAGACGCAGGACTCAAGGTCCAGGCCACGCTGGCCAGCTCGTGTGGGACCTTGGGAGAGACGCCAGCCTCTCCGGGCGCCCCATCTGTGCAGAGGTGATCCTGGCTTCTCCAGAAGGGCGCTGTCGACCAAGAAGGTGCAGTGAGGTGCTTAGCACAGGGCCGGGGGCACAGATGTCCAAGACACCTTGGCCCCTGGTATTTTGTCATTCATGACTGCAAGACAGAACCTCCGCTGTTTTTAAAAAATGCAGGTGGCCCCTGGTGTTATTTTTTAAAAATGCACATGTTCTGGAAAGAGAAGGTGCCCCCGCTGGGGGGCACACAGCGGGTCCCGGTGGAGGAGGAGCTGGGCCCTGGGGGACAGTGGGAGCAGCCCAGGACGGGAAGGTGCACGGGGCCTTCGGGCGCCTGCCGGGCGGGGGCGGGACAAGGGGACCAGCTGGAGGGTGGGGCTGTGCTGCCCGGCTCTGGGGCCCGCGGTCCGGGTCTGCGGGCTGCGCCCACCCGCCGTCTACCGTCCGCCTGGCCTGTGGCAGATGCCTGCGCTCTGCTCTGTGGGGGCCAGGAGGGGCATCCCGGGAGGGGGTCTTGCCTCCCGGCGGCTGGCGGCCACTGGGGGCTCCCTGCTGGCTTCCTCCATGGTGGGCAGCGAGCAGAGGCCACCGGCTTGCTTTGAGGCAACGTGCCCTGTACATTGGGGGACTTTCTCGGGGCTCAGAGGCCAAGCAATGAAAAATGACGGGCAAACAAAAAGCCACACTAACCATCCAGTACATGCAAGCCAATGCAAACCATTCTGATCCCCCGAGACGCCTTCTTTGAGCAGCAGTGACAAGTTCTCGAAGAATGTTTTTTTTGCCTCAGTCCTCTCCAGGCAGCTAGGCCAGGACAGCGGCAGGCCTGGGGGGAGGCCCTACCGCGAGGAGGGGCGGTTCCATCCCTACGGAGACCCCAGCTCCTACCCAGCTGGGCTCCCTGGGGTCGGTGCTCGGGTGAGGGGCTCACTTTCTTCAGATAGTCCAGCAGGTCCACGTACAACAGGTGGATGTTCTGGCTCGTGGTGATCTTGATCATCGTCTTCTCGATGTTGTTCTCCAGCTGGCGGATGACCTGGGGGCTGCCCGAAGGCGCAATGAGAGCCTGGCCCGCTGGGGGCAGCGAGGCCCGCTCTTGGGGGTAAGGTCCTGTTCACTTAGACCCGCTTCCGCGGAGCTCCGCCTCCAGGCCATACCCCGCGAAGCCCCGCCCGGCCCTCCATCCCGGTCCCAGAGGCCCCACCCCTCCCGGGCCTGCCACCGAGGAGCCCCGCCTCGGACGCCGGAGGCCCCGCCCCGCTCGCCGGGCCACCTGCCGCAGGCGCAGCTCCTCCTTGGTGGCCGCCGGCTGGTTCTGCAGGCTGGCCAGCGCCAGCTGCATGCTCTCCAGCTGCTGCCCGCGCCGCCGCGCCAGGTGGATCAGCGCGTTGTGCACGTTCACTCGGTCGAAGACGTACTTGCGCAGCTTCTCCCGTGCCACCTGGGTTGGGGAGGGTATGGTGCGCAGGGGCCCGTGGGCCCGCCTGCAGCAGGGTGGGCGGGGAGAGCCCCGGGGGTGGGAAACTCGTTCTGCCCCGCACCGGCCGCGACGCTTTAGTGGGGGTGGGGCCCCTCCTGCCGCCGTACCTCCATGGTGCAGCGGCAATGCGCCAGCCGCATGGGCACGTCCTTCCCGCAGGCCTTGGCGATGGACTGCTGGTCGTCCTGGGGGCGGCGGCGGCGGCGGAGGCGGCTGAGCTGGGGGCACGTCTGCGTATGCCGGCCACCGGCCCCACCAGGCATCTTCCCGGAGCTGCTTCTGCCCGGGGCCGCCCAGCAGCAAGACCCCGGGAGACAGAGTGCTACAGGACGCCATGCAGGCTGCCCAGCTCAGAGGTGATGAGGGCCCAGGCCTCCCTACAGGGCCAGGGCGCTGGACGGGCCCGGCCGCAGCCCGCAGCCCAGGACAGGGCGCCTCATCAGCAACCCCGCCCCCCGGGCCCACTGGAGGGGCTGGGGCCCAGAGCAGGTCCCTGGGAGGCCCCCCAGAGATGCCCCAGCTGCAGAAGTCAGAGTTGGGAGAGGAGCGGAGGTGCCCACAGTCCACCTGCACGTCTGGTGCAGCACGTGCCCGCCCCCCTCCCCAGGCAGCTGGGAGGGGCTGGGCTGGTCACCTTCTTGGCCAAAGCCCACTTTTGGGCCCCGAGACGGATGTTGCTGCGCAAGAGCGCCTGCGTCGCCTTGTTTTTGGCCGTCTTCTCCTTCATGGCCTGGGTCTGCAGCGCCCGGCATTGCTCTGTGGGCAGCCGGGGGTCGGGGCAGCCAGTGGGCCCAGGGCCTGGCCTCCCAGGACGCAGGAGCTGGGGAGCCTCCACTGCCCTGTGCCTAACTCCCACGCTGCCGGCGGGCTCCGGGCCACACCGCTCAGCAGCGCCACCTGGGTGGCTGTGCTGAGCCATGGGGACCACCCAGGCTCCCTTCTGACCGGCTGGCCCACGGAAGCAGCTGGGTCTCCTCCGGCTCCCTCTGGCTTCGAGGTCCGCCATGCGCACAACCATCTGGGCAGCCCCCAGGTTCTCCTCGCCGCGCCCCCCCCCCCATGGCAGGCCCCTTTGGTGCCTTCTCCCAGCCATTGGTGGGGAGGCGGCAGGTGGCCCGTAGCCCGTTGGCCCTGGACTGCCCCTGTGTTGGAACGGAAAGCCCTGCACCCCGGGGCCCCCGGGCACGTTGGGGGCCGGCCCGCCGGCGCGGCTCACCCTGGAGCCGGGTAATGGTCTTCAGCTCCTGGATCTTCTCGTCCACGTCCGCCTCGCTCCGCATCTTCATGGTGCCCACGCCTGGTGCTGGGCTGCTCAGCAGAGCCGCCGCTCAGACCCTCAGACTGTCCCGGAATCTCGGGCCATTGTGATAGGGCCTGAGGTTCTCGAAGCCCAAGGAACCCTGGGATTCCTAGCCACCCCACCACCGCCTCTGCCCCCGGTCGGCCTGAGGCTGTGCCCTGGACACAAGTCCTGTGGCTTCTCTCAGGTCAGGAAGCGCCGGGCCAGGCGCCCCCTCCGGCGGGCAGGGGACTTGCAGTGGTGTGGCAGGGCGGCCCCGGCTCCCTCCGCTGTCTCCTGAAGGGCCGCTCCTCCCGCCCAGCCGGGCCCAAATGCCAGGCCGGTGGCCTGGGCCCTCGCTACCTCGCCTCTCTCTGAGCTCTGCCTGCGCCCCCCTGGGAGGCCCCGGGTCTCGCTTTGGATGTCACTCCAGCAGGGATCCGTCCCCTCTCTGCACCCCCAGCCCAGGATTCCCATAGAGCACGAGCATCAAGCACCGGACGGCCTGGGATTCGGGAGGGGGACGGGCGCACACTGGCCGAGTCACTTTCCGAGACAAAGCACCTCTGACGGCAGCTGTTTGAACAGCAGACGTTCCCCGCCTCGTGGCCTGGAGGCTGGACCTCTGAGTTGCAGGTGCGGGCAGGGCTGGCTCCTCCTGGCTCTCCCCTGGGCTTGCAGGCGCCATCCTGTCCCCGTGTCCTCCCATGGCCCTTTCTCTGTCCCTGCCTGTGTCCCCGTCTCCCCCTCTGGCAAGGTTACCAGTCGGGCGGGGTTGGGGCCCACTCTCATGGTAACTCCGTCGCCTCTTCAGAGGCCCTGGGGTTAGGGCTGTAACGTGTGAAGTTGGGGGTCACGGCTCAGCCATAGCAATGGCATCACCTGATGTCACAGCACCGTCTTCCCGTATGACCTCTTACATAGAAGCTTTACTTTTCTGGTCGCTCTGTTTGTATAAAGTGGGTCCAGTCAGGTCTAAAACTCCCAGTTCACCTTCTCCGCCTGCCCTCTGAGCTGAGTCTCACCCTCAGGGAGATGGAAGCACCTGCCACATACACCTGCAGAGTCTGCGCCCCATACCTCCCCCTACCCCGGACCCAGAGCCTGGGACAGCAGCTGCCTGCTGTTCCCCAACATTGGTTCTCCCTTCCTGCTGAGATATAGAACTCCTCCATTTTATTTTATTTATTTTTAAAGATTTTATTTTTAGAGAGAGGGGAAGGGCGGGAGGGAAACGTCAATGTGGCTGCCTCTCACACGCCCCCTGCTGGAGACCTGGCCCGCAACCCAGGCCAGTGCCCTGACTGAGAATCCAACCAGAGACCCTGTGGTTTGCAGGCCGGTGCTCAGTCCCTTGGGCCACACCAGCCAGGGCTAGCCCCTGAATTTTAGTCGGGGCACAGGGCTGCTCAGCGCAAGGCAGCCTTGCCGGGTGCCTCTGCACAGTGTACCAATGCAGTGTAAGCACAGTGGTGAGTGAACTGCCCTCCGCCTCCTCCTCTCTGGTGGCTGGGATGAAGACACAATGGCTGGAGGTGGTGCAGCTGTCTGGGACCATGAGGTAGATTTGGAGTAGATGCCATTGCAACAGGCAATTGACTAAAAGGAGTCCGGGCCCCTGACTGTCAGCCTCAGGCTGCCCGATTCGACCTTTACATGAAAGAGGCTCTACATTGCTTACGGCACAGTTATCTTGGGCCTCCTGCCGCTGCCTTCCCACCCACAGGGTCCTAGGGCCTAGCAGGTGCTCGGCAGACGTTCTTCTGAACGACCGGCTGGCCAAGGGCCTGGGGGCTGAGCTGGCGCGGGCGGCGTGGCCCTGTGCTGTGTGCCTTCGGTGGGAATGGGAGGCCAGCTGCAAAGGCCAGTGGACTTGCCCAGAGTTTATATAATCTGCACCTCTGCCCGTTGGGGTGGTTGAGGGGGGTGGGCTTGCCCACTTGCGAGCTTTCCTCCCATGAGGACTGAGCTCCGGTTAGCGAGCTCCGACCTCCCTCCGCCCCTGAAGAGAAGAGACTTCCTCTGGCAGGTGTTTGGGCACAGCCACCATCTGTCCTTTGTCTCTCAGGAGCCAGGTGCAACGGGCTGTACACACAGGGTCCACTCCTCTGAGCCAGTTGCACAGAAACAGACCCCAGGGCCAGCAGGAGGGTCTAATCCCAGGGCTCAGTGTTAGGGGCTGCCTGGCACAGCCTGAGTAGCAGCCACGTGGCATGAAGGCGACACTTGTCTCTCGGCTGCTTCCTGCTTTGACTTGCTTTCCGATCGCTTGCTTTCCAGAACTCAGGTGGCAAAAAGATCAAGGCGTTTATTAGTGCCGCAGGCCCAGCAGCACCTGTCGCCGCTGACCGTGGGGGACGCAGGGCCAGACAGGGAGCCTCAGTGCACCAGGGGGGGCAGCCGCCCTCCCCTCACGCCGCTGTACCACGGCCCTCTGGCTTCGGGTCCACCGGGCCGCTCGCTGCCCCGCAGGAGGCCAACCCAGCAGTGGCCCCGGCGGGCGCGACCCCCTGGGCAGGAGAGGCCTGTGCACCTCAGGGTGCGAGGAGGCACTGTCGGGGGGAGGGCCGGCCCAGGGGGTGGAGCGGTTGAGGGCTGTGTTCTAGAACTCTCCAGGCCTTCGCTGGATGCTGTGGGGAAGGTCTTCTAGGAGCGCTGATCTACAAGAGGCAAACAGAGACAGACCCGCCCCTAGGTTGCTCCTGGTCCCTGTGCCCGTTTCACAGCGGCGACAGCCGCGGAGAACCCCCTAACAAGGACGCGGGCAGTGGGGGTCGGGACTCGGGCCCATCAGCCCACTGTCTGGCGCCCGGCCTCTGAGGCCGGCCCTTCTTCCAGGGCTCCCGCCACCCCAGGGCCACCCAACCTCTCCAGGGAGGGGCGTCTTCCTCCTGCACACGGGGCTCGGGAAGTTTGCTCCGCGGCACGCGTTCCGTCTCCAGAGCGCATGCTGAGGGCGCAGGCCAGAGTGCCGAGGCCCCGCACAGCCTATCCCTCCCGCCCCAAGCTTGCCGGCCTCCAACTATGGGCGCCAGCGGCACAGCCTCCGCTTCCCACGGCCCCGGGCCTCTCACCTGGGCCCGCGTCTGTGGGCAGCTTCCCCGTCTCCAGGAAGAGCCAGAGGTCGCTGCACTTCCGCGTCTCCACTCGGGTCACCCAGTAGCTGGCCACGGAGCCTGCGACTGGGGAGCAGGGGCCGGTGGGCGGGGGCCCGGGCCTCTGCGCTCTTCGGGGAAGGAGAACCTGAGCACAGGACTCTCCTGGGCAGATGGCGGTGTGGGCTCGGCTCCCTCCGGGAACGGGGGCCCCATCCCGGGAGGCAAGAATGCCTGGAACACAGCTCCCGCCCACTCCCGGTGGGAACCTGCCCCCGCAGAAGACCCAGAGTCACCTCTGGCAGCCCGGGGGCATTTCAGGGACCCCAGGCAGTGACGCTAGAGTACCCACCCACGGCCCCCAGGACGTTCCACTGAAAGGGGTACTTAAACTTCCTCTGCAGGAACATCTGCAGGCCCAAGGTCGCACCAGTGCCTGCCGAGAGACACGGGCCCCATCAGCCAGCCGTCCACCGGCTGGGGGCCCGAGGCGCCTGCGCGGCTCCCGGCACCTGCAGGCAGCCGACATGGCGCCACCTGCTGGGGAGACCGGATAAGGCAGGGGGTGAGGTCTCTGCACCCGGGGACACCTGGACCCAGCTTACCTGTGACAAAGGTGAAAACGCCCTTCACGAAGGCGTTCGACTGGCAGGCGGCGTACTCGCCCAGTCCCTGGGAGGGGCAGGTGTTGAAGGCTCAGGCCCCTCCGTCTCCCTGCACCGTCCCTCCTGTCCCTCCTCAGGGCACTCCCCGCTGCCCAGGCTGGGTGCCCGTCCCCTAAGCAAGAGGGTCCCGACTCTGCCCTTTTCCACAGACGGGGACACGCCCACCGAGCCCCTGCCCGGCTCAGGTCTGCTTGTGAGGTCCAGAGCCCGCGTGCTAGGCCGGCCTTCTCACCGGGTGCTTGGCGGCTACGGCGTCGTCCACCCGGGACAGGCCCAGGTTCACCATGGCTGGTCGGGCCTGGCGGTGCGATCCACGCAGGCGCGGGCGGAGGGGGCGGCCGGGGGCGGGGTGTGGGGGGCGGGGCCTGGAAGGCCGATCTGCGCAGGCGCAAGTGGAGGGGCGGGCGTGCTGGAGAGGAGCGGGACAGGGCGGAGCTGCGGTCGAGGGGGCAGGGATTGCTCTGGACCAGGTGGAGGGGGCGGAGCGGAGAGGGGGCGGAGCGGAGACGGGGCGGGCCCCGGGAGGGGGCGGGTCCCAGAGCCCAGTCTCTGCGTTCCCATTTCTGCGACTTCGGGCCGCGGGCGGTAGGCCCCTCGCTGGCCAGGCGTTAGTCACTCTGCCTCACTGCCACGCGCGCAGAGGCGGAATGGTGATTGATAGTATTACTTGTTGCGGTGGGGCTTCGATGAAGGGATTAAATCTCTTGAAAACAGTCACGGAATTGCTATGTATGGAAAGAAAAACAGTCACGGAATTGCTATGTATGGAAAGAGTATTTAGCAAATTAATTCCAAAAATACTATAAACCCATACTTCCCTCCAGTAGGAGCTGGGAAGTAACCTTTCTCTGGCATTCTGGACTTGTAGCCGGGTGTGGAGAGCAGGACCAATAACAAGGCGTCTGGTCAAGGTAGGATAAAAATATATAAAACAAAATGGAGTCACTCGTGCCAACCAAGATGGCTGCCAGCCAGCCGCGATTCTTTGGTTCAAGAAGGAAAATACTGAAGTCATGCCTGGCAGGCCGGAGTGTTCAAGGTGTCTGCACACGTGACCTGAACAGTCACGTCTGTGGAGGTGGAGAGCCCAGGGTGAGCTCAGGAAGAAGTTCCCCACTCGCCATCAGGGGTCTGCAGACACTCATCAAGAGACCCAGAGGCGTGGCGTGCGCGGGCCTCAAGGGCATAGCTGAGGCAGGCTCCGGACCACTGCGGAGACAGCTGAGCCCCGCACACCGGGCGCTGCCCACGCCACGCCGGTCTCCCGTGGCATCGGCCGCCGGAGGCTCTGCTCCATGCTGTCTCCCGGGGCCGCTGGCTGAGGCTCCGGGACTCGGGATCGTAGTCCCCCATCAATTGCCGTGCGTTTTATAGTCCTCCGAGGCTGTTAGAGTGTGAGCAGGATATTAGTGTACGTCGATGGCCTATCTTGAGTGCACTCGCATTCAATAAAAGCTGAGTGAACAGCTTCCTTACCTCACGGGACTCTTGTTTGCTCCTCGGTGCCGGGCCACTCCACGGACAGTGACACCGGGACTCTCACTCCTTGGGGCCGCCCTGCCTGCCCCCCGGGGGGGAGTATGGGGGGAAGGTTTGATATACATGTGTAGTTTGCATGTATACGCTTTTAAGAACTCAGGTGTAATTTCCATACAGTGGAATTCACCTTTATTGGTGTATAGCTCTCTAACTGGAGACACACGCAGTCATGTGACCACCAAACACCCCTTGTCATCAGCCACTCTGCCACCTCGTCCCTGGCAACCATGGAACGTCTTTCTGCCCCTACGGTTTGCCTTTTCTAGAACGTCCTAGAAAAGGGCACCAGGTCTGCGGCCTTTGTCACTGGCTCCTCTGACTCACGGCAGCAGGTGTGGGATTTGCCCAAGTTGCGGTTCAGCCCACGACTTGCTCCCTCTGCTTCTGAGAAGCGCCCGTCGTGGGGCGGCTGCCGCTCTGTCACCCCCTCCCAGGGACACGTGGTTGTTTCCACTCACACAGGGGTTTTATCTCTCTGGGGTAAACACCTAGCTGTGCGATTGTCGAGTTGGATGGAAAACGGGGGTTGAGCTTTCCCGGCACCTACCAAGCGGTTTCCCGCCCCACCGCCTCCCTGCCCCGCAGCGACCGTGTGTATTTAAAACATGCTGCTGCTCTGGCCTGTGCGGCTCAGTGGCTTTGAGCGTCGTCCTGTAACCAAAGGGTTGTGGATCCGATTCCAGGGCAGGGCACATACCCGAGTTGGGGGTTTGATCCCCGATTCAGACACGTATGGCGGGGGCAACCAATCAATGTTTCTCTCCCTTCCCCTCTCTCTAAAAGCAATGAAAAATTGTCCTTGGGTGAGGATTAAAAAAACTTTAGAAAAAACAAAACACATGCTGCCATTCCAACAGGTGTGCTGGGCCTTCTGGTGTTCATTTGCATCTCCCCAGGATGAAAGAGGTTGAGCATTTTTTCCCGTGTTTATTTTCCAACCAAATGTCTTCTTTCGTGAAGTGTCTTTTTTTAAAAAAAGATCTTATTTGCTTATTTTCAGAGAAAGGGGAAGGAAGGAAGATAGAGAGGGAGAGAAACATCCATGTGTGGCTGCCTCTCACACCCTCGCAAATGCAGGCCTGGCCTGCAACCCAGGCCTGTACCCTGACCGGGAATTGAACCAGGGACCTCTCGGTTTGCAGGCTGGCGCTCAATCCACTGAGCCACACTGGCCAGGGCTGAAATGTCCTTTTAAATCACTTTTTCCTTGTTGTTAATTGGATGGTTTGTTTTTATTTTTTGAGCCTGGAGAATTCTTTGCAGACTTTTGGGTCCAAGTCCTTTATCAGTTGTGTGTTTTGTAAATCTTTCCACCGGAAGACTTGCCCGCCTTCCATCCAGTGGCCCTGGGACCTGGTGGAGAGCTGGCGCCACCTGAAACCCCGTGGAGGTGGCGACCAGAAGCCTGGGTCCAGCCCCTTCCTCCAGCTGGGGATGGGGGCCTTCCCCCCGCCCTGTACCCACTTCCACTCCTGAGCGCTGGTCGTCCTGGCCCTCCTCAGGGACCCCTGCCCCTCACCAGAGGCATCTGGGTGGCACACCCCGAGGCCACGTGCTGCTCCTGGCACCGTGGACACCAGAGGAGACGTCACCTGCAGAGGCCTCGGCGGCTGGAGCGCCCACCAGCCACCTACAGTGCCTCCTTAGCAACGCCCCCGCCCGTGAGCTTCTGCATCCGGAGATAAGGCGGTTCTGAGACCATAATCCACTTAAGTAACGGCTCAGCCCCTCCCCCCAGATGTGTGCTGGCAGCCCAGCTGGTGGCTGCGTGAGAGGACCAGGGTCTGCAACTGAGGGACGCCCAGGCCTCTGATGTCTCCTCTGTCACAGCTGCCCTGGCACAGGCTCTGCCCCAGACGAGGCCCAGGGGCCTGGCCAGTGGTGACCCCACTGCTGCGTGGAGAGGGGCGGAGGTGAGGACTGTGGGCGACCCGGCCCTCAGAGGACCTACTGGCCCGAGCAAAGCCGGCCTGACTGCTTCCCAGCAGCAGGCCCAGGGCCCTGGGCCGCCAGCCCCAGCCAGATGGGAGGTAGACCAGGGTGCAGGGGGCCCGAGTCTCTGCAGGCCACAGCAGCCTCTGGTTGGGCCCCCAGCACTGCCTGGCAGGGAAGGGGGAGAAACCCTCGGCGCAGGGGAGTCAGGTGAGAGCCCCGTTTTCTGGAACACTCCAGGAAGTGCCCCCTGGAGCTGGTGGGGACACTCGAGTGATTGTGCCAAACAATGGACAAAGGAGGGCTGGAGTTTCCAGAGTCCAAAAGCCTTCCGGCCGCCAGCAGGCGGGTCTGGTGAGCCCAGCGGCTGGGCTGGGCTATAAAGCGGGGCCGCCGGGGCCCGGGTGTGGTGCCAGCAGCCAAAGACAGGCACGGGGATGAAGTCCGTCCTGCTGGGCCGGGTCCTGGCGCTGCTCTGGGCGTCCGTGGCTTGTGCCGACGTCCTGGTGCAGCCGGATTTCGATGCCGAGAAGGTACCGGAGGCCTCCGTGCTGTGCAGTGGCGGGGTTGGGGGCTGAGTCCCTACTGGGAGCCACCGCAGTGGGTGGGGGGCGGGCAGCGACGGTTGCTTTCACCTGCTGGGCCTCAGGGCTGCGACCCCTTTAGACTTGCTCTCCCTGTAACCCTGAAACTGCTCTGTGGGGAGGGGGCTGATTAGTGCCCGCCGTAAGGGCACTGGGGCTCACGGCGGGTAGCACGACCTGCCCCAGGTAAGTTCAGGACAGGGCCCTCGTCCACCCGGGCCTCAGACCCAAGGGGCAGACGCTGCGGAGAGCTGGCTGTGTAGCTCCAGACACGCTCTGGCTCCGGGTTGCTGGCCCTGTGCCCTGGTCCCGGAGCCTGCGCGTCACCGAGCGGCTTCCCAGTTCTCAGGTCTCTGGTACATGGTCTCCATGGCCTCCGACTGCAAGGTCTTCCTGGGCAAGAAGGAACACCTGCTGATGTCCTCCGCGGCCGTCACAGCCACGGCGGGGGGCAACCTCAGCGTGCACATGGAGGTCCCCGGGTGAGCACGGTGGGAGGGTGCAGAGGGTGGGGTGGCTGCGCCGGGGCGGCGCGGAGACTGAGCGGTTTGTTCGCCCCCAGCTCTGAGGGCTGCAGCCAGGTGGACGTCGAGTACCTGAAGGCCGGCTCCGAGGGGCATTTCCGCGTCCCAGGTAGGTCCTGCCCCGCCCCTGGCCGCGGCACCTGATGCCGATTCCCCGTAGGGCGACACGGGACGGTCCTTCAGCCAGGAGCCCTCCACCGCCACCTCCTGCAGAGGCCAGGGTGGGTGGGGCCGGTGCCTGGGCGCCTGCAGCTGTCCTCCTCCGCAGCCTTGGGCTTCGTGGACGTGCGCGTGGTGGACACGGACTACCGCTCCTTCGCCGTGGTCTACGTTTACAAGGAGCAGAAGGGGGCGCTCAGCACCGTCGTGCAGCTCTACAGTGAGGCCGCGCCCCGCCCCGCCCCGCCCCGCCCCGCCCCCTCCCGCCCCCCCCAGGACCCGCCCCGACCCTCCTTTGCCCCGCCCCCACGCTCCCGGTCTGGGCCCGGCCGGGGTCCGGTGGCGGCGCGGTGAGGGCAGGGCCTCCGCGGCGCTTCGGAAGGGCAGGGTGGACTGGCGGGGCCCCTGCGGGCTGCACACTCAGGCCCCCTCTGACCGCTTGAGAGCGGGACCCATCGTCCCCGGCTGCCTGCGACCTTGAACCAGGGCTGAGACCCTCCTGTGTGGCTTTACTTCCCGGGGGATAGGCCGATTGGAGCTCCCCAGGGTGCAGACGCCGGGGTGAGGGCGGGACAGTGGCGTTAGGGGCGGCAGGAGGGGAACCCTGCCATGGCCGGGGGGTCAGCTGGGTCCCCAGCCTCCTGGACCCCTTGTGTGAGTTAGGGAAGGGCACTCCTCTGGGCCGATTCCAGTCCCCGCCGGTCCCTCAGCCAGGCAGGCACTTGGCGGCACAACCGGCCCGACGTGGGCAGGGGGGCCAACCTGCTGTCCGCCCTGAAGGAAGCGAGGCAGGGAGACACCCGTCTCTCCTTCCCTCGCTCTGGGAGCCACGGGGTTCACAGGGGCCCCGCTCTGCCCCAGGCCGGACCCAGGAAGCGAGCCCCCACGCCCTGAGGGTCTTCCAGGACTTCTACCCGACCGTGGGTCTCTCGGACGAGATGATGGTCCTGCTGCCCAAGTCAGGTACCCCCGCCAGGCACCCTCTCCGAGCCCCGCCTCCGGCCAGGCCACGCCCCCGCCAGGAGGCCGCCCTGCCAAGCCCCGCCTTCAGCCCGCCTGCCCGATTCCCATGTGTGCGGACCAGAGGCTGGGCTAGCGCAGCCTTTCCCCCAACGCACGCCGGGGGAGCGGTTTTGGGGAGCTCAGGAAGGAGAGTCCTTGGGCCCCACCCTCTGGGGGGTGGCTGGACCAGGCCCCACGACACCCAGGGGCCGGGGCTGCAGGAAGCGGTGGGCAGTCCGGCCAGCTCAGCCTCCCAAGGACTGTCCTTCCCACAGACGCGTGTGCCTCAAGGGACAAGGAACACCATGATGCCTGCGGACACTCACCTTGACCCTTCCCAGGTGGGGACAGGGTCTGCGTGGGCTGCCCCTCTCCCAGCAGACCCCCTGTCCTCTCTCCAAAGGTCCCCCCCCCCCCGCCCCGGCCACTCTGCGTTTTCCCGCCTGGTGTGTGCGCTTCAGGTCTCAGCTTACACATCACCTCTTCCGGGAAGCCTCCACTGATTGCCTAGGTCTGCCATAACAAATGACCACAAACCGGGTAGCTTAAAACACGAAACATTGTCCTGTCGGTTCTGGAGGCCACAGGCCCAAAACCAAGGCAGGGCTGGTTCCTGCGGGGGCTCTCGGGGGCACCCCAGCCCCACCCCCGCTCCCATTGGGGCCGGCAGTCCTGGCACCCCTCGGCTGTGTGTCCGTTGTCACAGGGCCGTCTGCCCTCCGTGTGTCTGTGTCCAAATTCCCCTCTTCTTTATTTTATTTTTTAAAATTATTTATTTTTAGAGGGAGGGGAAGGGAGGAAGAGAGGGAAACACCCATGTGCGGTTGCCTCTCAAGCGCCCCCACTGGAGACCTGGCCCACAACCCAGGCCTGTGCCCTCACCGAGATCGAACAGGGGACCCTTTGGTTCGCAGGCCGGCGCTCAACCCGCTGAGCCGCACCGGCCGGGGCAAATTTCCCTCTTCTTATAAAGACAGCTGTCACTGGATGGAAGGCCCACCCTCCATCCAGGGGGATCTCGTTTTGGGGTCCTTAACTAATGACATCTGAAAGATGCTGTTTCCAGACAAGTTCACATTCAGAGTTCCAGGGGGACTTGAATGTTAGGCGGACCCTATCCAACCCAGCACACTGTGTCCCCCTTGGCCCTAGCTCATCCCCCCGGGCACGGGGTCCTGCCTTGGGATGGCCTGGGTCCTCGTCCTCTCCCTGAGGGTCCCCTGAGGCGGGAACCACCACTTTCTCGTTCACTGCCATTGCCGGGCTGGGTCCCCAGAGCCCTGGGAACACAGAGGCAGGTGGGCTCTTGGGGACCCCTTCCCCCAAAAGTAGTCACCGGGGAGCCATCAGGCCCCCTACCCGAGTTCATCACGAGGAATCTGGATCCTAAGTAAACCAGTAAGTAGCGGATACGACATAATGGTCTCCAGCATCGGGAGGCGACCCTCGGACCCTCCGGCAGGAACAGGGGCGACTCTGTGTCACCCTGTGGTGGGTGTTCCCCGTGTCCCACTTGTCACCTGCTCTCTGGCTGCCCTGGCTACTGACCCAGGGGCGCTGGCGTCACGGGGCTGCTTTAACTGATCACACATCTGAGGCCGCCAGCCACACACGTGCTTGTTCCAGAAACATTCCCAGGTGGGAGGAGAGGGGATCAGGAATTGAGCCAAATCACGCTGCTCCAGAAGGTTCTACCTGGGGAGACTGCGAGCCCTGGCTTCCTGCTCTGTGCCCCACCCCCAGATTATCTTAAAAGGGAAAAACAGCTTCTGGGGACAGGCGCCTCGCTCCGTGGGCCGTGGCTGTGCTTCCCTGGCCCTTCTGGGGCCTCGTTCCCTGCAGGACCCCCCCCCCGCCCCCGCCGGCCCTGCCAGCCTGCGAGCCAGGCACTGGGCGCCGTGCGGGGGCCCCAGGGCCCGGGGCAGGGGCAGTGGGTGTGTCTCCCGGTTTGCAGAGGTCTGGGTGGCAGCATAGCTTCCGCGGGTCTTGCTTTGGGGCGGCGGGGGGCGGGGGAGCGAGCGGGATGGGGTGGCCCTTAGGGGGAAGGTGCCGCCCGGCTCTGTGTGCTGGGCAGCGGGGCGCCCCGGGACGGTATGTTGAGGGAGTGGGCGGGTGCGGTGACTGCGCCTCTCCTGTCTGCGCAGGGCAGGCCGGAGCAGCGGGCCGCGCCGCCCCAGGTCACCGGGAAGCCGAGCTCTCCCTTCTCTCCAGGCCTGGCGCCTCAGCCCCCATCTGCCCCGCCCCGGCCCCCAGCGGGCCGTCCCTCTTTCCCTCAATAAACGGATTCCATCGGCTCCAGGCTCTTTGTCTCTTTGGAGAGGTCCTCGGGGAGAGCAGGTTGGGCCCCCCTTGGCCCTGGGCTGCTGGGGAAACTGAGGCAGGGAGGTGGTGTGAAGGGGCGCTGGCTGCTGAGCTCCTCCTGGCTAAGGGGCAGGGGCTCCAGCCAAGCTTGGCAGCTGTGGGCTTGGCCCCGGGGCCACACCCCCAGGCAGCATGGAGCCCCCACCGGCTTGACCCCTACGGGTCACAGCACCCGAGGCGTCCTGCGGAGGTCGGCCCTGCTGCTGGGGCTACGCTGGACATGCAAGAGCCCTGGCTGCCGGGGCTGGAGGCTGCGACATGGGGCTTTGGGGTCCCCCCCCGCCGCTGGTGTGCCCCGGACCTGGGGCACAGTGTGACCCTCTATGAGGCCTGGACGTGCATCACAAATGCGGCCGGTGTGCTCCGAGCCCTCGCCGCCGACCTGGCCCACGTTCCACACATCTGGGAACTGAGGCACACAGAGGTCAGCGACTTGCCCAGCAGGTGCCAGCCCAGGGTCCAGGCCCAGCGGTCAGGCTCCAGGGTCTGGGCTCCATGCTGACCCGTGACAAGATCGGGGGGCAGGAGGCCCGTCCCCGGGGCCCACGAGGCCTCCGGACCCCCTGGGAGTGCCGGGCGTCCAGGCAACGCTGGGCGTGGGAGCACACACTTCAAAGGGCCCGGCCCGGGGCGGGCAGGAAGGCGCCGGAGGTCCCGCGTCGCTGGTCGTGGCCCCGCGGCCCCCACAGAGCCGGAGCCAGAAGCCATCGGCCCTGCGGACACCTGTCCTCGCCCTGCCCTCGGTCATCCAGAGACAGTGGGCGGGCCCCACACTTCCTGTCTCCCCTGCCGCCCTGCCAAGCCCGTTCCAGGGGGCCCTGGTGTATCAGCCCTGGGCCGGGGGGGTCTGCCTGGCCCCAGCCTCCTCCGCCGGATGCCATGCCGCGCCTGCCCGTTGGGCGGCCCCCTGGGTCCCCATCGTGCCAGCCGGCCCCGGCCACCGTCCTAGCTCGGGCCCTTAACCCAACCTGACCGTCTTTGCCCTCCGCTCACCTGCCCGAGCAGCTCCAGGGCGGGCTTTCCCGGCCCAGAGGCGGGGCGGCTGTCTCCCCACTTCCCGCCGGCCGAGGACCGGGGGTGTCGGTCTGGGCAGCAGCCACTCTGGGCACGCTCGGACCCCCTGCCCTTCTGCCTCGCCATCGCTACAGATGCGGAAGCTGAGGCAGAGGAGGTGGGCCCCACGGCGGGAGGGGGCCGGGCGGCTGCCCTGGTGCACATGTCGTCTGGGCCTGGGTCCGGGGGGAAAGGCGTCAGGGTGGGGGCCTGGGGTGCCGGTGGGCAGGAGGGCCCCAATCCCGGCTCTGTGCAGAGGTCCCTCAGGCCGGCGGACCCCACCTCCGTCTCCCGTGGGCCCCCTCGCTAGGCTCAGAGGTGCTCCCTCGACAGGAAGCGTCCTCCGTGGGGATCCCCCAAGCAGAGGAGGCCCCCCATTTCGCCCTTCGGGGGCAGGACCCTGCTCAGCTCCTGGGTGGCACCATGCCAGCACTTGGGGGTTTGCACTGGCTCCTCGGAAAGGGCCCGGAGCCGTGCACCCACGGGAGGGGCCGGGCGCGCGCAGGGTGCCCCGAGCCCCGGGGGCCCAGCCGGGTGCACGAGCCCGTCCGCGCTTTGTGCGAGGGCCGCGGGGTCCCAGGCTGCCCGGCGTGGGGATGTCCTCCGGCTCTGAGGCCCCGGTGGGCGCCCCCGGGACCCCATCACCTCCCGGACGCTCTAGTCCGGGCGGCCACACCCCCGCGTGTGGGCGTCATGGGGCCCGGGTGGCCCTCCCGCAGTGACGGCGCGTTTCTCTGGCCCGTCTGTGGCCCAGTCGGCCGGTGACGCCCTCAGGCGATTGCGTCACCCGGGCCACCCCCCGGATATAAGCCCTGGCGCTGCGGGCAGAGGTGTCGTGAGCGCTGACCCGCGATGGAGGCCAGGCTGCTGGGCGCCGTCCTGGGCGTCGTCCTGGTGCAGGTGGAGGCAGCCGTGCAGAGCCTGGACCTGCCCAAGGTGCTGGGTTCCCTCCCTGGTCTCGGGGCGGCTGGGTGTGAGGGCCCGAGTGTCCAGCGGCTGCATCCCCGGTCCCCCCAGCCCCCAGCTGATGTCGTAGCAGCTACCTCTGGGGCCCAGCACCCACGCAGGTCGGCCCCCCAAGGGCAGGGGCTAAGGGTCTGGGTTCAGCCTGCCCGCTCTCTCCTCTCCGTGGGAGCCAGGCACAAGCGCCGGGTCCGGCAGGGGCAGAGCCCCGCCTGCGGTGGGCCCGTGGCCACCGCCACGCGGCCGGTCCCGCGCAGTCTCCAGGGTCCAGGACTCAGTGCAGCCACCTCGTGCTCCTGCGTCGGTGGCCCCACATCCTGTGGCGACCAGAGGAGCCTGTCTCCGCGGGGAGGGTGGCGGGGGCCGGGCTCCCGGGGCCGGGCTCCCAGCTCCACGCTTCCCTGCCCGGTGCCTCCTCGGCGGGGGCTGCGTTGGCGGCTGGGCCAGGAGGCCATCAGCAGGCTCGGAGACGACAGACGCTGGGGACACACTTTCTCTTCTGCTGCAAAAATGATCGGCTCCCAAAGCCTCAGATGGAAGCCGGGGGCGCTGGGGGCTCTCTGAAGTCAGAGCCCCGCCTCCAGGAGTTCGGGTGGAGTGGCTGTGTCTCTTCCCTGGGGACATGACACCACTGGCCGGCCCGCTCCGGCCCATCTCCCGTGGCCTGACCACCGCCGCCCCCGTGTCCCTCCCGAGGACGGCAGCAGCAGGGCCCGTTGACCGGGGGACCACAGACGGGCCGGGGGCAGGGCTTCGGTGGCATCGCTGTCGGACGCTGGGGGGGCGGGCCCAAAGGACGGGGCGCTGCCTGCGGCTCTGCCATCGCGCCTTGCACTATCCGGCTGTCCGCTGACCCTTCGGAACGGCCAGCTCCCTGCCCGGGGGGCCTGGGGCGGGGACCTCGGCCCGACTGCCCCAGACAGGCTCGGCTCTCTCTCCTGTCTCCAGATTGCAGGGTTCTGGCGGGAGGTCGGTGTGGCCTCCAAACAACGCCTGGCGCTGGTGACGCCCCGGAGGCTGGAGGCCTTGTTCCTGACCCCGAGCGAGGCCGCCCTGACTGTGAAGGCCGCGTACAGCAGGTGCGAGGCCACTCCCTGGGCCGGGGCGGGCGCAGGCGCGGGCGGGCGGCGGCTGTGGGATTTGGGTGGTGTTGCCACTTTGGAGGACCCGCCCTCCCTGTGTCTTCCCCCCAAGACCCCCGCCGCCCCTCACCCCCGCTCCTGGACCAACCCCCAGGCTCCTGGAACTGTAACACATCCCCACAGACAAGCCCAGAGTTCTGCCCGAGTCCCATCGATGTAGAAGAGAAGGAACTGGGCTTGTGGGCAGGCGGCCCTCCGGGAGCCCGCGGCCCTGGGTGGAGGCCCGGGGCCCGCCCTGCACCGCCGCCCTCCGCGCCCTGGGGCGCCTTCCCACAGCCGCCCTGGCGGCCCCGGGTCCCGCAGGCGCGTGCGGCCTGGCGTTTCCCTAACCAGCCCTTTGCGGCCTTTCAGCTCAGGAAGCTGTGAGACCGAAAACATAGTGGGCTCGGAAATAGATGTGTCAGGGAGATTTGTTTTTCCGGGTAAGAGCCGTGGCCCTGTTGCCGCCGTTACGCACCACACGCCTGCCCTGCACGCCCGCGACACTTGCTGTTCCCCACGCTGTTCCCTGTACGCCCCTTCGTGCCCCAGACCCTCCCGCCCTCTCACTCCTAAACCCACAGCTCCTCAAGGGCCCCTCCAGTCCTCCGACCCCCAGCGCCGGCGATACAGGCGCGTCGGGGGTGGCGGGGGCCGAGGGTGAGGTCTGACCCGCACGAAGCGGGTCTGCACGGCCTCGCCCCACTGCCGGCTCCCCAGGCCACAGGGAAATCCGCGTGGTCGACACGGACTACGAGCGTTACGCCATCCTGAGGCTGTCCCTCGAATGGCAGGGCAAGGACTTCCACGTGCTCAAGTACTTCAGTAAGCTCACCTGGGGGCCGCTCTCCCTGCCGCTGGCCGCTGGGGTATCCCCGCTGCGCCCCACTCAGCCCCCGTTGCGCCCACAGCGCGCAGCCTGGAGGACGACTATGAACCAGGCTTCTGGAAGTTCCGGGAGCTGACGGCGGACACCGGGCTTTACCTGGTGGCCCGGCATGGTGAGCCCCAGGCCTCTGGGGTGGGCTCTAGGCTGGGAAGTCCGCAGGCGTGCCCACCCCTGCAACCCCTCACCCGCCCTCCCCGCAGGGAGGTGCGCCAAGCTCCTGAAGGAGGTGAGCCTTCGCTGGGCCCCACTGCGCCCCGGCCTGATGGGAGTCCCGGCGCCTTGGGCCCTGGGCCTCCAGGGTGTGACGCCAGGCCGCCAGGCAGGGACCCTGGAGGCTGGGGGGCAGGGACGGGCCCGGGGTGGGGGGCTGCTGGCGGCTCTGCCCGCCGGTGGCCCTCCCGGGTGGGGCCCTGTGGGCACCGTCCCCGGCCCCCCGCGTCCCACACGCGCCCACCCGTCACCTGCGACCCTCCGTCTAACCCAGCCCAAGAAGGGGGGACACCACCTGCTTTGCAGGTAGAGACGCTGGGCCGCGCTTTGCGCAAAGCCGCCCAGCAGCCGGGCCGCCCAGTCCCCGCCGTGGCCCCGACTGCGGCCCCGGGACCCCCAGGCCCTGAGCCCCTGCCCTTTTGTGCCACAGGAGCTGATCTAGGGGGGCCTGTCCCGGGGCAGGACGCTGGAGCCCCGCCCCCGCCCCGCCCCCTGCGCCGGGTGGGAGGGGCCTTCGCACCTGCTTCAAATAAACCCTATGACTACACCCGCTGCCCCGAGTAGTTCCTGGGGGGCCGCGGGGTGACAGGTCGGGGCGATGGGGGGAGTCCCCGGTGACCGCCCTAAAGATGGCACCGCGGCCACGGAGCGTGAACGGCGTCGGCTGCCACCCTTGGGGGGCCCTGTGCCTGAAGCGGCTGAGCCGCCCCAGGCTCCGACGCGGGCCCGCAGCCCCGCCCCGTTTCCCCGCCCAGGACCCGCCCCAGCCCCTCCCCCCCCGCCCCGCGTCCTGCCTCGCTCGGAGCCCCCCACGGACACCCTCTCGCTGAGTCTGGCCCTGCCCCCGGAGCCCGAGGCGTCCCCCTGGGTCTCCTGAGCGAGCTCCGGGGTCCGGGGTCCGGTGTCTCTGGCCCGCATTCTGCCCCAGCGCCCTGCTGCCTCAAGCCAAGCCCCCGGGCACGGTTTTCTACCCGCTCCCACCGCCCCTGCCCTTGGTGCCGGCGGTCAGCCCAGCCCGCCCCGCGTGCCCAGCAAGGGGCGCGCGAGGCAGCGCCACGGGGATGTTTCTCCTTCCCTTCCCTTCTCTAAAAGTGAATAATTAAAATCTAAAAAATTTCCATTGACTGGGTATTGGTTATTAACGTTGTGTAAGTGCCCGGTGTGAACACTGACGTGCTACGGGTCCCGCAAGGGGGGCCCGTCTTCTTTCTTTCATCTCGCGGAGCATAAACGTTCAAGGTCGTGATGTTTTCCCTCCGGCCGCTGCTTCACGTGTTTTTAAGACATCGATTTTAAATAAATTCTGTAATTTTAGTTTGTATGTTTTCTTTCATCCAAGAGTATTTGTTATCCTGGGAAGGTAAGAAATATTCTAGTTTTACCGTGTTTTCGTCGGAAAGGACTAATATTTCTGCTTTGGGGACCACGCTGATGGCTTTAAACAGAGCCGGCTTTTGTTCGCCTTTCCTTCCGCATCCTTGTGGGGGCGGCCGTTAGGTGGGCCCGGGCGGGGCAGGGTGGGGGTGGGCGCGGGGTCACCAGGGCGGGCGTCCTGGAGCCCAATGCAGGCAAATTACGGGCCGGCAGGAGCCCCCTCAGGCGGGAGCCCTCGGAGGGTCTTCCGGGCCCCAGCTGGGCCTTGGCTCCAGGCGCGAGCAGCAGCAGAACCAGGCAAAGGGACACCGGGGCTGACCTCAGGGCCATGACCCCCTGCCCGGCGCCGGCCAGGCCCTGAGGAGACGCAGGGAAAGCTGAGGAGCAGGTGCTGAGGTCGGTCCGCCAGGTGCGAGCCTCAGGACGGCCCCTTCCTCGCGTGTGCGCTCTCCCCCGCCCCGGAGCCTGCTGGAACCTCTCCTCCCTCTTGCATCTCTGAAGGCCCGGGCCTGTGTCTCACCCTTTCCTCCTCGGCCCCGTTTCCTGAGCCCCTTTCCTCCTCGGCTCACTTCGCCCGCCTCTGCGACTCGACATAAACGTCTTAGAGTGCGAGCCCCGGCTCCGAGCCCTTTCTCAGCCAGACTCGAGCCCCGAGGCAGCCGGAATGAGGTCTGACACCCGTGCCGCCCGTCCGCGGAGGGTTATCAAGATGTGCCCTGCCGGGCGAACACTCCGGGTCTGCAGTGGTTTCCAGGCCCTTTGCCCCGAGCCCCACCGGGCGGGCGGTGACCCGGCCGCCCCAGCCCCCCAGCCCCCAGCAGGCGGCTGTCTCTAGGGCTTGGCTGCTCTCTCGGTGCTGGGAGCTCGTCACCCGCTGGTTCTCCCCTGGAGACGCCGTCATTTGCCTGGAGACCCTGAAGCCTTTTTATCAGTAAAGCCCATTGTCCATCTGTTTCCCAAGCACAACTATCAATTCTGATTGCATTTTCTCCTATTTTGTTCATTTCTGCTCTTAGTTTTAAAAGAATTCCTCCCCCCCCAACCCCGACAGCGGATTTGGTTCAGTTGCGAGTGTCAGCTTCTCTGCACCCCACCCCCGCCGGGAGGGGCGCACCCCTCCTCTATCCTTGCTTGGGTGTCTCTTCACCGCAGCTGAGCTGGGACTGCCCGAGTCTCCTTCTCCGGGCGGCAGTGGCGGCTGGGTGGCCGAAGGGATCCCAGACTCGCAGGCGCCACTCACACGGGTGCGTGAATTCTCTCCATGGGCCGGCTTCTCAGGGTGTGTGCATGGAGTTGGCTTCCGGTCCCCCACCCCTGCGGGGCGCCCCGTGAAGCCCCGCCTGGCCCCGCGCTGTCCTGCCGCCCGTTTGGCGGCTTTGCAGGCAGAGCCGCCTGGTCTCCCCGGGGCCCCTTTTAGCCCATTTGGGGTCCTCACGGCCCATTCCGTCCCTGGTGGGAGGGGCTTTTACTTTACAGATAGCGGGAGACGCCTCGCATCCTCCCTTCTTTCAGAGCCACGTAGCTTTTGGTGGATCGAGCAGAGACCCCGCTTTAGAATTGTCCTTGTCCTCGGTGACTCAGAGGCCCTTCGCCTGCTCCGCCTCCTTTCAAATGTGGCCCCCGCGCGTGCGTGAGGCAGAGGAGTGGGCTGTCTCTACACAACTCAGCCCGCGCTACAGTCCGAACGTGTCAGGGACGTCCTGACCTGAGCTCAAGGCCTGAGACCCTCCGGGCCCCCGAGGGAGGGTTTACTTGTGTTCACCTTCACCTGTGGGCTCATCTCGCCCGTGGGGCTGCGGTGGGGGCACATCCGCAGCCCCCTTCTCCCCCGAAAGCCCTGGCAGGACAAAGAGCGTGTCTCTCCTCCGCCTTCCAAATTTGCCTGCTCTTGTGGCAACAAAGCCTCTGAGAGCCGCCCAGCCAGGGGGCTGGGAAATGTGGGTCTCAGCTTCCAGCCGCCCACCCCCGGGGAAGGGCCCTCCTGCCACGTCCCCGGCTTTCAGGGGCTCACACAGGTGCTGCCGAGCCCTCTGTGCTCGGCTGCCAGGGGACGCAGGAGAGCGGAGGCGGGAGGTCATGGGGTCGCAGGGCGGGGGCTGGCCAGGGCGGGCAGGTCCAGACAGGGGGCGGTGGCTGGCGCGGAGGACGGGAGAGCAGGACGTGCCAGGTGCTCTCTGCGCGCGGGGGCGGGAGGCCACGGCCCGAAGAGCAGAAGGGGGGTGGCCCAGGAGGGAGGGAGAGCTTTGTGTAACTTTTCGGGGACGTTTTGTATTTTTAATGATTGAAACAAAAATTATCCAAAACACCACCTGAAAGAGCCCGTTGTTCTTGCCTTTCCCCTTGGACCTGACCTTGGCCTGCTGCCGGCTGGGCTGAAGAGCAGCGTCTCTGCCCTTCCCAGAAGGGGCGAGAGGGAGTGTTGGACCGCGGGGGGAGAGGGGAGATGGAGGCACGGCCTGGGACCAGGGTGCTTGTTCTGGAAACTTCTGAGCAGAAGGAAGTGCGAAGGGTTAGCGGGGCGCACACTGCGGCCCGCCTGGGCCTGGCACAGGGGCCGCAGCCGAGGAGAGCGCCCACCCGTGGGGCGATGTGGCCGCCCTGCGGGAGGAGAGGCCAAGGACGGCGCGTGGCGGTTAGTGGCCGCCCACGGCGACACCCTCAGAGCCATATAACGGGTTTGCTGGGGCCGCCACCCGGGCCTGAGCCGCGTGTGCAGGCGCAAGGACCCCCAGGAACATGAGGGCAGTGCTGGTGACCTTCCTGGCTTTGGTCTCAGGGCCCGGGGCCCGGGCAGCCTGGCTGGGGCCGCTGGACCCTGAGCAGGTAACCGCCCTCCCACGGGCCCCCAGCCTCCGGGCGCCCCAGGGCCAGCCCCTCCGGCCGGGCTGCGGGGGCGCCGTGGCGCCCCGCTGAGGAGGGGCCCCGGCCCGGAGGGGCCGCCCCTCACCAGCCCCTGCTCTGCGCAGCTGCTGGGGCCCTGGTACGTCGTGGCTGTGGCCTCCGGGGAGAGGGGCTTCGCGGTGGAGAAGGCCACCAAGAACATCGAGGGGGTCGTGGTGACGCTGACTCCCGAAAACAACCTGAAGGTGCTGTCGTCGCGGCACAGGTGAGGAGGCGCCCGCGCGCCCGGCCGGCGGTTGGGGCCCTGTCCCGAGCTGTGCCTCGGCCCGGCCCCGGGCCCGGGCAGGACCGGCACCCCCGCCGCTAGGGCTGGACGACGGGCTTCCCCCTTCCAGGATGGAGCGCTGCCACCTGAGTGCCGTGGAGCTGCTGCGGCGAAACTCTGCGTGGGTGTTCGGGAACCCCGGTAGGGCGGAGGCTGCCGTCTGGTCCCGGCAGCGTCCCCAGGCCCCCGGCAGGCAGTGCCAGGCCCGGTGGGGGCGGGGCAACGCCGTCCTCGGGCTCCCCCAGGCTCCCCACCGGGAAGTGCGAGGGCCGGCCTCCCTCTGCTGCGTGGAGGGCAGTGGGGCTCGGCGCGGGGGAGGGGTGACAGGATCTGGGGAGCGTGGCCCTTCCCACCGCAGTCACTCCCAGGGCGCCCCGTCCGCCTGTCACCCCGAGAGCCCTGCGTGCGGCGTGGGGGGCAGGGACGGGGACCTGGCTGGGGGCCCCGGGCCTGTGGCGGCGCCTCCGGGAGGTCGAGTGGCCCCGGCCCACGGGGCTCCGTCTCCTAGCGCTGGGCGTGCTGGAGTACCGGGTGCTGGGCACCAACTTCAGGGACTACGCGGTCGTGTTCACGCAGCTGGAACAGCGGGACGAGGCCTTCAGCACCGTGGAGCTGTACAGTGAGTGGCGGGGGTCGGGGAGGGCAGCCGTCCCGCCGGCCGGCCGGCCTCCCGCGCAGGCCCGGCTCTCACAGGCCCCCCTGCCCAGGTCGGACGCAGCTGGCCAGCCCGGAGGCCGTGAGCCTCTTCTCCAGGTGGAGCCAGGGCCTGGGCTTCCTGTCGCAGCAGCAGGCCCGGCTGCAGGCCGACCGTGAGTGTGGCCGGCGCCTCTGTCCGTCTCGGGGACCCTCGGGGAGTCAGGCAGCACTGGGGGGCTTCACGGCGTCACCCTGCCGAGTCAGGCCTGCAGGGACGGTCCGTCTCAGCTGAGACTGAGGGCAGGGACGGGCGGGCCACGGGGCTGGGGCGGCTGCCGCCAGACCTGCCCGCCTCACCGCCCCTCTCGCCCCCTCCAGCCACCTGTGCGCACAAGGCCTTCCAGGTAAGCTGCCCCCAAGCGTCGCCAGCTCCCCGTGCGGCGGGAGGGGCCCGGGGCCCTGGGAGCCCCCACACCCCAGCGGGCGGGGCCTGGCGGCCGGGGACCAGAGGGCGCAACAGACGCCTCTCCCGAGAACCTGGGCCCCCATGACGGCCTTGCTTTCCAGTGAACGCGGTGGCCCCCACGTGCGACAGCGCCCACCGTGACCCGGGGGAGCTGACCAGGCGCTGCCTTCCTCGCTCGGCTGCCCAGGTGCCGGGCACTGGGCCGGCTTCTCCCAGAGGCTCTGGCTGCGGGTCCAAATAAAACGATTCCACAAACCGGCCCTGGGCCTCTCGCGTGTGCCGGGCAGAGGGGCGGGCACCGTCGTCTCGGGCTCCGGTTGGGATGGGGGTGCGGGGCGCTCGCCCCGGCTCATCCGCAGAGCAGAGAGCCAGCTCTGGGATGAGAGGTGGCCTGTGCCTACGTCCTTCTTCGGAGTCTCCCTGGCTCAGGGGACCCGGGCACTTGGGCCCTGGCAGGGAGGCGGGGAGGCGGGGGCTGGGCTGGAAGCAGCTGCTGCCTCTGCAGGAGTCCCCAGGTCTCTGGGCAGCGAGGGTGCTGGGCTGGTGGGAAGGGAGCAAGGCCCGTGGTCTGGACATAGTCGGGCTGCATGCTGGGCCGAGGAAGCTGGCACCGTGCCCCCGGGGTGCCGGGCTGGGGCGCCCCGAGCCTGGCTCCCGCCGGGCTCTGTGGCAGGAGCAAGGCTGCTGGGGGCGCTGGGCGGGCGGGACGCGGGGGCTGCCTGGCGCTCGCACGGGCCTCGCGCCCCAGGCTGAGTGCGACCCTCACGCACCACACACGCACACGCCCGTCCAGCCGGGCCCGTACGCCAGTCCCGGCTCCGGCACCCGCTCGGCAGCCCAGACGCCAGCACAGCAGGTCCGAGCCCTGGCTCCACAGGCACATCCCCCAACACGGGGACCGGCCACGGACGCTTTTCTGGGGGGGGCCACGCTGCCGGGTGAGACAGCGCCAGGGGACACGTGCCTTGGGGACGAGAGGCCGGGGGCGTGACCCAGGGCATCCGAGGAAGGCCGCGCCCCCGCGCCCCCACACTTCCACGCAGTCGGCTGAGGGCTCAGGGCTGGCCCTGTGCAGGGGCGGGCCCGGCGCCCCCGGCCCCCTGGCAGCCCTGGGCTGGCCACACACCCACGGCAGGGCGGGCGGGCGGGCAGGAGATTTAAACTCGGAGTCCGGAGGCCGAGTGGGGGGGCCAGGATGGGGCCGGGGTGGCTGCCGCCCGGGCTGGTCCTGCTGCTGGTGCCGGCTGTGGGGTCCCAGCCGGGGGGGCAGCTCCCCAGGGAGTCCCAGAACCTCAACTGGAACAAGGTGAGCCTCGCGCTGCAGCCCCTGAGCCGGGGGCCCAGCCACGGAGGGCCAGGGGCAGGCGGGGCGGCTGGGACGGAGTTCCCCGACACCCGACAGCCTTCAGCCAGCGCCCCCGAAGCAGCCAGGGGGGCAGGAGGCTCCACTGGCCCAGCGGGCTGCCCTGCGGGCCTCTCCCCGCGGGGCTGGCGGCCTTGCTGGGGGGCAGCCTGGGGCTGCCAAACTCAACTGACCACCGTGGGCCCGTGGGCTGGGAGCCCCGAGGTGGGGCCTGAGGTCACCTGCAGACGCCAGGTGGGCAGAGGCGGGGGCGGAACGAGCAGGGCTTGTCCTGGACTAACAGGCCGGGCGGGGGCGGCTGTGGACGCAGGCTGACGGTCTTCCGGCCACGCCTGGGAGCGCGGGCCGCAGTGGGAGCCAGAGGAGCTGGACAGAGAGGGCCCCTGGGAGGCCCACGCGGGACGAAGGCTTGGCGCTCAGGCCCAGCGCCCAGCCCCGCTGCCCTGCACACAGGCTGGGCCTAGGGCCGGGCCCCTCCCTTCGTCCGGCCGGAGCCCTGGGGCGTGGGGGCCGTGTCCACGCTCCCCAGCACCCTTCCTGCAGTTTTCAGGGTTCTGGTACATTCTGGCCATCGCCTCTGACACCCAGGGGTTCCTGCCGGGCAGAGAGCAGAGGAAGCTGGGGGCGTCTGTGGTGCAGGTTCACGCCGTGGGCCGGCTGAAGGTGGTGCTCGCCTTCAACAGGTGAGGGGATGCGCATGGCAACCCTGCGCCCCTTCACGGACACCCGGCCACAAGCAGCGCGGGGCAGCTCCCGTTCCATAGGAGAAGGGGCCGGGGGCAGCGTCGCGGGTCAGCAGGGAAACCCTGCACGGACTGGGGCCTCAGCCGCAACCCCGGCCGCCTCTGGCCCCTGACACTCAAAGGGCTGATTCTGGGAGAGACCACCGCAGTCCGGGGGGCCCTGGGCAGGCCGTGGGCGTTTGGAGGTTCCCCGAAGCTGTGGGACCAGCTCTCATCCAAATCAGAAAGTTCTGGAACAATAGAGCCGCAAATGGACAGGAGGTGGAGAGCGAAGCCTCCCGGTGGGCCCCCCCCCGCAGCCGCCCCCCAGGCCCCACAGAAAGGGGTCGGGAGAGAGAGGGGAGCGGGCGGTCTGGGGGGCGGCGACCACGGTGGGGAGGGGCCCCTGGCTGTGCTTCACGGCCCCCGCCCCCCCCCCCGTGCCCCCCAGCGCACAGGGCTGCCGCTCGCACACGCTCATCCTGAGGAAGGACGGGAAGAAGGCCGTGTTCAGGAACACCCGTGCGTAGGAGGGCCCCGGGGGGGGCCGCGGGGGGCGCCGCTGGGGGGGCCGCAGTTTCTGGCCATGGAGTCCCCGACGGCCCTGTCCCCCAGGGCCCTGGCCCGGAGAACATGGGCGGAGGGACGGGCCCCTAAGACACAGGCAGCCGCGGTCCCAGAGCCTGCGGAAGCCCCGCACCCCGCACACCCCCCAGCGCGTGTGGCCGAGGAGTCAGGTGGCTGTGGCTCCTCCCCCGTCCAGTGAAGGGTGTGCAGGGCTTCCGTGTGCTGTCCACCGACTACAGCTACGGCGTGGTCCACATGCGTCTGGGGCGGGCCGGCCGGGCCTCCACCACCCTGCTGCTCCTCAGTGAGTGGGTGATGCGGGGGTCCCTCCTCGGTGGCCGGTGGCCAGGGGAGGGAGTGTGGAGGGCGCGGGGCAGGGAGGGGCGCGGGCCGGGGGTGCCGAACAGACCCTGTGGGCGGGCAGCCAGCACCGGATGCTGCTCCTGGCCGCCCCGGGTGCCCTCAGGGTGGCCTTCCAGGGCAGCCCTCCTCCTGGGGGTCCTGGCATGGCAGGGGGGCTCAGCTGCTTCCTCATCGTGCCAGCCCGAGCCGGGCGCCCACCTGCATCGCCCCCCAAGGCCTGCCTCCTGACACTGTCACCCCGGGCTTCTCTGATGAACAGGGCGGGGGGTGCCCAGCCACCATCGACGGTGCCGGGCCTGGCCCGCGGGGTGCAGGCTGGCCGGGGACGCAGTGGGGGGTGGGGCGGGTGGGCAGAGGGCGGGCCCTGCACACTGAGGCCGCACAGACGGGTGGCTCCACAGAGGGGAGGCCAGAAGGCGAGAGCCAGGCGCGGGGTGGGGGTGGGGGTGGGGTGGGGGGCTGTAGGCCGGGCTGGGGGTGGGAGCGGCCCCGGCGGGGAGCCGGACACACTGACGGCAGTGCCCGCTTCCTGCCGGCAGGCAGGCAGAACGTGTCCAGCTTCCCGAGCGTGCGGAAGTTCATAGACATCTGCGAGATTCTGGAGCTCACGACGGGGGCAGCCATCCTCCCGAAAGACGGTGAGACACGTCGGAGCAGCACGATCTGAAGCCACCGTGTGGGCACACCCGGTGTCGTCCCGGCTGCTCGGGCCTCTGCTCCGCGGCGGGAGGAGCGGGGCGGCGTGGCCTTGCCGTCTGCGGTGCCCGGGCTGGGGAACGTGAAACCAGGGAGGCAGCCCGCGTGTCGCAGCCGCCGCCACGGTGCCACCGCTCACCACCCTCTGCTCTCCGGCAGCCTCCTGTGCGCACACCATCCTGCCGTGAGGCCCGCTGCCCCGCGCTCTCCTGGGGGCTCGACCTGTGGCCCCCAGACCCAGGAGCGTTGCTCCAGACCGCAGGCCGGGTGGAGAGCGCGTGTCCACGTATGTTCCCATGTGGTTTTCTTCCTGTGACGTGCCCAGTCAAGTCTTTGCCTGTTTGTTCTCACGGGTGACCATCTTTTCTAAATAAGTCACAGGGGTGCCTTCCCTGTTTCAAACACGCGTCTTCATCACATAAATACCTGGCAAGTGTTTTGTTTTGTTTTTGTAGTTTTTTGAGTCAGCACATGATGACCTTTTTATTCCCTAAGCATTTTGGCTCTAATAGTTTCCGCAAGGCTCCCCCTCTTGCCCAAAGAGAGGAGCTCACTTCACAGCAGTAGATATTTTCAGATTGGCAGAAATGTGAATTGCAACCCTCTCAAACCTTGGCTGTAAAGCAAGTTTACGTTTTGCATGCACGGTAATGGCTTTCAAAAATCCCGGCCCTGGCGCGGGAGGCTCAATGAAAAGCTGCCTCATGGATTTACTCCACAAGCTGGAGTAAATTCTGTCCGATGTTCACGGTGACCTAAGCTCGCCAAAGGCTGCCTAGTTACCCTTCGAACTGTCCAGCGAGACAGGCCGCCCTCGGAAACCCCGGGCGGGCCCAGCAGAAGGGGCCAGCGTGCCCGGCGCCGGTCCGTCCTCCGTGCCTGCCCTTTTTCTCTTACTGCTGTCGTTGGTGAACAGCAGGTGTTAATTTAAAAAGACCCAACTTATCCATTTCTCTTCCTGTTAGAGGACCATGTGTCGTAAGCAATCCTTCCTCGCTCGAGGGTCTGGGGGGTGTTCGGTGTCACTGACCGGAAGTGTTAGGGCTCTAAAGTTCTGCGTGTAGATTAAATCCGCCCGGGGCTGATTTTTGAAGGAGGCGCCAGGGGAAGACGCCGCTGGGACGCCGCTGGGCCCCGGGCCATCCCGGCCAGGCTGGCCCTGAGCTGAGGGCAAGGACGCTGCAAGGCCGCTGAGCTGGGCCCGTGCCTCTCAGGCCCCCACATCGGGTCAGCGCCCCCGGGCAGGGCTGGGCGCGCGCTCGGCGCCTTCCCAAGCCTCCCGACCAGGGCTGCACGAGGGCCTCCATTTGATTGAACCCATAATGAGCTCTGAGAGGCAGAGGCTGCGTCCCAGGACGAGGCCTGAGACACAAAGGAGGCGTCTGCGCCCTGCAGAGTACAGGCCCCGGAGGGCCCCGGGGGGGCCGAGCTGGGGCTGACAGTAGGCACAGGGCGCCCCCTTGCCCCCAGCACCCCCAGTGCTGGACCGCATCCTGCCGGGGAGGAGGGAGGGAGCTGAGGGGGAGGGGAAGGGGCGCATCTGGGGTCCGCAGCCACCGCCAGGCCCCCTAACCCAGCCACGCCCCCAGCGGGCCCCTTGGATGAGCCTGGGAACCACGACAGTGGGGTCGAGTCTGTGCCACGACCTTCAGGTCCCCACGTGCGCTACCTACCCGCCCCGAGCTCTGTGGCCCCTTAGCTGGGATGGGGGTCTCCCAGGGGCTCAGGGACCTGGGGGTCACAGGGCAGTGAACGGTCGCAGGGGACGCACAGTGCCTCTGGGGCGTCGTTGGCGCTGCGCAGACGTGCTGCGGGGCCTGCGGGGGCGGGGGGCGGTGCACACTCGACGCCGGGCCACCGCACTGGGCCGGGGCAGGCAGGTGCCCCCCTGTCACGACCCCCCGTGCCCACGGCAGGGGGTGGGGGAGGCCAGGCTGGTGCCCGCTGAGCTGCGCGGACGCAGTGCGTGGGCAGCCCTCGCGGGACAGCTGGGAGACGGAGGCCTGGAGCGGCGGGCGGGCCAAGGCCCCCCAGGCAGGCCGCGTCCAGAGGAGCAGGGCGGTCTGGCCCCACAGGCCCCGCAGGCCGGCGGCACATCTCCCGTGGGGCTTGCTTTGGGAACGGGAGCCCCTAAAATCCTGGGGGGCTCTGCGCGGTCCGTCCCACCAGGGGCCTGTTGCTCTGGGCAACTCCAGGAGCGCGCGCATGCGCACACACACTCAGACAGCCCCCCTGGGGGTCAGAAGGGGCTGCACACTGGGGAGCTGACAAGGGGGCAGAAGAGAGGTTGCAGGAAGCTGTGTCACAGGGAGGGGAGAGGTGCCAGACCGATGGCCAGGGGCTGCCTGGGCGGGGGCCACCCCCAGGATCGCCTGGAGAGGACGTGGAGTCCTGCGTCTTCTGCTCTGGGCCCCTGGAATTAAGAGGAGACCCCCTCCCTAGTGTGCAGGGGGCTGCAGGAGAGAAAGCCTCCGCCTACTCCTCTGTGCGTGGGAGTGCACAGATCATGTGACACCAAGGGTCCCACAGGCTCCTGGAAGAGTCTGCCATCCCTGGCTCTCCATCTGGGACCCCACTGTGCTCTCAGTCCTTGGAAAATGCTTTCTACTCCCCCGAGGTCCTTCTGAGCGGCCTGAGTGGTGGAGGGTCCTGGGAGTTGGGTAGGAGGGGACAGGGCAGAGCACGGGGCGCCTCCTCTGGGGACCAAGGATGCGGCCATCCTTGGCAGACCTGGGGTTCTCGTGTGGAAGTGGGTCCCGAGGTATCGCCCTGGCTGGGGTGAGAAGGCCTCATGAATGAACTGGGCTCCAGGACAGTGCGGGGAAAGAGGGGATGGAGAGGGGCTTCTGGGGTCCCAGGCGTCGCCCCGCAGCCTGCAGGTCCTGTTCCTTTGCCCTCTGGCGTGGGGGGGGGGGGGGGGGAACCTGCTGCCTTGACTACACCCAAACAAAGGTGTGTGTTTTGTTTTCTGGTTTCCTCGCCTGGGTTGCAGTGCTGGGGATGGCCACCAGGGGGCGGGCTGCGCCCACCGTGCTCGCGGGAGCTGCTGGAACCAGGAAGGGACACCCAGGGGTCATTCGGAGCATCCCGCCGCCTCGGACCCCCCACGCACCTTTTATTATTAGTCTCCCCGTCCACAGTGTGAGCTGCTCAGAAGAGGAAGGGGCGCCGAGACCCTGTCATTATCATTCAGTTCTTGTGCCCCCCCCCACTCACCCTGAGCAGGAGCTGTGCTGGGGGCGGGGGCGTGGTGACAGGCCCCACGTGGTACCCCCCTCCAGGAGGTCACAGCCCAGGAGAGAAGAGCAGTGCCCTGGGGAAAGGAGGCAGGGGCTGAGGGAGGGGGGCCCTCGGTGGGGTCGCAGGGCCTCCCGGGTGCCATTTATGCTGTGACTGGAAGGACAAGAGGAGCCAGCCTCGCACCCGTTCTGGGAGAAGTGTTCCCGGGGACCGGGACGAGGCCCAGCCGCAGAGACTGGGGGGATCCAGCCAGTGCCTGCAGGGGGCGGGGGAGAGGCAGGCCCGGGACCGCAGGGGGCCACCGCGGCACCTCCCAGGCCAGACGCTGACCGGCCACCTCTTGGCCTCTGGACCAGAGCCCCTCTCGGCTCCTCGGGCGCCTCTGCCTCCAGGTCTCCGGGGGACGGGGGCGGGGACGGGGGCGGGGCGGGGGCGGGGCCTGTCCCCACAGAGACCAGTCCCGGGTATTGGCAAGATTCCGGTTGGACTGGGGGTCTCAGGTCCCTTTGGGCTCTGGGCCGGGACCCTCTTGGTCACTGACCTGGGACAGCGCATAACAGCTGACCTTGTTTCTCCGGAACATTGGGTCAGAGATGGAGGGACAGAGACAGAGGGGCACAGGGGACAGAGAGCAACAGAGAATGCGTGCCGGAAGGGGGACCGCAGCTGTCACGGGCTCAACTAACTCGGGCTCAACTAACTCTGCTCGGGCAGGGCAGTCACACGGCGATGCCGGGCCGAGGCACTCGCCCGGGCCTGTCCCTAGGGGGCCCTGGAAGGCGACCTATCCGAAGGGACCAGGCCGGGGTCCCTGTCGTTGCAGAGCTCTGCCCCGGAGATCAGCGAGGAACTGGTCTACGGGGACACCCACTCCAAAGGCCAGCGCAGGCTCAGGCTGCGGCGTGTAACCCGCCCCCCGCGGTCCTAGAACTGGGGCCCCGGGGGCGGGGCCCCTCCCCGGGGTCCTGCCTCGGCTCCCCTTGACGGGCCCGCGCTCACCCGCCTGAGCGGAGGACCTGGGGCCTCGGAAGCAGAGCCCAGGGTGAGCAGGAGGGGAGGCGGGGGTGGGCGGCGGGCGCGTGAGCTCCCGCGGAGGGCGGGGGGGCCCAGGGCTGGCACAGGACCCGCCGCCCCTGCAGGGGGAGCCTGCGCCCGCGCCCGGCCGGCGGGGAGCGGCTCTGGATCCTCCCTCGGCCAGCGCGGCGGCCGCCCGGCCCGCTCCCCCACCAGGACGCCCCTCAGCCTCCCTCCTGGACCTGTTCCTTTCCGTTACTTTTACAATTCGTTTTCCTTTGATGTTCCCTGCGGCAGTATCAGCTTTACATTAGGAGCCACACCAGTTGTTTTCATTTGAAACCGTGCGATTCCTGAGCATGAAGTCCATTCACGACGCTGGGCGCCCGGCCTCCGTGTCTGGGGCAGAAGGGCAGCCCCCGCCAGGGGACCCTCGCCCGGCAGCCCGGCGCCTCCTCAGGGCGCCCGTCGGTGGGGTCTCCCAGCGGGCGCCCCCCTGGGTCCACCCACCCGTGTGTGTTCTGGGAAGGGCGTTTCTCGCCCTTCTGGACTTTCCTGTAGGTGGCCAGCTGCCCGTGCGTCCCACATCGCAACTCTTTGTTGTTCCCAAATAAACCTGTTTTGCTGGCCATTCGTTACAGGTCCACATTATTTGGTGGCCCGGACAGGGGCCCAGAAATGGCCCTGAGACCCCGGGCACTGAGCGAGCAGGTGGCCCGCATGGAGCCAGGTCTCCCTCCGGAGCCACGCCGCCTCCGCCCCCTCCCTGGTTCAAAGGACAGCTGAGGCGGGCCTTTCCGGGAGGGCCCAGCTCTGTGTGTGAGGACTCGGTGGCTCTTTGGCCTGGCCCTTCTGCAAGCGGGCTGCCCCAAGGGGCCCGAGCCCTTCAGCCTTCGCCGATGCCTTTGGGGCGGGGCTATTTCTCATGGGCCGA